AATATTAATTAGAATCAACCCTAAATATTGGTCATTAAACACCACATGAAAAGTGATGTAAATTTCATAAATTATAATAGAGAAAGCTACTAGTAGAGAGCAGATTTTATATTGAAGGAATTAAAAATATTATGATTCTGCAGGTGTTATAGAAGATTTGTAACTTATTCTAGAACAAGTCTTTTTTTACGAAACTTTCGTAAATGTAATTAAAGTAATCCATATTCTTAAAAATAGTTTTTGAAATATTGTTATCTTGATTTGTAACTATATAATTTCTAACTTTTTTTCTATTTATATTTCACCTTTAATTTTAATACTACTAAATTTAGAATTATTATAAATTTATCATATACAAAGGAATCTGGTCAATCTACTTTCCTTGATACAATATCCTTCACCCCATAAGAATCATAGTATCCTCTACCACTAAATGCTCACACACAAATATAATTTTTAGATCTTTTTGAATTTATTAGATTTAGTATATAAAATAAATGATTATTTTTAACATAAAATAATATAATCACCACTATGAATACTTTGATTCATCCAAATAAATTGTGACATGATAGGTTAAATATCTATCTCTCCTATAATTTTTGATTTAAATAATAATTTTTTTTAAATATAATAACGAAATATGATTCAAAATTTTAGTCATCTAATATTCTTAATTCATAGCGTTGGAGGTGAGGACAGCAAAAAAGAACCTACATATCCAATTCATGTAAAAATAGGTCCCCAGCCGACCTAATGGAGGTTCCTAGAATCCTTGAGGTCTGATAAACTTACGATCCACCAGACATAATATTTAGGAAAAGAAGTAGTTACCTTTCAATACGCTGTTTGAGAGTTAGATTAGCTTACCCTATCTCTCTGGGTCACTTTCAACCTTAAGCTTCGAATATTAGTTTGAACCCAGTTTATGCTGGGTTGATGGATCAGAATTATTTTCATTAAAATATTTTTTACCCATAGGATCTATGGATTTTAACTAATAATGATATCATTTTCATCGAAGAAACTGGAAATGAGATCTCACCCCTTTCTCTTATCTTTAAAGGCCTTTCAGATCTTCTAGTCTAGAAATTATTAGGTTTCCATCCAATAGAACCTATCAAAGTTCCCATAAAATCCAGAAAAATAAATATCCGACAATTTTTTTATTATACAAATAATAATTCTAAGATTTTCAAATTATTTTTTTTTCACACTCTACTATTGGTTTTTATTGTTTAACAAGCCAATTTAATCTAAGAGATTCAAGTTTTATTAAGAAATCACTACTCAATAAATTGCAAAAGGGGAAAAAAGCTTTTTTTTTTTCATTTCTTATTAAAGAGAATCTATTATTAAGAGTATTGTATTAAATTATAAGATAATATTGATTGTGAGATTTCATCTATATGTTTTTCTACATCCTAATAAGTTGACATAAAACAAAATTATTCAAAAATTAATTCTTAAAAATTTGGAATATTCATTGAATAAGATTATTTATAAATTCTAAAGTATGAACTTTTTTGTAAAATCCATTCAATAGATATGAAAATACTCTTCTTAATCTTCTGATATTTGAAAATTAGGCGGCAAACTTCAAAAAAATAAACATTTACAATAGATTAATGCATTACTAGAATGCAATTGAAAAATTGGAAGTATTTCAAGTCAAAAAAATTTTAAGCCAACTTCAAGCCATAAATATTGAGACTCACAAGATGAAGAAAATTTCATCTATGGAGGTCTATTTAAGGTATACGAGAATTCCATACTATATTACATCTAGAAATCTAAAAAATTTATATGTAATTTTGCAATAAAAGTCTCAGTTATTGTGTCACACTACTTTTATTTGGAATTTCCCTATTTTTGAATTAGTTTTTGGCAGTATTATTTTACTCCTTATTTAGCTTATATCAATGAGACTAGGATAACTCTGTTAACTAATAATGTTAAGATTATACTAAAAACTTAGTTAGCAAACTATCTACCTGAGGTATATATATAAGTTCTTAATAAATCAATTTAAAAGAAAATGAAGAAAAGTAGAACATAAATTATCATAGAATTTTTGTATTACTTGAAAATCTTTCCTAGAGATAAAGGGGTTGGGAGCCTGAGAATGGGTTAATAAAACCTTAATTTTAATGATCGAAAAAAACAAGAGTTTATTTATTTAAATTAGCTGATAAGGAATGATTATCCTGATGAATAGCAAATTAAAAATATTTATTGAACGCCATTTGCTTGTGAATTAATTTATGATATAAATAGATCGAATTAATTAGACTTTTTGTTACATGAAATAGATAAAAAACCTTTATCAAAAGAGTAAAACAAATTATTATGATTATCATTTATACTAATTTATGTTAACACAAATAAAATTTTGCAGTGGATTTTCATAAAACCTTTTAATTTATTTTATTTTTATAAATCTTGCTTTCTTTTATAGTTTTTCCATGCTTTATTAATACATTCAATTAAGTCGATGATTAAATTTGTAATTAACATTAAACTAAAAAGGGCAATATGAATCCATCCATAAAGTAATAGCTAATTATCATCCAATTCAAAACTATAAATTAAAAATGATCCTGTTATTAGAATAAATAGAATTTCTTTAGATATTAATTTAGTATATTCATACTTAGACTAAATAGGTTTAAATGTTAATAAATATATTAGATAAAAAAATGAGGACATTGAAAGTAATATCGATTATATTTATGGATAGTTTAGAGCTACAACAATCATAAATATATAAAACATTATTCTGTAGATCTGAAAGGATTTATAATTAGCAGCCCAAAATTAAGGTTTTGAATCTAGATGAAAATATAACCATTTATTTTTATCTTTTTTACTAGATGATGTAATAGAAAGTAATTATAAACTTAGATATATTATTATTAATAATCCAATAATTGCATTTAAACTATTAAAAGCCATTAGAGGGGAATTGAAGCAGTAATCAGGAAATTATAATAAAGCACTAAATAAAAATTAATGAAGTATTGCTAAATATACTTTAAATATTCCAAAAGAAAAGTATTCCTTTTTGAATTTAATACAAAATTTTAGAATTTTTTTTTTTTTAAATTGATCAATAAGTAAGTATCTATATTTATTTTAAAATTTTAATTATAAATTTTTATGAAAGAAATTAAATTTGTGAGATGTGAACAGCTTACAAATAAAATATGTGATTAATGAAACAATTATAGAAAAGTAACAACTTTTAGCATTCAGTAAATAAAATTTGTTTAATGGATTTAATAAATTTTAATCTTATTTTTTACTTTGAAATGGCAAACTTCCTCCATTTAAATAAGTTAATATTTCATCTATTCTAATATAATCCAATATTGGTTTTAATGATACTTTAGTAAAAGTGTTCAGAAATTAAATTAAATGAGGTGGAAATGAATATTACATATATTTAATATAGGATAAAGACTATAATAGATCTAATAAATTGAAAAACATTATGGCATTTCCTGTTATTAGTGATAACCCTGAAATGCTAATCATTGAATAAATCATTCCATCATTAAGAAGTACAATTTATTTCACTTTTTTTTGAGTTGCCTCAGATAATACAAAAGAATTGCCAATTAGGATTTGTATCTTATTATTAGTAATCTCTAAATCTTTTTCATTTTTATTCACTAATTAAGCCAAATCAATTTAAAGAACAGGATCCTTTACAGGTTCTATGAAATCAACAAAAATCTAATATATATTGGATTATCAAATGTGGTAGATAGCTTTACTATTGGTTTTATATTAATAGCTGCATGAATTTATGGAATAAGGTAGACAGCTGCAATATCTTCAAAGTTTAAATCAGCTAATAATTTGACTTTTTAAGTGAATCTTAATTCAATAACTTAAGTTTGGTTTTTTTAAGAAGAAAGAGAATTTAATATAATGTCAGGAGGTAAAATATAAGAACATAGACTCATACTGCCTTCATGATTTTTACATTAATAGGAATCTTCTTCATTAAAAAAAATGAACAGCCATCTCCTCCAATTAAATTTCAGTCATCGCATTCCTCATATTATAAATTAAGAATTCCATTTCCACATTAATTGATACATTGATAATCTATTAATATAAAGTTTTGGCTGCATACTCTATTATATTTATTCTCTTTATTCTAATCATCTAAAGGGATAATCTCATAATATTGAGCCATTTTCATTATTTAAAATATATTGATTATTGCACATTTTACAACCTTATCCATTTTCACAATCAAGACATCCTTATGAACATTCAAATTAACATTTATAGCATCCGTCATATGGTGTATTATTTCCATCATCACAATCCTCAAATCCATTGATAATAACACCATCACCACATATTGGTAAACAAATATCATTATTTAAACATGAAAGACAATAAGGAATACATTCAAGTTTGCAATCAAAACATCCATCATTTTCAATTAAATTTGCATCATCACATTGTTCAATTGAATGCTAAGCAATTAATCCATCTCCACAATAGGAATAACATTTATTATCAATAAGTTCCAATCCAATTTCACAAAGCTAACATTTCGAATCAATGCAAAATTAACACCTTAAATCACAATTTGATTAACATTTGTAACATCCATCAAATGGAATGTTATTATAATCATCACAAGTTTCAAATTGTTAAATGATACCATCATTACATAAAGGCATGCAATATTTTCTATTTAAAGACAATGTAAATCCATCTATACATTATAAACAAATTCCAAATTAACAAATTTAACAAAATTCTGTACATGAATTTTTGCATTAATAACAAGAATAATTGGAAATTACTTTAGTATCCTCACATTATTCTTAACCTCTAATGATTCCATCACCACAAATTGGATTACAATTTTCTAGAAATTCATCTAAAATCCAACCTTCTAGGCAAATTAAACATTTATCATGAATTTAATCTAAACAACCTTCTTTCAAATTATTAAATAATATTTCTGGTTAAGTGTAAAACACTTCAAAATCTCTAAAATTACTATATTACTAAGATGATTGGGTTTTAATATTCGGTTAGAATATAGGGTCATGATGATTTCTTATAAATATTTCTATTAAATATAGAACAAAAATTTATTTTTTAAAATTATTAATTTATAAATTATCTAGAACTAATAATTTCCTTACCATAGAGATAATCAACTATTATAGTAATCTCATCATTTTTAAAGAACCTTATTAATACATTTTAATGAGAAGGTAGTTATGTTTAATATTTAATTTCCTAAAATACCAAATATTAGCAGTTTCCACATTAGAATACAGTCATATAATTTGATTGAAAAGTCCATCCTTCAGAAGCAGCTAGAAATTTCTAATTAAATGAATATTAATGCAATTTCCATTAGAAGTAGATTTCCTGATAATTCTCTATGCATCCAGGAGATTCATACTAACATTTAATGGTACTTAATTTTAATGATATTAATCCTCCTAAAGGTTAATTAATATGAATCCAAATAGTTCTTCTTTTATGTTAAAGAATTATTGAAATAGTATCTAAGTATTCTGGTTGTGTATTACCACAAATTGAGTTCAAATTAGATAACTCTTACTCATAATTTGTAGATTAATGGTCTATCTAAAAATTAACTTGATTATTGTTATCAATTCTTTTGTCATAACAAATGATTCTTACTTAAGAAATTATGCTTCCACCATAAAATGAAAATGAGGATCTAGATCTAAAATTATTTGACTATAATTGAATATCTATTGTATCATAATTAACAAACTAGATTAAGGTGACCCCAAATATTGAATCCCTCCACATTTATAGAAATAAGAAGCATCTAATACATATATAAATAATAAGAAAATTACTATCTTCTAAGTAAGAATTTGCATAAAATTCAAATATCGCAGTTTGATGAGTTGTATAGACTAAAATGATGAGTATAATCATTATTAATGAATATAAATATTAGAATTATTTATTCATATAAATTAAGAAATAATATAACAATATTAATTGATGATCAAATTCTATAAAAATATCCTTTATTGAATGCTATTTTTTAAATAAGAATATTGATCAAAATTTTATTTTCTTAATAAAGGTTCTATAAGAAAGATATTAGAGTAATTTTTTTTTTAAAGACCTAATTTTGAAATTAAGAAAGTTCTTTAAAAAAAAAAAATGATTCATATAAGTACATAATGTATTAAATAATTTGTGTTTTGCTAATTTCAAAATCCATAATAATTAATTTATTTTTGAATGTTCTTGTAAAAATATTAGTATCTTTCTAGATTTACTCCTAATTTTGAATATCATTATAATAATAAATATGTGGATTAATAAAGTTTGAAATAAGAGAATTTATAAAAAATGATTACTTTTAGTATTTCCTAATTATTACATATCAATGAAATGTTTTAATGACATCATATGATATAATATTAATGCATCATTATATTTAGTTTCTTAAATAATTTATATTTTAATTTGAATCTGTTGATTCTTTACATAAGATTATGAAATTCTCCATAGCTATGATTGTTGTAATGATTATGACTATCGGAGCTTGTACTTAAAAATCAATTTTATTTACTCGACATGGAGCTATATCTCCAAAAATTTATACTGAAATTGATAGAGATTATTATTGGAATATTAATCCAGAAGATTTGACTGAAATAGGATTAAAATATCACTACTCATTAGGATAGAGTAAAATTGGAGCTCAAATTATGGATTTAAATGGAAATTGTATCTATGAGAACTTAGAAATTTAAGCCTCTACAGATTAAAGGGTTATATTATCTACAATTGGATTTTTAAAAGGGTTATGCCCTTTAAATTATGTTGATATTATAAAGAAATTCTTTAGAGAATATTATGCTTAATATTCTACAAATGCAGAAGCTTGGAATCTAATAATGTCTTAAGATTTCAATAATCCTTTAGATTTGGTTTCTTGTTTCATGGACATTAATAAACTGTGTGTCCAGCATTGAAAAGTTTAAAAAAACAAATTTAAACCTGTGATTACTACAAATAAAAAGAAAAATCATTCAAAAGTAGATAAGAATTTGATGAAGTGTTTTTTATTATACAAAAAGCTTACCCAAACAAAATTCTTAATAAACTTTCAATAACTCTAAGTGAAATTTAAGATATCTATGATGATTATTCTTGTAATAGAGTATAAGGATTTGTATTTCCTAATCCATCTAAATCTGCTGTCGAATTTATGGAAGAAGTTGTTATATTTATTAGATATTATGAAGATAATAGTGAATTATTGGAAAATTAGGCATAGCTCACTGAACCTTTTAAATGGTTGATTTCTTAGTTATATTCTTCAACTCCATTTAGTTGGTATTCAGGCCATGAATCAAATTAATTTGCCATATTATCTGTAATATCTGATATTTAACCAATCATTCCTTTTGCATCTTAATTAGATTTTATTGTTAAAAATGACTTAGTGATGGTTTACTTCAATAAAATTCATATTTAAAGTAAATTTTGTGAAGATGGTTACTATTGCACAAGACAGTAAATAGTTAATTATATGATGTAATACATTCCCTGATATAAATTCTCTATGCAGTGTAAAATGATAATTTCTACATATCCTAACAACATTATTAAAAATTTAATCTATAACTTATTAAATATCCATATTAGACTGATGCTGTAATCTAGTTATACGTCATTAATGTTAAGTACATTAAAAAATGATGATAATTAACTTGATTAAATGTTCTAGATTTTTTGGAGTTCATAAATGTCATCTTTTTTTTCACTCTCATTTTCTTAAGATTCTTGAATAGGTTTTTAGATAAAATTACCTCTATGGTATTTTTATGAAAGTTTGCACTTTTTATTTTAAATAATTTCTTCTAGAAAATAGTTAGATATGTGTTTTGAGAAAAAGTTTTTTAATAGTATAAATATCAAGATTAACTATTGATAATCTGTTTTAATAGATCAAAACTTAAAATAATAATCATGTTAAATGGAGAAATAAAATCGATGAGGCTAGATCAAATATTAATAGCAAAAGTTATTTATTAATTGATAATTATCATGAAAAGAAAAATATTCTATATTATCACTATTATAATTGTTTAAGATTCATTATTATTTGATTTTAATTTGATCTTATAGTTTCTTTTTAATTTGATTAATTTTCTAAGAACAAAATTTCTGTAATTGATTCTTAATTTATTATTTATTGATTTATAATTTACATTTGCTATTAATTAATGATCTTTAATCTCAAAAAATTAATATTCGACAAAATCAAATATTACAAGAAATTCAATAAAACCATATCAAGCCAATAATTCTAAAATCATTAACTATGTAATAGTCTTAACCTGGATTGGCCTTTATAAAGTCTTTTTAGAATCATTTAAAAATTTATTAGATATTTGAACAATATGCCTTTTCTATTCAAGTCAGTCACATCAGAGTACGAATGTGAAATCCTACTTTTTAAAATTAAACAATACTCAAAATATTTTTGAAAAATCAAGTTAAACTTTTTATTCATTCCTATGATTATTTATTATGTAATCAACCCAAGCACAAGTCCAAAAAAGATAATAAAGGTGATTTTCTTATAAGTATTTCATAAAGTTGAAAATGAATTTAGTCGTTAAAGACCATTAGTTGTATTCAGGAAAATTTCATTAACAAATATTATGTTATAATATTTAACTGATAAATTAAAAATAGTAAAATCGTTAAATTAAAGAAATTATTATCAAAAAATCAATAAGAATTAAAATCAAATATTTTCTTGTCCTTAACAGTTTGTNATCTTTTTTTTCACTCTCATTTTCTTAAGATTCTTGAATAGGTTTTTAGATAAAATTACCTCTATGGTATTTTTATGAAAGTTTGCACTTTTTATTTTAAATAATTTCTTCTAGAAAATAGTTAGATATGTGTTTTGAGAAAAAGTTTTTTAATAGTATAAATATCAAGATTAACTATTGATAATCTGTTTTAATAGATCAAAACTTAAAATAATAATCATGTTAAATGGAGAAATAAAATCGATGAGGCTAGATCAAATATTAATAGCAAAAGTTATTTATTAATTGATAATTATCATGAAAAGAAAAATATTCTATATTATCACTATTATAATTGTTTAAGATTCATTATTATTTGATTTTAATTTGATCTTATAGTTTCTTTTTAATTTGATTAATTTTCTAAGAACAAAATTTCTGTAATTGATTCTTAATTTATTATTTATTGATTTATAATTTACATTTGCTATTAATTAATGATCTTTAATCTCAAAAAATTAATATTCGACAAAATCAAATATTACAAGAAATTCAATAAAACCATATCAAGCCAATAATTCTAAAATCATTAACTATGTAATAGTCTTAACCTGGATTGGCCTTTATAAAGTCTTTTTAGAATCATTTAAAAATTTATTAGATATTTGAACAATATGCCTTTTCTATTCAAGTCAGTCACATCAGAGTACGAATGTGAAATCCTACTTTTTAAAATTAAACAATACTCAAAATATTTTTGAAAAATCAAGTTAAACTTTTTATTCATTCCTATGATTATTTATTATGTAATCAACCCAAGCACAAGTCCAAAAAAGATAATAAAGGTGATTTTCTTATAAGTATTTCATAAAGTTGAAAATGAATTTAGTCGTTAAAGACCATTAGTTGTATTCAGGAAAATTTCATTAACAAATATTATGTTATAATATTTAACTGATAAATTAAAAATAGTAAAATCGTTAAATTAAAGAAATTATTATCAAAAAATCAATAAGAATTAAAATCAAATATTTTCTTGTCCTTAACAGTTTGTAAAAAATTAAATGTAGTATATATTGCATCTATGATAATGAATTATATATATATTTTGAGAATTTTTTAAGACTAGATATCCTAAATATTTAAGGAGTTATTTTATTTATTAATTAAAAATATATTACCATCTTATTTATCATTTTAATACTAACGTTTTAATCATAATTTGGGTTTAAAATAATTTTTTCAAAGAGGTATCAACTATAATTATTTATATAATTTATTAATGATAAAATTAAACTATTTTTATTCAAAAATATTCTTTTAGAATGATATAATCTTATGATGTTAAATAATTTAATGTTTTCTTCTGTATAATCCAAAATTTAATGTAAAAATAACATACTTGTTTAATTTATGTAATAAGTTCATAATATAATTATAAAATAATATCTAAATAAATTATTGTGTTATTATACTTATATGATATTAAATAATTTCATGTGTTCTTTAGCATAATCAATAATTTCTTAATATATTAATATGTTTTTATTATTTATGTATTAATTTTATAATATTATTATAAAATAATATCTAAATATATTATTGTGTTATTATACTTATATGATATTAAATAATTTAATTTTTTCTTTAGTATAATCCTAAATTTACATATCACAATAATGTTAAAGTATTAGGATTAGGTGAATTTCATATAGTATGAAAGCAATATCTGAATTTTAATTTCACAAAAATTAAGCGAGATATATTAATCACAACATATATTTGATGTTCACTTTTTTTTTAATACTAACTCTATGGGTTAATATTGAAAAGAATAAATTTTTTTTTTAATAAAGCCTGTTAAATTATACGAATATCTTTATTATCCTAAACAATTAATGTTGTTTCAGCAAAGTCACAATAATTTTATTTGATATGAAAGCGAAAATTCTCAAGATTTAAAGTGATACTTATTTTATCTATCATAATGCTGAAGTGTGAAATTTTTAGATGGTGATTGACAATGAGTTGATTTCTTTTGAAAAATAAAATTATTATTATTTTTTTTACAATAGATTAAAAAATATAAACATATTAAATTCAATATTTTGTTATATTACTACAAAAAAATTTATAGACATTAAATAAAAGCAATATCAATATTTTAATTTTTTTTATTAATTTTTTTTTTATTAGATTGTTACAATATCTAATTCATAACAATCTAAATTCAGGGTCAATTATATACATAGATTCAAAAGATAATTTTTAATAAAAAAAATTTTGATCAAGCAATTTCAGATTAATTGCTTTTCAAAATTAGAATATAATTATTACTTCATCTTTTTTAAATTAAAAAAATCTCAATTCATAATCGTTATAAGAGATAAAGCCAGCACTCTCTAAATGAAAAAATACTTTTAATGTATAATATATATTTCATTTCTTTCTTGCAATAAGGATTGATAATATTAAAAATCCGATTTCAGCCACTTTTTTCAAAATGGAGGTAGAAGAGAAGGACGAATTTTGATATTCTTCAATAGAACTTTGATTTAATTTCAAATTAGTAATTAAATCTGAAGTAACTTTTTCAAATTCTGTGCAATTGATAGATTTTTCTTTTAATTCTGTTTCACTAAAATAGTAATTATGTTCAATTTATCCTTATTTGACAGTAATTTTTAATTTCCATGTGTCATCATTCTTTTCAAATAATTATTGTTATATTCCGTCAGATATTCCTACTTATTTATTATTATCATTTTTCTCTTATTAATCAGTTTACACATCAGAATCTGCTTAGTTTACTCGTTTTTAATCATACTTTTGTTTGTATTCTAAATCAGATAAAATCTATTGATTTAAATTGATGAATATTTTACTCTGAATGCCTCTTATACATTTGAATATTTATCACTATTTGCTGTTTATGATTCTGGATGATATTTCTTAGCCAATTAATAGTAATGGATTCTAATTTAGGATTAATCAGCTGTAGAAGGAAGCTTTAATATTTTGTAGTAATCTTTAGTATAATCTATTTTGGATGAAACTCTTGAAAAAGCTTTTAGGGTTTTTTAAAACATTTTTCTAATAATTTATTAATCTCAAATTGAGATAAAATAATGGATAGTTAATAAGGGTCCAGACTTGTTTCAGAGTAAGGATCACCAAAGTTAAAATTAACTGCTAGCTAAAGAGCTTAGATAATAAAAGAATTTTTTTCATCAAAAGGCAAATATCCAGTTTTTTCTAATAATCTAATTGACGAAGCAATTAGTTTGAATTTTCTATCATATGATAAAAAAGATAAAATCTTAAGAGATCCAAACAGATTATCAATATTATAAATAGAATTGAATTTAAATTCTCCAAGAACTAAAGAAGCCATGTAATTGATGGAAGTACAAGAAGATTGGTGTCATATAATGTCATTTTTAGATTTTTAAAGTGAGTTTGAACACCCAATAAAATGTTTGGTGGATTATATGGATTATTTATTAGGAAAATCTAGAAAGCTGTTGCAAATAGTTTCTTTAAGAAATAAGCTAAAAAAAATGAATAAAAATAATTCTACAAATAATAATTTTAACGCTAATACACCAATTACTTAATAAGCATCATCTGTATTTATTACTGATAAAAGAAATTCATTAATTCTATCCAAATCATTAAATACAAGAAGTTTAGATTTTTTATAACAATCATTCGATGATAAATTAGAATAAATTACCTAAAGAAATACCTAGTATCTCAATACTCTTAAAAAACATTAATAACTAGATGAAGAATAAAATTAAAAATTATAAAAATACTATTCTTCTACAATTCCTAATATTGCTAAAAAAGTTGAAAAAGTGAAGGAATTACATCGATTGTAACATTATTATTTTATTAAAGAGAACAGAATTAAAGAAAGCAATTCTAAAAATAAAGGCATAAAAAAACTATAGAGAAAATAGAAAAATTAGAAAAGGAGGATAAATAGCATCGACATTAATTTTAAGAATAGTTAAAACACAAATTTGAGCAATCTGAACTCAATAGAAACTAATTAAACTAGTCTTATGAATAAGAATTATAAGAAAATATGGAAAGAAACAAAAAGAGACAGGAAGATAGAGATGCTAAAAGATAAAGAGCTAAAGAATTAGAAGAATAAGAAGTTGAAGAAATTATTGAAAGAAACTTAGAAAAGACATAAATGGCAGAAAACTGCTTGAAAAAAATAAGGAATATAATGAAGTTAAAAAAAATAGAATAGGAGAAAAAGATTGAAATCGCAAATAAAAAAGTAGCTGAGAAATAGTAGGAAAAAGATTAATAAAGGTTATAATATTTTATTTAGATTGCAGATTAAAGTAACAAAATGGTGGAAACTTAAATGCAAATAAGAGCAAAAAGACTGAAAGATTTGAAATTTAAATTTGAGCAATAATAATAAATAGTATAAAAGAACAAAAAGAAGATTTTAAAAGAATTTAATTCTAAAATAGAAGAAATAAGATAATAAGAGGAATGTATTAATATTTTTTTTATTAAATTTAGAAATTTAAGAAGATTTAATTAATGAAAATAAAACTTTGATTATGTTATCAGCGGATAGGATAAGAGAAACTGATGAAAAGAATAAGCTAAGAATGTAAAGAACAACAAGAATTAATTAAGAGCATGAAGTAAATATTTTTAAATTATAAATTTAAGAAATAACAAGAAAAATGGTTATAAAAGATTATTAGCGAGAAACAAAAGTTGAAAAAAATAAAATCAGATTAGGAGATATTTAAGGATACTATAATCAAACAACATTTAGAGCTTAGAAATACAGTGGATAAATTGATAAAATGAGACAGCTCTGTTTTTGATGATCCTCTTATGCATTTTTATTCAAAGCATTAATATTCTTTCTAAAAGTATTTGAATACTTATTAAATTATTTTCATATGATTTAATATAATAGATATATGTGAAAATACAAAATAATTCATTAATCTTACAATTTTTATTATAAAGTTTAACAATTACTTGTAAAATTATGTAATGTATCATTCATCTATTATCGAATTTAGTTCATTTTGAATTCTAATGAAAGCAATTAGTAATCATCATATATTTTACTAATGATAATCTAATTAATTTCCTCTATTGATTAAATCATCATCAATTTGTATTTAACGTCCCTAATTTCATATTGATATTACAATTAATAAAGTCATCTTTTAATATTATTTCTAAGGCAATGGAATCATCAATTTCTACCTTAATAAATTTTTTATAATATCTAATTAGTTTGGCAATAATACAATTCCATGATTTCTTTATCAGTATAAATTTTGTCAGGGATAGTGTAAGCTTTTTTGTGAAATATAGGTTATTTCTTTTGTTTAGGTATTTGAATTCTCATTGGCATTCTGACTTGTCTAATCAAGAGGCATAAATCGTTATTCATAAATTAACGATAAAATAAATAGAGTTCTTAACAATAATATTATTTAAATTTAATGAATAGAAACTTGAAATTAGGTAACAATATTAAATTTAAGGTAGGTGAAATTGAGAATCTTTCAAAAATAAAATTAGCTCGGTTTTCAGAGACAGGCACAAGATTCTTTACATATGTTGATGACTTAAATTAGATTTATATAAATAAGATAGAAAATTCAAAAAATTTCTTAGATTTTAAATTATTCAACCCATTTCAATAGTATTTTGCGTAAAGTCAAAATGAAATTTCAAGCATCATATTTAGTAGTTCCGAAAATGAAATAATAAATGGGTCAAGTAAAGGAATTATCACTTTTATAGATATTTCAACTTAAAAGAGTATATTATATATTATTAAATACTTAGTTTAAACTAATATTAAGGGACATTTATCATCAATAACATCATTAGCAATATTTCCAAATTAAGAACATATAGTATTAAGTGGTGCAATGGATAGTTAGGTAAAACTTTGGGATTCAAGATCTAAAACTGCTGGATTTACATTAAAAGCACATACATTATCAATAAGTGCATTAGTAGTTTCCCCTGATGGTAAATTATTAGCATCTGGTTCAAATGATGGAAGTGTGAAAATTTGGGATATTCATTAACAAAAATTGTTGGCTACTTTTAACGAATCTGATTCTTCCATTACATGTCTATAATTTAATCCTCTTGATAAAGCAATAGCTACAGCATCAGATGACGGATGTATTAAATATTGGGATTTAGATAAATATAATTAGGTAATTTGAAATCTTATATAATAAGATATCTTCAACCAAACCAGATAAATAAACAGTCTATTCTATAAGATTTTGTAATGAAGGAAAATCCTTAATATCAGCATAAAATTTTTCATTTAAATTTTGGGATTTGGAAAGAGATGCTTTATTATTAGATAATGTTGAAAGTAATTGTAAGGGCATATTGGATACTTATGTATTTGATGACAGAGAATTATATAGTTTATCAACTTAAAATTAAACTGGTCTCAGTGTTTTTGAATCAAAATTATCAAATATAAATTTTAATAGCAGATATAGTATTGATAGACATAAGTAGCGAATACATAGTGAAAGAATATAAAGTTGTGAGATTAACGATTAATTTTAATAGAGAAATAGTGTAAACATTTTAAAGCCTAAGAATTCTTAAAGAATCTTTTCAAATAATGTGAATCTTAAGCCACAGAATTAGAATTTAATTGAAGAATAGGGATTCTAATAATGTAATAATAATAATGGGAATAAATTTGTACCTACAACATAGATACCTCAAATGGTTAGTTACGAAAGTGTTATGCAAGAAGAAGAGATCAAAGAAAACTAAGCCATAAATTAAGAGGGTTAGAGCATATTGGATTTAGTTACAAGTTAAGATGAAGTAAATTTATCAAGTTTTGTAATTGATGATGAAAACAAATTGAAGTTTATATAGATAGATTTGATAAATGAGATTGAGAAAGATCACAATAGAGTAAAACAAATATTGAAATAAAGAATAAATTATATGAAACCTATAATTTATTGGTGGAGTAACAATAATTTAAAATCTGCCATAAATGCAATAAATTAATTAGTTGAACCATCAATATTATTTGATGCTTTATCAATGTGTTCTCATAGTTCAAAGTTTAAAATGATACCTATAGAATAAATGCCATAATTATTAGAGAAGTGTAAAATTCTAATCGAGTCAAAATATTTATCTCATATAAAGGGAGGAATAGTGTTTTCTTATAAAACATTTTCAATATATAGAGATGTATAAAATTGTTATTTAGCAATTAGGATATTTTAACAATAAAATGTTTCAATTAGATGTCTAAAGTAGATTTGAGTAGAGAGGAAAGAGTGGCTAAATATGATAAAATAGTAGAATAATTAAAGTAAATAATTTAAATGTCAAAAATAACAAAATTAATCGAAAGAAATAAAGAAGAGATTAGTGATTTAGCTAAAAAATTTTAAATAGAAATGTTAGGCATGTTAAAAAGAATTAATTAATAATAATGATTATGATTTTTTTTCTATTTATTATTTTTCAGAAAAACTTAGTTTCTGTTTCTTTTTCAACAAACAAATCTCTAAAGTATATAATATAAATAAATACCCTTCACCTGCAAAATATGGATACGCACATGTAACAAGAATAATGTTGTATAATAAGTAAACAATAAGAGGAATTGCTGTGCTTTCTTCAACAACAGTAGCTAACATATCTCCTTAAACACAGGACTAATAAATTTTTCCTCTTTTTGATAATTTATCATCAACTTTAAATAGTAATTGATATCTACCTTCATTATAATAACGACTTTGTTTCATTGCCGTACCATTAATAATAGAATAACACATCAGAAATAGTATAATTATTGTATGTCCTAAAAGAAATCCTGGGGTACCTCTCTTACCAAAGAAATATGCAAAAATAAATAATAGTATTGTGTCAGTAATAGTAATAATGAACACCCAAATTATAGCAAGTAAATGTTTACTATCAAAATATCTATTTAATGTGAGAGTGTTTCTTTTGGCGATCTCTGCTGCAATTCCACTTTCATAAATATTAAGATCAAATATTCTAGATATTGAAATCACAGATCCAATAGTCATACCCTTAATTAAGAATGCCAATCCAATTCCAAAGAGAATTCCAAAAATACCATTAAAATCAATCAATGGATTATTGTCGACTTTAAATAAATAGAGTGCACCTCCAAGAAATGTTAATGCTAATAATATGGCTGATCCAGCATTTGTGATTTTTAAATAGATCATATAATTTCTAGCTGCCCATGCCATTTTGGTAAATCTTTCAGATACAACTTAAGTAACATGGGATGCAACACATAATTTAGCTCCATCTTAAGAGAGAGATCCAATATAATAAAGTGGAGTTATTATCAAAACATTTATTAAGAATCCGGCAGCAGCTGCTAAGATTCCTGCATATCCAGCTAATGCATGTGAAGCTGTTGCTATTATTCCTAAGGTTAATACAATGATGATTTATCCGGAAGCACTGAGAAATGTAGCATAATTAAATGATTAGGTTAATATTCTCTCAGATGATGATAATGCCTCTTAATAAATTAATATTTGATACCAAATTTCTAACTGGTTAACATCCATGTGATGTCATCCATTCTCCTATTGATAATAATACTAAATTGCTTAATTGACCCAAAATACAACAATAGGTAATTTTTCTTATAGTAATATCTTCTTTAGCCAATGTTTCAGGTGCTTCAATTCCTTTCAATGAAAATTATTTTAGAATTGTAACCATTGGCATAAAAAAGAAAATAAATAATGTCATTAAATGAGTAATTAAAACTTATTATCTGATATTCAATTTTGTGAATCTCACTACTTCATTATCCCAAATCATGCTCTTCATTGTTTAAACAATCACTGCACAGAAGACATTTACACAAAAATATAATGTTGGAGCTAATAAAGATTTCCATGTAATATTTTCTTTGGCTACTTCTTCTGAATTAGAAAATATTACAAATCCACCAACTGTTAATACTGCTATACATATTGCTGTGTCCAACAGATTTACTATTTATGTACTTATTATGTTAGATATAACATATAATAGTTTAGTAGGTGAGGATATATAAGGATTATTAAAACTTAGATTTCTATCGCATTTCACCAAACCATCAATAGCATTAAATATACTTCTTCCTAAAATACTTGTTGATTCTCTATATATAAATGCACAAACTATTATTCCTAAAGCATATCCACAACAGCATATGCCCATCAATTGTAATTTATCTTATGGTTTGTTATCATTATTTAATCCTTATAAACTTTTGAACAAAAAGAATAATATTAAGAAAATGAAATAAATTGATGCTATGCACATTAAAACAACGCCAAAACCTACAGTATACATGAAATCATATAATTCCCATTTATTTTAAATAGCAGTTGATACAATTTTGCATATTGATCTACCTGCAAATGTGTATGCTGTCCATGCAATTATAGATATTGATACAAATCCAAAAAATAAACCTACTATGAATCCTGCTTTAGTTCCAACAGGAATAAACCAGATCTACATAAATATTTACATATTGATACAGTTGCCAACAGAAACAAAATTAATAAGATTAGAGCGTATATCAGTTAAGTAAAGAACATTCCAATTATTGTATTTGATATTTGAATGCATCCATCAGCCAATTCACTTGCATAGTTATGCCTTACCTATTATTATTTGATTGAATACTTCATATTATCTCACTATTTCTTAGGTTTCACATATCAATTCAAATTATTTTGCTAAATATTGTGGTTCATCATCTCTCTCTGATAATGCTCCACAATATGCCATTATACACCATATTAATGCTAATATTGATGCAAGAATTATTAAAATTATTGGCCAATCTGCCATCAAATCTATTCCAACTGCTCCTGCTGTAAAAAGCAATCCTAGTCCTAGAGCACCGCATAGATATTTGATACACGTTGCTATTGGACCAAGACACATTCCTAATATGTCACCGACACACATTTATATTAAAAACGAATTAATTATAATCTCATTTTCTATAAAATATTCAAATTCATCCTATATTATTATTTTTAAATAGCTCCCCCATGACTTATTTATCTTGTTGTAACAAGGCAACCAATTATTCATATCCATTTTCCTACTTTTAAAAATTTATACATTACCTCGCCATTTGCACTACCAAATAAATGACCTTAACCATTTTGATTATTACTATCATTATTCTCTTCTTCTGAAGTGACAGGTTCTAATTCTGTTTATAATTATTATAATTATTATTGTTATTATTATTACTGCTATAATTACAATTATTATTATTGCTATTATTATTATTACTATTATTATTACTATAATTATTATTATTACAATTATTACTATTATTGTTGTTACTATTATTATTATTGTTATTATTATTACTATTACTATTATAATTATTACTATTATTACTACTGCTATTATTATTATTACTACTGCTATTATTATTATTATTTTTTATTTGCTTTCTATTCACTTATTTTACCTTCGACCCATTTGCAAAATTCTTTTGACTAATATTTATCAAAAAATCATTACCTTAATTACATTCTTAGCTGTATCATATTATAAAGGAGTAAAACTACTCAACATCATTGCTGCAGTTTACTATTTTATAGTGATTACAAAACATAATTTTGATACTAAATTTCCCCAATATTTAATAATTCCAGAATCCCTTCTTTAATAATGTGTTTCAGACACAAATTCTTACAACTTAAAATTTGTAAACAATTATGAATTTTACAATTAATCATAATGCATTAGATATACAACAGTATAAAATGAATCACCCAAAGGAAATTACATAAATTATTAATCTTTTCTTAGCATTTCACTAAATTTTTGAATATCTCCTAAATCACTATATTTTTCTGGGACTACCCATCCTGCTAAAATAATTTACATATTTTTATTAACTAATCTTTCCATCTATTATAAAGAAGTATCTTATTATTAATATTTTTGGTGTTTAAATTCACTAGAAATCTTTGGAAATTCTTTTAATTTATTATCTTATGCATTAGTATAAAATTCACAGGTTATTTATTAATCTTTAATATTAAATCTATATCTCTTTCCTATTTTATAAATTTTATCTCCAAAGTTAAGAGGAGCCACCTAATAATTAATTAATTAATATACTTCAATTTTTTATATAACCACTTTTTATTCTGGTTCTTCATCATCTGGATTATATAGAATGGGTTTATTTGGATTTTCCATTTTTTAAATTTCTAATTCTGGTAAGTCAGATGACATGGATTCATTGACTCCTTTACTAATAGACCTACTTGGAGAGAGTAAAGATTTTTAAGATTATTATTAATGTTATGATTATAATGATTATTATGATTAAAGTGATTATTGTGATTAATATTGAGATGTTTATTTGTTCTAATCCTAATAAAAAGTATCATAAATAGATTATTATTATTAATGTTATTTTTATTATTATATTATCTACTGGGGTTATAATTATTATTATTTTAGAAATGGTTATTATTATTATAATGGTTTGGATTGTGATTAAATTTATTATTATTATTATTATTATTATTATTATTATTATTATTATTATTATTAGGTTTGTTATTATAGTTTAATATTTGGATAAGAATCATTCAAAATTTAATTAAGAACATCTTCTTTTGTTAATTTAGTGTTAGATTGATTTGATTAAACCTATTTAACAATAGGTTATGCATTTTTTTAATTTACTGGTTAGATAGCAACAATTTTATTCTTATTTGGGGCTAAAGGATTATAATCCTATTATTATTGTTATGATGATGCATTAGGTCTTTACATCAATTTTTCTTCTATTTATAAAAGTGCCTTGCTTTCATATTTTTTGACTGCATAATTAACTTATTCAATATTGCATCCTTTTTCAACTATTCTTTTTGAGAAATTAGGTAATTATTGCAATTCTTTAAAAGTTTAAATAAGTGCTGTCATTCTCTCCAAATACACTAAATTATATAATATATAAATTACTTGATTTATTTGTATTGAAAGTACCAAACTCTTAATTTTCAAAAATCTTAATTTTGTTTTCAAAAAATGCCAAATTTTTCAATGAAGATAAAGTAGGATTACGTTAAATAGCTGATAATAATTCTTTTTTCTTTTAATCTCTTAATTATTAAGTAACAGTTTCATTATTTTACTACTTTTTCACTTTTTTAATGCTATCAACTTAATTATTTAATTCATCTTTTTCTTCTCTTTATAAATTCTTTTTTCTAATTTATTATTATCTTTATTTTCTATCAAAGTATGAATTTATATCATCAAATGGTTTTTTTGGTTGTAATTCTCTTAATCTTTCTAATTTATCATGTTGAGTAATATGCTAAAGTTCTATTTAAAGTTGAGAAGCATCAACTTTTCCATCACCACATGAATCTAAGCATGATCCACTTGCTACAGAATCAATTAATTTAGTCATAATTTATTCTAAATATATTAATGGAACTTTCATTTTTTCAATTGATAATTTTTAATTATTTATTAATGCTTAATCAATTATATCATAACCTTGATTTAACATATTTCTAAAAGAAGCAAATCCCCATTTTTATTAAGGATTTTCTTTAAATTAATTGACTTATTTAATCCAAATAGCAATTTTGACCCTTTCATATTAATCTCCCCATCTAAATATACTAAGTAAATCATGGAAATCATTAAAAGCTTATTCAGTTTATAAATTATTCTCTATAAATTCTAATTTTTTATTAAATTCTTAATATTCTCTAATAAAATGATCAGCATCAGGATATACAATTATAATATCTTTATATTTCTTTTAAAAATTGTTCATCAAATCTGTCAATTCTTTACTATTAGGATTTGTCTTCTATTTTGATATTGTTTATCTTAATGTAGAATAATTTTGTTTAAGCTATTCAAATGAATTCAACCAAGATTAAACTAATTGTTTCTCTTCTGGTAATGGTAAGTTTTACAATTTTTCTAAAATGTTTTAAACTACAACTTCCTTAGTTTTAATTTGAGATTTACAAATCTCTTGAATTTCATTTTAGATTTAGAGACATTCATGATATCTAATTTCAACATCTTATGATCTTTCTATATTTATATTTTATATTTTATCAATATCTTTTATAGATTATTATAATTCTTCAAAAGTATAAGATTGATTATTTTTAATCTTATTGGCTATAATTTAAATCTTTTCAGCTATATTTAATAAATTATTCAATTCAATAATGTAATCTGGAATTTATAAATTACGAAATTGTAATAATAATATTAGACTATTATATTATTTTTTAGCTTTCTATAATTCAACTGTTTTATTTCCTTTTAATATTTCTTTTAATTTTAATAGGTATATGTTAATCTTCAAATCATCCATTAATTATTAATCTTAAATAAATGATTAAATTAATCTTTAATATAAAGATGTAAGAGCAGAAATATCTTCACAAGAACAATTTTTAAATTCTTCTTGAATTTAATAAATATTTTAAAAATCTTAATAAAATTCCTTTGAAATAAATTCATGTGCTATATTACATGTTTTTATTTCTTAATCTAATAATCTTGCTTCAATAATTGTAAAACATTATTTGAATTTTTATAAATCTTACTTTGATTTCCTTTTCTCTAAGAATATCTATTTTCTATTATTATAATCTTTGATTTTATCAACTAATGCATTAAAACAAGCAATTTTTTAAAGCAAACTTACACATATTAATGATTGTTTAGGAATATGTGACATAACAATAACATCTTATAATAATTTTAAACTTTCATATGTAAATTCTGGAATTGTTGTTATTTCAAAATATTTCTTTATAATTGTAACCCATACATTATATATTTTAACTTAATCCCAGATTCCTCCTTTTATACAAAGAGTTACTTAACCATATAAATAAAACCATCCTTCTAAATCTTAGACAAGAGGCACTTAAAATAGATAATTTCCAATCTAAGAACCTAATGCAAATACTATTTTGTGTTGATTAGAGAACATCTCAGAAAATAATAATAATTTTGCTTAATCATTTTCATCTAATGTAAATGTCTTAGATAGTACTTAATCAATTAATGATAATTGTATTTCTTATTTAGATTCCCATAAAGATAATAATAATTTAGCTTGTTTTTACCAAAGAAAATGTTAGTAATTATTTAATACAATATTTATTCTTTTATCAAGTATTATTGATTATTTACTTAATATATTATCTAATTCTAGTATGATATTTTCATTATCATCTTTAAATAGAATTTAAAAAGGATTACAAACTTAATTAATTTTAAATTATAAATCTGGATTTTTATCATCTTCAATTTCCATTTCTTAATCTGGAGATTTATATTTTTAATAAAATTCATATAATTATTAAATAAATTAGCAAGCTTTATTCAAACTCTATAATTATTATTTCTCTTCATAAATTATTTTACTTTAAGAAATATCTTATAGTAATTATTTAGCCTATTCTAATTATTCTGTTTCAAATATTTCATTTTCTAATAAAACTTTAATTTCTTTCTTCTTCTATAAACATTTAGTTATTTCTTATTCAAATTGATTAATAATCTTTTCATCAAAATTTAATTCTTTAGATTTTTCATATGCTTATTCTAATTATTAAAGTGTTTAAGATTTAGCAATTCTTATTTTTTCAACCTCTTAAAATTATTCTAATCTTTTCTATAATTCAGAAATTTCAGGTACATCATAAATCTTATTCATTTATATTTCAGCTTAAAATTTCTTTCTCATTTATTCATTTAAATTCTTTTATTCTATCATACCTCTTAATTTTTATCTAAACTCATTTAATTATTTTTCAACTTATTCCAAAATCTATTTATCTTTTTCTGGAGCTCTAAGCTCAATAGATAATTATTTTAACATTTAAAGATGTTCCTATGTTATCTTAATTTAAATATCTTTAGTAACTTAGATTTCACTTTCATCTTCATCTTTTTCTTATAATTCTAAATCTTGCATATATCTTTCATACAATTAATATTTAGATACAAATTCATACAAATCAGGAAAATCTTTATAATGAAATGGCAATTCTTCAAGCTTACTTAATAATATTTATATTTCTTCATTTGATTTAGTATTTTCTAATTATTAAACAATTAATTATCCTTCTTACAATTCTTATTTTAATATTTCAACCCATGGTACTAAAATTAATAAGGCATTAAAATCTTAAATTGTTTTTTCTACAAATTCTTTACTTAATTTAATTTAATTTAATTTGATTCTAGTTTCAGAGGTAAGACTATAAAATTATTAGTAATTTTTAATTTAAGTCATTTATAGACCTAAATAACTTTGTAATTTTTCATAATCTTCTAATTCATCTTCTATTTCATCTTCTTCTTCAGAATCCTAGACTTCTTCATTCATAATTTATTCAAAATCACAGAATTTATCTTCAGCTTCTTACAACTTATTAATGAATCTTTTCTTAATTAGTTTATATTCCTAAACTTATTATTATAAATATATGAATTCTTAAAATTCATTTGATTTAAATTGATTTTAAATTGTTTTTTTAGTTATTTTAGTTTTAGATGTAATAATTTGAAATGCTGATTATAAATTATTCAATTTATTTAGTAAGTCAATATAAAATTTGGATTCATCAAAATCTTTAAATAAATTAATAACTTAATTTAATTTATCTTTCAAAGCATTATTATATAGAATGTTTTATTAGATTATTTGATTAGATTCATCTAATTAAGATAATATAATCCATTAATTATTATCTCTATAAGGTATTTATTATTTAAAAAGGAAATTCATAAAATCAGTAACATTAGATTTTTGTTTAATTTATGATAATTATTATTATAAGGGTTGATAGAATGGTAAATTACCTAATATGGTTTCTATAATTGAGTATTCAGATTCAGAATCTAATAAATAATTATTAAATATTTACATGATTATATTTGAGCAGTCAAACTTCTTTCACAATATATACCTAAAATAATTAGAGTATTGAATGTCATTTTTAAAAAAGGTGGCAATAAAGATTTTAAATTATTAACAGGAACATACTTAAGAATATGATCAAATCTATAATTGCTCCATTGATTACAAAAAGGACAGAAATAATGATCTTTATTTTTTTATTCTTCATAATCATCTTGATATTAACGTAAACATTTATCATGATACCATTCCATACAGGTTTCACATTAAACCATTTCTTCAGAATCATTAGCTAATTATTATTAACAACAACAATATATCTATTAATTCTAATGAGGAGAACAATAGAATTCAACCAATTAACTATTTTAATATAAATAAAATACTCTTTTTCTTCTTCTATTTTTTCTTATTATTAATACATATCATATAATTAGTCTATATTAATTGATTTGTCCACTTTCTATATTTCCATAAATTATTATAAGATAATTTAAGATTTATTTTTTAATTAAGTTTTATCATTTCCTGCTTAAACAAGATTACCAGAACAGAATATTTATTTATAATTAAATTAGATTTCCCATCCTGTTGATTTTTATGAATTTTCTGAGTATTATAAATTATAACCACCAAAACTTACTATGTAATTAACAATACAATATATATGTGCATAAGTATTACATTCTTATTATTAACATTTAATTGTGGCTCCTTATGATTTACAATAAGAACATATTTATTTAGGAATTTATATTACATTATTAGATTTCTTGAATTTGATTTCCATAAATGATGTTAATTCAACATGTTTAGATAGTAATCCACAAAGGGGATGAATAAATTCATTTGTATCATTAATTCTTTTTTTCAAACCACCTTTTTGATTACATACAATGCATATTTGATCTTATTTTTGACTATATTTGCATTTATCACATGCAAAATATCCTTAATTATTAGAATTGGGATTCAACTCTATTTCAGTGGAAATACCATAACAATACAAGTGACAACTCAATTAACAACCATAACAGGATATTATTGTCATACCTTTATAACTATTATTTTTCTATGTTTACCTCTTTCTTATTATTAATATCTGCTTTCAAATCCAACTGCACAAATATCACAAGCTTAACTCTAAATGATTTTAATATATTTATACTTATAAATCCCTTGATATTGTTAATTTTTTGGGTCTGAATCCAATATCTTTCTTATTTAATTGGTTATAAACTAAAGATAAAATAGGAATTAAAATTAATATATAATGGTATATATAGCGAACAAATGCATTATTTATAACACACCTACTGAAAGATCTTATTGCTCATTTTCTTTGTTGTCCATTTTGTTACTTCTAATTTGCTTAAAATGTTTAAAAAAAATAATTAAATTATTTATATCAAGAATTCCTTTTAATTATATATATTATATACATTATGTAATCCTTTAACTACTTTTATGTCTACTTATAGTTCTCATAAATAAATAATTTATCAATCAATAAAATCAATTCCACTTAATTAATAGTCATCTATCTCTATAATCTACAACCATATATATATATTTATATTAAAAATATATAAATTATCGTTAATGATTCCCTCTAAAATTATCAAAAGATAAGAATCACTAACATCAAATACAATTTAAGATCTATCATAAATGAAAAAGGTACAAAGTAATCTAATATTGGTATCCAAAGCATGTAGTTTACCAAAATAATTTCAGAAGAATGAGAAATTGAAAACTTCTGGAAATAAAATAGAATCTATTAAACATTCAAAAAACAACTCTATGAATCATTTATCAACTACTGAAAATACTAAAATTATTGATTCTATTCAAAATGTTTCTTCTATTTATATTAATAACAAAACAGAAGAATTTTAAATAAGAAATGAGATTCAACTTAAATCATAAATTATTATGGATTTAAATAAAAATATATCCTAATTATAATTTCATAATGCCAATTAATAAGTTACGATATCATAATTAGAAAAAGATGTTTAATAATTAAATTAAACAATAGAAAAAATGTGTTAATAACTTTCAGATTCTAATAATGATAATAGTAATGAATTATTAGATCTTAAAAATTAAATTGCAAAAAAAGATAAATTAATAATGTTTTACAAATCTGAAAATTAATAATTATTAAATATTATTAAATAGGGATCATATGCTAAAATAAAAATAGATAAAGAAAATCAACCTAATATCACTTAAGCCAATCAATAGGATTAAATTAATTATTTAAAAGATTAAATAGATTTATAAAGATAATAATTTTAATAAACTGAAGATTCTTTATAAAAATAAATATCAGGATTAAATCAATTTGTTAATGAATTATTTTATTAATAATCATCTGAAAGATTAAATACTAATATTAGCAATAGAGCTGATAAAGATATTAGAAATAGAAAACTTTCATTATAAAATGATATGGATTCATTCTAATCTTAATTATAACATCTTGATAAATAATAATAAAGATTAGATCATTAATTTGATAATGTATAATGTAATCTTAATTAATTAAATGAAAAACATTTAAATACAGTTTATACTGATAATCTAAATACACATAATATAAAGGAAATAACAAAATTAAAACAAATTGTTCAAATACAAAAGAAATAAATTGAATTATAATAAAAAACTATACTTAATCAACACTTTGAAATTCAAAATTTATAAACATTACTATATAAAAATGATTAAGATAGTCTCCCTAAATTTAGTGAAAAAAAAGAAGTTTAAGAAGATATTATAACAAATGGTTTTACAAATTCTCCAAAAGATGATATGTATAATTATTATTATTATATTATTTTTTAGTTATCATTTGAATGACAGTTAAAGTGAGATTAAACCTAAATACTATTTGGATAATATTTTAAATACATTCTAGAAATTTTAAGTTATAACAGAAGAAAACACTTTCAGAAATTGAATTCTATACTTTATATCTTTATTAAATATAAACCTTGATTTTAATTAATTAATTACATATAATATAAATCTATTAACTCAATGGATTAACCAAAAAATAAAATAATATTAACTGGAGATCAACCAGATAAATTAAAATAATTATAACTTAGGGTTCAAGTAGAAGTACCAAAATTAGTAAGAGATGATTTAATTTAAAAATACTCAAATGAGGATCATTTAATTAGATTATTAATTGCTAGAGAATGGAAAATTAATGATGCATTTGAATAATGGAAAAGATGGGTTGAATGGAGAAAATTATATAGAGCAGATGATATTAAGATTGAAGAAATTTAATAAGAAATAAGTTTAAGAAAAGCATTTTGGAATGGAGCTGATAAATTAGGAAATCCATGTTTAGTTGTGAAAGCAAAGAGACATTTTCCTGGTCAAAGTAATCCTGAAACATTAATAAGATTTTTTTTATATATGATTGATTAAGGTATACAGAAAGCTGATTAAGCTGGTACTGGTAAAATTAGTGTGATTTGGGATAGAGAAGGTGTTACATCAAAGAATTTTGATTCATCAATGTTTACAATAATGAAGAAAATGGTGACTTTGGTATAAGATAATTATGCAGAGAGATTACATTAATTATTCATTCTATATCCTAATTTTTTAGTTAAATCTATTATGACTGTTGTAAAACCATTCTTAAGTGAGAAAACAAAATCTAAAATAATATTGTGTAATAATTTGAAGGATCTACAAATTTATTTTAATGATAATTATATAATATCTGATGGTCTTATGGATGATAATGTAGAATAAATTCAAGATGAGGATACTGAAGAAGAGAAAAAAAAAATAGAATAAATGATAGCAGAGTAATAATGATATTATTAAATTTTAATAGTATAATAATTCTATTTATTTTTTTGTATATTTTTATTTAGTATTTTAAATACTTCTTTATTAAAATAATATTGTATATATTCATATGAAAATAATATTCTTATTTCTAAATGTTTATTTTATCATTATTAATAATTATATTGAGAATTCTTTTATATATATAAATATTAATTAAAGAACTTAAATGATTTATATAGTATATTATAAACTTATAATATCAGACTAAAAAGTAACCTTTTCTTCTTATTGGTGGTTATGGTAAAGTTGGTGTTTTTTCTTATGAAACAATCCATTATTGAATATTATTAAATTATTCAATAGTTCTGTTTATAATTTTATTAAATTTAATCCCTTCATATTTATTATATAGTCCTTCATATCTTGGAGAATTATTAAATCCAGTTTTATCACTGGCTAAAGCTATATATTGATACATTTCTAATTTTCTATTAGGTGTCATATGACTCATTAAAACCTTATCTTTAATTGACCCAATACTTTAATGAGGATTAGATACTATTAATTTAGATGGTTCATAATTTTCATTTGTGAGTAATTAAGAATTATATCTCCTTTCTGTTTATCGAATATTTAAATTAGCTTCATCCTTAATAACTTTAATATCTGGTATTTTTTTTTAAAAGTATTTTTCAACATAATATTTCTAATGAATATTATCAGATTTTTAAGGAAATACAATTTCATAACATTCATCATCAGATGATACTTATTCTATATCAACAATTAAATGATCTTTATTTATTTTATTTGATAAACTTCCTTATTCTAATCTACTCAAGGCTAATAAACGGACTCTTGAATTTTCATCCTAATAAAAGAATAGAGATTACCTCACAATTTCCATTAATCATTCTTTCATGAAAGAGTTTGGCCTTTTCAATTTATCCAACATAAAAATAATATTTACCCAATAATTCATATGCAAGTAATTCATCATTCTTTTATTTAAGTCTCCAAGCTGCCATCAAATATTTTGTAAAATATAATTAACTTAATTTTGGATAAATTCTTAATAGACATTCACCTAAACCTCTGTAAGCTTTCATTTTATTACTATAATGTGCATCAGTATCTGATAATCTTTTACATATTTTAAAATATATAGCTCCTTGTATTGGATTATAAAATAATTATTCTATTTTTCCAAAAATATAAAGTATTCTTTAATGTACACATATGTTTTTTTATTTGAAACATTCAAGTAATATTTCTTTCATTTATTATTCACACTCTTATCTATTAAATTTATAAGCTAATAAACCAGTTAAATTTTATATAAGTTATTCCATACTTAACCATGCTTCAGTTAAGTATCTTGAAACTTTTTGATCAGCAGTAATCTCATCATAATCTTAGGAATCTCTTATTGATTTAATATCTTCATTATATTATTAGATTATATATTAGGTCATTTTATAAATGCGAGATTATTTTTTTAATGTATCAGTATTAGTCTATAATGCTTCAGGAGCCTTGTAAACATTAAAGAAATCACTTTATCTAGTACATTTTTTAGTAAGTCTTTATCCTATCTTTCTTTAAGATTTTGTTTGTTTCATTTTCAATTCAGGTAATTGAGCAAGAGGAGTTTGATGATTACTTTCTGTTCTGTCTGTTTATGGTTGACGTAATTCTCTTAAAGTCATAGCTTTATTTAAAGATATTTGAGTCTTTGATAATGTTGTTCTAGATATTCCCAAACTATCAGTAGTGTAATCTTAAGAAAATTTAATATTTTTCATTAATTATTTATAATACAAATCAGAATCCTATTATTAATTCATCATAGTTCATTTTGTCTCTCAAAGTTTCTACAAATGTTCATTCTAATATAATAAATATCACATTACAAGAATTTTGGAGTAGTTAATAATTATAATCCTTAAAATCTAGGTAATTTTGGAACAACATAAGCAAGGTAATAATAAGTATGTCCAATCAATGCTCCTATTAAATTAGATTGAATTGATCTTCCAGATATTATATTTAGAAATATAAAAAACCAAACCATATATTATGCTTTGATTGGAATTACAAACATAACTAAATAGACATAATAATTTTACATAATAAAGGTCTTTCTTAATTTTATCTACCCCAAACATACATTAATGCTTCCACAAAGTATTCTGTCAATGAATGCTCATTCAACCATAATCCAATTAATGTAATTGTGATGAAATTCAACATCAAATAATATAGATAATTTGCAAATCCTCTAAAAGTATGTAATTCTAATGAAGATGATATTGATTAACTATTTATCAATATTCAATATTTACAAAAAGAATAGTCGTAATACTGTTATTAAATCCAAATCTCCAAAATATAAAATACTTGTTAATGCTCTCCACGGCTATTCAAAATATAATAAAAAGTACTTAAAATTAATCCGAAAAGGCTAATTTATAATTTAAATATAGGTTTGAAGGTTTCAAATACTAAACATATGTAGCATAACTCAATATCACACTACTGATTACGATAACTCTAGTTAAAGGTGGAATATCTAAAATATGTTGCAATACCATTCTCAATTTTATAAATATTAATAATTCCATTTTTCAATAAATAACGAATAAAATTAAAACAAACATAAAGAGTCATCAATTTTTTTATCAAATTAACACTTACAATCTTAATAAGAATAATTTCTTATAAATAAATTAAACAATAACTTTTAAACATATCACAATATTAATTACTAATACCTAAAAATTGTAAACAATTTTGTTTGATTAAGTTGTTTTAATATTTCTCTAAATTAAACTTTATTTATGATGATAGTAACTTTAAGTAATTATAATATTATTTATTCAATTATTCAATTTAATTCTAAGTTATTTAATTAAATATAATTAAGAAGTTGTAACCCATATATGGTAAAAACTAATTACAATACAAAGATAGAATTATAAATACTTTGTTTAAATTATCTCTCTAATTCATAAGTTTATTATCAAATATAGTAATATTAACAATAATCTAGTTTTCATTTTAAAACTATGATAAATTTACGAAGGATATTAAAATATCAAGTAAATAATGAAACAAAATAATTTTTAATAGATTAAAAATGAAAACTCCTTAGATCTATAAAATAACTAATATAATTATATTATTTTTATTTTCTTTAATTTATCTTATAAATACACATATATATTCAATTTAATCATGATAACATTAATTCTAAAAATATTAATTATCAAAATTGATTAATTAAGTATTATTTTTTAAACATTTATATTAGTTTATAATACAAAATATCATTAAAATAACTTTGTTTAAAAAAATTATTAAACCAGGACTTATTCTTTGTTAAGAATATAAAAACTGAATTTCCATTGATCATCTTACTATATTAAATTAATTTATATGTAATAATACTAAATTTTAATGTTTTTAAATTATCCATGATTAGTCAATATTATACCAAAACTCTTTATCAAAAGCTAATTGATGAAAAATATTGAAATAAAAATATAAATGAAACTATAACTCTTTATTGAATAAAATAAAAAAGAACTCTCTCATATATATAAATATATATATTTTATATTATCATAAATGTTCAGTAAAAATATGAAATTTATTATTTAATAATGAGTTCATGAATAGAAACAAACATTAAATAGATTCTACCCATTCTTTTGGGTTCTAATTATTATTTGTTGAATTTATAAAATAATCGATAACATATGTATTATTTGTACTTTTGTTAAGAAAATTACCTATAGAAACTAACTACTCATATACTTTAAGTATAAAGAAAGGAATAGGGAATGATTAAATGGAAATGATTAAAGAAACATGAAATTAAATTTAAATATACATTTCATGTAATAACAATAGAAATGATCGCTTTTAAGGTACTAAAATCAAAGAGAAGTATGAATTAATAATAAATTAGAATGAAATTGACAATTTTAATATACTCTAAGTTTTATAAGGGTAATTAAAAACAAAGAATGACATAATGTAAGGAAAGATTGTTTAAGAGTTGATTTTTACATAAAAATTGATGTTTTTAAGAAAATTGAAATGTAATTTAAGCATTTAGAATAGGGATATGAAGAATGAAAGATCAAAATTGATATTTTTTTGAAAAGTGTTATAAGTGAAAAGTAGGTTTATATTAATTAAGTAATTAAATTGTATTAAATCATTCATTTAAATGAGAGGTATGATATTTTTAATTTGTGGTAAATGGTTTTGAAATGTAAAAAGTAAAGTAGAAAGTGATTAAGATGAATTTTACAGAACAAATTTAGAGGAAATAGAGAGGAAATATTTATAAATTTAAAAAGTTGTTACAACTAATTTAATAAAAAATAAATTATTATTATTTTTCATATATTCAATAACATTAACATTAGGTAATCAAGAATTGATTCTTGGTAATATAAAACCATATTATGATTAATATAGATTATGTTAGATTGGAAATGGATATTAAGTTTGATTTGGGGAAGGAGGTTCATGTTCTTATTTTACATTGATATATTGTTTAACTTCTAGAAGTTACTTAATTATCAATTAAGATGCCCATAATAAATTTTGTAAAGTACTCTAATAAAGTGGATTAGAGTTTCCCATAGCTTTTTAGAATTATTAAGATAATATCATATAGAGTTTCTAACATTACGATTGAAGAAGAGAACGTTATTCTTTTGCCAATATTACTTAGTCTTCTTATGAAGGTTGCTTATCCATATAAATCTATAAAATAATATTTAAAAGTACTTGACTAACTTCAGATGATACAATAGGTTCTGATAATTAATAGGTGAATGGATTTACTATTGAAATTTTAAGGATATTCTAAATCTTAAGCTTCTTCTTTCTTGTTTCCTTTTTACCTATACGACCATCTTTTTCAAATGCTTTTTAAATTGTGCGAACAGTACAATATTTTAGTTTAAGTCTATTAGCTACCTATATTAAATAATGTTTAAAATATCATATATATTAGTTATAGGTATTGATAATTTTAGCAAAATTTGATACCTCTTAAAGGGATAGTTTGTCATTTATAAGTAGCTTTAATACTATTCTCCTTTCTTCTTTATTGATCTTTTAGTATTTTCTTGTTTTTCTTTGTTATTCATTGGCATCACTTGACTTTGTCATAATAAAAGAATCTTATTTTATTATATTTATAAAACAAAATTTAAAAATAATGCTTATTAATTTAAATTAAGATTCAATTTTTTATTAATTAAATATACTAATCTGCATTGATTTAGTAATTATTAAAAAGTGATTCAACATCATCTATCAGCCTTTGAAACAAAAATAAACTGAGATTTAAGAATCTATAAATTAAAATATATATCTTATGTAACTGTTTTACATATTACTTTTCATTAATATTTCTAAATAATTTAGAGTACTTTATATATTATATCATCTATATTTTTTAATGCTATCTTCTTTAATATTGTATCATTAAAATAAATATCCCAGCATATCAATATAAAAAATACACATATTCTTGATTATTGATTTTTAGGCAATGTTCTCAATTTCGTTTTTAAATCAAACAATTTTTTCAATCATTCATCTAAAAAATAATCTATAAAACTCTCTTTTATTTAAACAATTATAAAGATCTTTACTAATACTTTTTTAATGACTTTGAGTTTAATTTTCAACACACATTTTTTATGATTAAAATTTCAAATTATTCTTACTCAACAGAAAATTTAATGAAATTTTGAAACAATTACTATTATTATACAACTGTTTATCCATTTTTTTTTAATATAGAATAGGTGTTATTCAATTATCTTATAATTTGAAATATGTACCATAAATAGAAATCAAAACTAAAATTTCCTTTTAATACTTAGTTATTAGGTGTATTATGGATTGAAAGTGTTTTATTTTTAGAGAGAGAAAATAATTAGCAAAAATATTTAATGATCTAAATTTAGTACAAAGATGGATATATTTTTGATATATTGTATAGTTGGTTAAAATACTGAAGTAAATGAATTCTGTTTATGATGGAATTAAATGAGTAACATCAAAAAACAGAATAAATAGAATAGTTCTAAAATTAGGGTTTGCAGTTTTGAAGAATCTATAGTTAAATGAATATTTCATATAGTATTATTTAATAATATTGTTAAATAAAAGAATGATATTAGTACGTGTTATGGTATCATTCTATCTTTTTCATCATTGTGAAAAATTCATTTAATGAAATTTGTCCATCAGAATTGGAATCAAAATCTTGTACCACTTATTTCCAGATATCTTCTGAGATACCACTAAATATTTCTTTCAATTCATCTATACTAATCGAACCACTTTTATCNAGTGATTCAACATCATCTATCAGCCTTTGAAACAAAAATAAACTGAGATTTAAGAATCTATAAATTAAAATATATATCTTATGTAACTGTTTTACATATTACTTTTCATTAATATTTCTAAATAATTTAGAGTACTTTATATATTATATCATCTATATTTTTTAATGCTATCTTCTTTAATATTGTATCATTAAAATAAATATCCCAGCATATCAATATAAAAAATACACATATTCTTGATTATTGATTTTTAGGCAATGTTCTCAATTTCGTTTTTAAATCAAACAATTTTTTCAATCATTCATCTAAAAAATAATCTATAAAACTCTCTTTTATTTAAACAATTATAAAGATCTTTACTAATACTTTTTTAATGACTTTGAGTTTAATTTTCAACACACATTTTTTATGATTAAAATTTCAAATTATTCTTACTCAACAGAAAATTTAATGAAATTTTGAAACAATTACTATTATTATACAACTGTTTATCCATTTTTTTTTAATATAGAATAGGTGTTATTCAATTATCTTATAATTTGAAATATGTACCATAAATAGAAATCAAAACTAAAATTTCCTTTTAATACTTAGTTATTAGGTGTATTATGGATTGAAAGTGTTTTATTTTTAGAGAGAGAAAATAATTAGCAAAAATATTTAATGATCTAAATTTAGTACAAAGATGGATATATTTTTGATATATTGTATAGTTGGTTAAAATACTGAAGTAAATGAATTCTGTTTATGATGGAATTAAATGAGTAACATCAAAAAACAGAATAAATAGAATAGTTCTAAAATTAGGGTTTGCAGTTTTGAAGAATCTATAGTTAAATGAATATTTCATATAGTATTATTTAATAATATTGTTAAATAAAAGAATGATATTAGTACGTGTTATGGTATCATTCTATCTTTTTCATCATTGTGAAAAATTCATTTAATGAAATTTGTCCATCAGAATTGGAATCAAAATCTTGTACCACTTATTTCCAGATATCTTCTGAGATACCACTAAATATTTCTTTCAATTCATCTATACTAATCGAACCACTTTTATCCTATATTATATAATATTTTACTTTATCAAGCATTCTAAATGTCATCTTCAATCTTTATTTAGATAATAATTATTATCTATCAATAGTGGCAATAACAAACTCTACTCATATAAATTATTATCATAAGTACCAGTATAATCTATTGAACCAGAATTATTTTTATCCACTTATAAAAAAATACGATTGACTTCTTCTACTGCTTCAACTGGTTTCATAATCTTAGAGTATCCTGCCAATAATTCCTCTTTACTTAATTTACCATCTTGATTGGTATCAAGACATTAAAAAGTTTTTAGTAATTCTGTCTTCTCTTATTTTGTAGCTAATTGATTCACAATAAATTTAACAATTGATTCTTGCAATTTTTATTGAGTTATAAATTTCTTCAAATTTTTTAATACTTTAGTCATTAATGGTTTATCAAATTCAAGAGGATTATTAAACTTCTTAATCCAAGGTTCTGATAAGGCTTATTGAGCATTTAACCTTTTGCCTAAGAATCTATAACACTGAACTACTTGGATCCAATTCTAACAGTTTTCTAATGTAATTTTTAGCTTCTATAGAAACATCTTCCCATTCTTAAGAATCAAAAGAATAAACTCCTTAAGAAATTTTTTCCATTATTTTATCTTCATTTTTACCATCAAATGGAGGATAACTTAATAATATATATATATTACCCACATAGAAGTATGTATAAAATTACACCACAAGACCAGAGATCACATTTTTCATCATATTATTTCTTTAAGATTTCAGGTGCTATGTAATATGGAGTTCCTAATTTTTAATTCAATTTTTAATTGGGAACAAACTCTTTTGAAGTATCAAAATCTATAATTTTGAGTAAAGAATTTTCTTCTTCTGATTCATACAATAAATTCTCAGGCTTTAAGTCTCTTTTTTAACATAGTTATTGTAATACCTATGTACAATCTTTTATTCATGACAATAATTAACTGCAGATAATATTTACTTCATTATTTCAGCAGCTTTCTTTTCAGAAAAACTTCCCTCTGCTCTAATTTTATCAAACAGTTCTCCTCCTGTACATAATTCTGTTACTATATAGAAGAATCTATCATCTTAATAAAATTCGTATATCTATATAATGTTTGGATGATCCTTTAATATATATTATTATATGATACTAATTTTTACAGTATTTCAACTTCATTAATTAACCTTTCTTGTTCTTATTTGGTTGTTTAAGATTTATGAATTATTTTAACAGCCCTCATTAAATTAGTGCTTTTATGTATTGCTTTACGCACTTCCCCATAAGCTCCTTGAATTACAATGAGTATTTATATATACCATTTCCTAATGGAGGATTTAAGAGTGTATAATCCTTTGTTATTCTTCCCAATTTCTTATTTGTTATAATTAGATTTCCAATATCTGATTAAACTATTTAAAATTATTCCCATTAATACCATCATTTAATTGATATTTTTAAGGAGTAATATTGTCTGTATTTGATTGGTTCTATTAGTTCTTTAAAGATGATTCATTTTAAGGACGTTTTCCTGAACAAGTACCCATAAATTATTATTTTTAATTAAATAAATCTGAGAACTTGTCCTCAAACCAATAATGAAATTCTTCAAAAGAAAAACTTTATTAAGGTTGATTATGTATTTTCTAGAATGTTCCTATGCATTCCCATCCTGATATTGATAGTCTTATCAATATTAAATTGAATACTTGGAAAATTACAGATAGAGGATTAAGCAAAACCTTAATTGAAGAAATTTTGTTATTTCTAAATTCTTATAAGATTAGAACTACAGAACAAGATGAATTAATCAATCATTACAATTATGTTTATACATAATCTTTAAAGAAATTTAATCAATTTGGAACCATTCTAGATAAAATCATACTAATAGTATTATATTTATATAAGACTTCAATAGAAAGTGTTATTATGTTTTAAGTCTCTTGAAATGGGGAATCTAACTCCTGTTGATGTTTGGTGGGTCTTAAGAAAATTTTTAAATAAGATACTGATTATTGAATGAACAATATAGAGTAGAAGATGATAATTTTTTGGAAATGAATTTCTTGATTAAATTTTTCTACGTTCTCAAAGAATTTATAAGAATTGAACTTAAAAAGAATAACTTTGAATTAAATCAGTATATTCTCTCGATTAGGCATGATTGATCAGATATTCTAATACATAAAGCTAGAACAGTAGATATCTCAAGAACTTAATAAAAAAGATTAGAATCAATATGATAACTACCTCAATTTTTAATGAATATACAAATATATTGAAAATATCTTGCTATTATATTTGAAATACAATAATCTCAAGTCTTTATTGCTAATTTATAATAAATTTTACTGAATTTTAATGTCTTTTCTTTTAGTTTAAAATTATATAAATTAATATAATATAATATAAAAGTAATAAAAATATAAGTATAAACTAATTAAATATCTTATTAATTAATATATATATTTATTTTAAGGATGATCCAATTTGTAGAGATATGAAAAATAAATCTATTTTTAGTTTTTTTATAGTTAAATTATTTTGATAAATGAGAGACACAATGATATATGTATATCTATTTTGTTAATTTTTATTTAAATTAAAATATTAATGATTTAAAGTAATACATATTAGCAATTTGAGGCATAAATGTAGTCTTCTTAAGGATTTAAAAATGAAAAACCTATGTAATCATTTTTATATTCATCTTCATAGGAATGAATAAATTGAAGAATTGATGGATCACTTAGATCATGAACATGATAGTGAAGATGAGGGTATGGAAGATTACAAAATAGGAGGTGATATATAGTAAGTATTATTTAGGATATCATCCAGTTCATGTAGGAGAAGTCTTACTAAATCGATATGTGGTTATATAAAAGTTAGGATGGGGTCACTTTTCTACTGTGTGGTTAGCTAAGGATTTTAAATATGATACTTATGTGGCTTTAAAAATTTAAAAGAGTGCATCTCATTATTTAGAAGCTGCATATGATGAAGTAAAAGAAACTATTCAATATTTTTAGGTTGAAATTCTGTAAAAAGTTGCTTAGAATGTATAGAATCCAGTTTGGATTTAATCACTGAAGGAATATTATGCAGATGTATTAGTTTATTTGATATTTATTAACAGTAAGGAAGAACTTCATTTAACAGAGATGATACACACACTGTTTAATTATTGAATTCTTTTGTATACAAAGGACCTTATGGTCATCATTTTTGTATGGTATTTGAGATATTGGGAGTCAATCTATTAGAAGTTATAAAAAGATTTGAATATAAAGGAGTAATATAATAAAATATCATGGTTAGTGTCCTATGGATATTGCTAGAAGAATGGCTAAATAGATTTTAATTGGATTAGATTATTTACATAGAATTTGTGGTGTCATCCATACAGATTTAAAACCTGAGAATGTTCTATTATGTTTGTCTGATGAAGAGATTAAAGATATAGTAGAAAATGGATAATTGACATCAAATTAACTATTTTCAGATAGAATTCATATCTATAGATAAATGTTAGGAATAGTAGAAGAAAAACCAGTAGTTGATGACAAAAAGACTGTTTAGAAATAAGAGGAAGATGATTTAGATACTTAATCTACAAATTTAACAAAGACTTAAAAAAGAAAATTATTAAGAAAGAAAAAATAATAATAATAATAACAATAATAATAAAATGAATTTATTAATGTAGAAAATGAATAAACAGAACCAGAAAAGCCTAAATCAATAAAAGAATTGTTTTAATAGCAAAAAAAGTATTGATTTAATTAAATCATAGGATTTCATTTACTTAACAAAAGAAATTGCCAGACAATTTTCGTTTGAAAATAGCTGATCTTGGCAATGCTTGTTGGATACATCATCATTTTTCAACATTAATATAGACAAGATAGTATAGATCTCCTGAAGTTTTGTTGGGAATTAAATATAATCCTACTGCAGACATCTGGAGTTTTGCTTGCATGATATTTGAAATGCTTACAGGAGATTATTTATTTGAACCTAGACAAGGTCCAAACTTTTCAAAAAATGAAGATCATTTAGCTTAAATACAAGAGCTGTTAGGTAAATTCCCTTATGAATATTGTACTAGAGGTGCAAAAGCTAAAGTAATTTTAATAAATGATTATTATTTTAGAGGTATTTTATGAACAATGGATAAATGAAACGAATTCCATAATTGCACTTTTGGAGTTTATTCAATGTTTTAACAGAGAAATATAGATTCAAATAAGAAGAAGCTTTATCATTTGCTTCATTTATGATGCCTATGTTACATTAATTACCAGAATATAGAACTACTGCTTAAGAAGTGCTGAAGAGAGAATTATGTTCCAATAATTTAGATGATCTCCAAAGAAGAGCTTAGTTGAAGAAATATATAGATCAAATATTTGCATATTAGAATTTCCGAAATAATATTCCAAATTCTGGTTGGTTATAGGCCAACACAGATTCATAAATTGGACATAAGATGAATGATGAGGAATTTTAAAAATACAACAAATAAAAGAAAGCAAATGAAGAAGTAGAACAATTTGATTAGAATATTGAAGGAATTTAACCAACCTTATTGTCAAATTATAGAAGAGTATAAAGAATAATTTATTGATTAGGCATCAACTAGGTCTTATGATGGATCGATTTCGTAAACTCCATAACAAGACAAAGTGATTAGAAAGGAGGGAAAATATGTGGATCATAGAGTGATTGATAGATCATTTACAGATTTAGGATATATAGGTTATGGAGATGGAATAGATTTAGAATAATTAGACAGTACAGGAAATTGGTAGTTTAGTTGAATTATTGTACATGTTAAGTATGTAATATTCTTGAATGATTTTATAATGTAATGGTTTATTTCATTGATTGTGATGACCTTCAAATGCTCTGATATTATGGGCAGTATTGATCACAAAGTTGGATGTGTCAATCACATAACCTTTGGTTGCTGCTTCAAATAATTCAGGATGATGAACTATTCCTTCCTATTCCCATTTATAATTCAAATACTTTCATGAAATAAATCACTTCATCTTAAACTGTTGTACCCAATTCTTGGATATGATCAAGTTGGCATGCTAATTCATACTTTAATTGTCCTTCTTCTGTCAAAAAATCTGCATTATCACGATCATCAAATTTTGTGAAATCAGCTGTTAATGGATGTGATTAATATGTTTCAAACCAATAAGTGTTTTTATCATTAGCTAGAGTATTTGTCTCCATCTTTAATATTTTACCACCTCTAAGTAAAGAGAGTCTTTGTATTTTATATTACAAGGATCTCCAATACCTATGAAAAATGGAAAGATTTATTACCACATTCTTGGAATCCACAAAAATGAAGGTGCATAAATGAAAAGGTTGTTCCAATACCATGCAATGTCTAATGGGTTCTTAAACCAAAGGTAAATGGACAATGGAATGGCTGTCTCATAAAGTACATATGGATATTTAAGGAAGATAGTAAGATGTTTATGGGGATCACAAGAGTAACTAATGATTAGTGACTGAGTTACAGCAACACTTCTCCTATTCTATCAAACTCAATGGTATATGTTGGTTTGTAAATTCGATCAGTTTTAACAAGATATGAGGATTCATCATTCATGACCTAAGCTTTATGTGCCACAGTGGCATTATGGAAATCTTTGATGTGGTTGAGTTGATAGAGATTCTTCAAGCCCAACCTCAAAGTGTTTATTGATCTGGTGAGCATTAATTAAAGATATTATTAATTATGTTTAAGTTTAGCGACAAGAGAATGGAATATGAGGAATAAATGCTTGAAGAAAATTAAGATGAACTGCCTCCAAATGTTTAATATAAGCGCATTGATCGATATAACTATGTACTCTAAATAAGAGGTGAAAAAGGTAGTGCACATGAGGGTAGAATATTTAATTAAATATAGATGCCTATATTATAGCAGATGTTAGTCTATAAGGTTTCCCAGTTGAAGCTCCATCTATCAATTTCCGTAATAATTTTCAACATGTGAACATTTTTCCTATGGGCAAGCTGTGTTTGTACTTGATTAATAAAGAAACTTGGATTTCTAGTACTAGTTTAATAGATGTTTTTTCAGGAGTCAATTAAGTCATACATCAGTATTGAATAGAATTATAAATGTAAGTCCTACCTTTAATGATCCTGCAAATAGTTCTTTTAAGGAGCCAGATGTTTATGAAAAAGATATGAAAGAATAAGCAAAAAAATTTAGAGATGAGAAATATAAAATAATCTGAAATTAAATCGTTTTTGAAATGTGTCGTTTTTTATTTAATAAATAAATGAAAGGAATCATTGCTATCATTCTTGCATTGGCTGTGGTCTCAAATGCCACAAGCACAAAAGATTAAATCTTAGCTCTCCTATAAACAGGAACAAAGGCCAGTGATGCCATTGATACAGTCTTTGGATTGCTTAACGATTTAAAGTAATCAAACATCGATGCTCAATTCGCAGCTGACCAAAAGAACGAAACAGACGAATGGATTGGTGCTTAAACCATTGAATAATTCACAAAAATTAAGACTCTTAACCAAAAATTGTTCCAATAAGCTGTTGAAAACAGAGCTGAGTATGAAAACGTACTTCAATAAACCAAAAATTATTTGGCATGGAATGAAGCTAGAAGAGACTCAATTGCTGCTAAAATTGATACACTCTAAGACAACCAATGCTTCTCCAACCAATTGTTTGTTAAGTCCATCAAACATAACTAAGAAGCTTTGGAAGTGATTAGACTCCTTAAATAAGATGTTGCTGGATACATCGTTAATGGAGATTCCTTTGAATTCACTTAAGTCTAAGCTTAATCAGTTGCTGAAAAATTGAAATAATATAGCAACCTCTTCTAAGAACATTAAATCAAGTCCTTCTTAGCACTTGCTTAAGATGAATAAGTATTTATTTAAATGATATATTCATTAGGCTTCTGAATCTTCTGGACATGGATAAACATTAGCTGAAAGAGTCTTGGGTGTTCTTGAAGGCTTAGAAAGTGAATTAGCTGCCTCATTAGAAAATTTGAAATAAAACGAAATCAATGCCTCATGGGAATTGGCTGGTTGGGTATCCTTATCAGAAGCAGAAATTGCCTCATTGGAAGTTGAATATGAAAGAAAATAAGTCTTTGCTGACAGAACTGCCACTGTAAGATTTTTAACATTAATCTTTATAGTAAATTCAAGCTGCCTTAGCTTAATAAGCTAAATCAAAGATCATCTTATAAGAATCATAAGATGCTTTAGATTAAGCATAATCTGATTTGGAAGCCAAGAGAGCTGATTATGAAGAAGCCAAAGCTAAAAGATAAGAGGAGAATGCCATCTTGGATGAAGTAATCATCATGTTCAAGAAATAAGTTGCCTCATGGTCTGGAAGATGATATTCTTTTTAAATACAAAATTAGTCAATAATAACAACATCACTAATATTAAAGTTATTCCTTCTTTTCTGTTTTAGTGAGAGTACGCTTTTAGAATTATTAACTCTACTAATTAAAACTATTTTAATAGAATAGGACATCATCATCATCCATATCATCATCTCCTTCAGGATTTGTAAACCTATTCTTAAACTCTATATATCTTACATATTGTTATCAGGATTAAAAGTGATAACCTAATCATCTTCCTCATTATAATCCTAATATCTTTTTTAATGAGAGGTTTTTTACATAAGTTTTTCCAAACCTTAACTAAGAGAGCTTAATAATTATTCTTTTGATGATAACTTATTCTCTACTTGAGTTTCTTTTACAATAGATTAAGGAATGCTTTCCTTAGTATCAATATCAATGGCTAATTTTTTTTGTAATTATTGAGATTAATCTGATTATTGTTTTTTTTGTAATGAACTATTGGATGATGATCCAGAAAGTATGTCTAACTACTTTTGTTTAACCTCTTAAACATTAATTTGTTATTACTTGGATTAATTAATAGGTTTCATTAAATCTTCCATTATTCTCTATTTATCTTCTTTACTCATAAGTTAATTTGATTGTTTCTTCATCATCATTTCTTTTTCTTCAGCATATAAATCCTATAAAGGTTGATGCATAGGTTATTGATTTTAATAATGTGAATTTATTTGAGCCATATTCCAATCTACATATTATTGTTCAATTTATGATTTCCTATTTTACAACATTTTTTCATATTCTAAAATTGCTTATTTATCTAAGTCTTTTCTTGAGATACAAAAATTATCAAAGAATTGTAATTCTACTTCATTTTATTATTATTCTAATTATTTTATTTATTCATCATCAAAATTTACAGATAGTAGTTTTCTTAAAAAGAGATTCTAAGTCTCTAATTCAATTTATTATGCTTATATTTCTTACCATTATTATTCTTCCTATATTGTATGTTCTTCAATAATTTTGATCATTTGATGATATTTGTCTCTTATTTATAATATACATTCATTTTTCTTTGCAAGTTCAGCATCCTTAATTCTTAATTTTAATTATAAATGTTCAATACTATTTAAATGATCTTAGCATGTTTATTATTTAAGTTTCTTAATCATTTTACTCATCTTTTTAATTAGGTACATACATTCTTTATTATTTTCATATAGAATCTTATTATCCTAACAGAATTGATCTATTTTTTCTTTTTATTATTCAATCATCATTATATCTGATGGTCTTATTGGAAGTGTAGTAATTTCTTTTGATTTTCTTTGTTCTTATTTCTTTGTGATATAAACAGCTCTTCTCTGTTTTGGTATTTATCTGGAAGTTGTTGAATCATCATACTTAAGGGATTCCTCAGTTATTTATGCTTTTGAATTTTATTTATCAATTTCTTATAATCTATCTATTTTCTAAGATGGAATAACTGTTTATTCACATTGTCTAACTTATTGGAGTTAGATAAAAAATTATTTGATTAGTTCATATTTTTAAATAAAGGCAGGTTGTTAAGGGTATTCGTATAACATAATTTAATTTAAAATTTAATTAATAAGTAGAAAAAAAATAACAAAAAATCAATGTTTTTGTAATTATAAGGCTATTAATTGCATTCCTTATGAATCTGTATATACTTTTTATGTTTTTGAATCAGTGTCGATGTAGGTGCAAATTTCATTTTAACAAAAGTGACACTTTGGTTTTTAAAATTCTAAGGCACATATATGGCATATCTGATTAATACAACAACATGATGATAGGATATCTAAAATTGTTAATATTATAAATATACAATTAAAATATCTGAAACATATTGGACATGAAAATTATGTAATTTATGTAAGTGTCTCACTAATTAACAAATCTTTAAGTGAATGCTATGTTTTTATCTTTTTAGTCTTATCTTGATAAAAACCATCCATAAATTATAATGAATACAACGTAAGATCCTTTTTATTTGATTTCAAATATTCACAAAATGTAGTTGTTATTATATATGTGTTTGGTGCTGTTTTTGGTTCTTAGATGTCAGACTGTGTTCCACAACAAAAATACTTTTAAAAAAAAGAAACCTTTCTATTCTTAGCCATTTTAGTAGTAAAAAAATTAAAAATGATTTTTAATGGTAATCAATTAGCCAATTCAATATTATAAACTCTTCGTGTTACTTCAAAAATAAAGCCAAAATTAGGAATTTGTTTAGTAGGAGATTCACCTGCATCTAAATCATATGTTAATAGGAAATTAAAAGCTTGTTAGGAAATTAATGTTGATGCAGAAGTATTTAATTTTTCAGAGAATATTGAATAAGATTAATTGATTAAACATATCTAATCAATGAATCATGATGGAATATTAGTGTAAGTATTTTAATAAATAAAAATATTAATAGTTACCATTACCATTACATCTGAATAAGTTGGATATCATTCATTCAATTCCATATGAAAAAGATGTGGATTGTTTACATATGCATAATTTATAAAGAATTTTAGTTTATGGAGAATTATGTGAGATGTTACCATGTACTCCTGCAGCAGTATTATAAATTTTAGATTATTATGATGTGAATGTAATTGGCAAGAAAGTTACAGTTATAGGTAGAAGTTTTTTAGTTGGATTACCATTATCATTGTTATTACAAAAAAGAAATGCTACAGTAACTGTTTGTCATAGAGAAACATTAAATTTAGATTAACATATTATGAATGCAGATATTATTATAAGTGCAGCTGGACATCCAAAATTAGTTAGAAATGTTAAATAAGGAGCTATAGTAATTGATGTTGGAATCTCATAAGGTGAAAAGAAAGGTAGAATAGTTGGTGATGTTGATTTTGATGTTGTTAAAAATTAGGCATCACTTATTACTCCTGTTCCTGGAGGAGTTGGACCAATGACAGTATGTATGTTAATGAGAAATCTGTGTAATATTTGGAAGAAGAAATAAGGATAGCCTGTTTACATCAATCCGAAATTGAGTGATGCTTATTTGAATGATTGATTAAAATTAATATGAGTAAAAATGATAAAAATCAAAAGTTGACTGCTTATGAAAGTTATAAGAAAATAGAATCTGAAATCAAATTTCAAACTAATCTCTTAGAGAAATCAAATCCAACTATCAGGTGTCCAATACATTAATATAATTACTCCAAAACTTGTAGGTAGTACCAAAATTTGAATCATTAGATAATGTAAGAAAATTGTTGTAGAAGAAGTACCAACATATTAAGAAAAATCAATTAATATGGACAAATATCATTATGATGTTGGAGATAGAGGAGATAATATAATACCAATGTATTTGTGAAAATTTAATGAAAGTCGAGGAGAAAATGCTATCAGCAATATGAATTCATTAGTTAGATAAAATATACTAACATGTCCATATTACAAAGAATTATTATAGATTAGAGATATTAATGATATTGTCACAGAGACTGATAAGATTGTTACTTCTGTTGGTACTTGGGCAGGTCCAGGAGTACCATCATCATTCTTTTGTATATTACATAAATTGATGAGTATGAATTTGAATGGTATGCTTGATTAAATAAATATATTAGTAAAATAATTACAAATTTTATGTGATTGGAAATTGAATCCATATGTTAGATGTTTAGGATTATTATATTTAAGATATTCATTAGATCCAAATTTTTTATGGGGATGGATGAAGAGATATATTTTAGATGAATAAGGTATTTAAAATGTAATTAATATTAGAATTTAAACCTTCTAAAGATGAAACTATTACTATTGGAGATTATTGTGAAAGATTACTCACTGACTTAAATTATTATAATACTAGATTACCTCGTATTCCATAATAGATTGATACTATCATATAAGCTAAAATATTATTGGCTTAAGAAAAGAGATAAAGAAGAAATATTAATTAAAGAATTATGCCACTTTTATAACCAGGTGTCTCAGTTAGAGCAATTTCATAAAAAGATGATGAATGGCATGTTGGTAAAATAGAAAATATTGATGGAACATTTCTTATTATTTAATTTGATGAAGAAAAAGAAAGAATAAGTTTAGGTGAAATTGAATTTATACCTAAGAATGATGAATAAAGATTATATATAGCATAAATGATTACTGAAGGAATGTAAGAAGGTTAAATTTAATTACCATAAGAAGTTATATCATAAAAATCACCTTCAAAATCTAAATCTAAAAAGAAAAAAAGATCAAGTTCTAGTAGTAGTGAAACTAGCAGTAGTAGAAGTAAAAGTAGACGTAGAAGTCACAAGAAAAAGAAAAATAAACATAAATCATAAAAAGAACATAAAAAAAAGAAGGATAAAAAGAAAGAAAAAGAAAGAGAAAAATAAAAATAAAAAAAAGACAAAGATAGAGATAGAGAAAGAGAAAGAGATAGAGAAAGAGATAAAGAAAGATAAAGATCTAATAGTCCAGAACTTGGTTAATATGAAACAAATAAAGAAAGATAGGAAAGATTAGAAAAAGAAATTAGAAGAAAATAAATGGACAAAGCAGTTGCACATTCTAAATAAGATGTTGCAAAAATACCTGCCTCATATAAAACTTCTTTGGCTGCTGCATTACCAACTTCAACAAAACCAGTTAGACAAAGTAGTCCATCCCCTATTAAAAAAAAGGAATAATTTATTGAACTAGGAAATTCAGATAATAACAATACTAAATTTGAAAAAGAATCAAAAACTGATGTAATATTTTAATATTATTTATAGTAAAATAATCCATTTTTAAAAGAATTAATTAAAAAATATGGTGATGATGATGTATGACTATTTTTATCAATTTATTAAGTTTATAATATACCAATTAACAATTACAAATATATTTCATATACTTATCTTTCTAGAATAATTTTTAATATTCTATTTAAGAGAATATTCTAGAATGCATAATAATAACCTTTAAATTATAAATATTATTTATTCTAATATAATAAATTAAGAAATGGATTGGACTGGATTACTTGCTTGGTCAATAAATTAAAAAAATGGAGAGAAATTTGATACTTCAATAAAACCAATGGATGAAGAGACTAAAAAATGGTTAACTGAAGCATTATAAAGTTATTCTGTTGATGAATTTTAAATGATAAAAGACTTGTTAGATAAAATAGCTAAACCAGAATAAGAGAATGAAGAAGAATAACGTTTAGAATGGTTTGAATAATTAATGGAATTATTAGATGCTTTAGATAGGGCTAATGATTTTTGTAAAATTGGTGGGTTGAATCTAATGTTCAATTATTATTAAACTACTAAATTTGATTCTATAAAATTGTAAGCACTAAAAATAATTGCAAATTGTAATCAAAATAATGCCTTTGTTTAAGAATATTGTGGAGAAAATGATTATCTTAAAATTGTAAATGAAATAGAGAAAATTAATAATTTAAAATTAAAAGAACAACTTATAAGTGCACTTTCTAGTATGATAAGAGGAGAATGCTTAAATAATAAAAGAAAGTTTATAGATATGAATGGAATACAACTGTTATTAAATCATTTAGACTCAAATAGATGTATTGAGAAGATTGCAAATTTATTTAGAGATCTATTATATTATGATGATTAATTACATAAAACTTATCATGATTTATCAAAATTTTCAAATACAGCAGGATAAACAATAAAATAGCAAGATAAAAAGAATTATAATCTAACAACAGATATAAATGAAGAATTACTTAAATCTAATGAATTACCTTAAAATCTTAAGTATAAAGGAAGTGTCAAAAAAATATTGATAGATTTGAAATTCCTTAGTTATGCAAATAAATTCATATTTGATACTTCTATTAAAAATTCTGATCTTAGAATATAATATTTATCATGTTCAGAAATATTGTTAAAAATTAAAAATGATTAGGAATTTAAATAAATTATATAAACTCATTTAGAACATCTTTTAAAGGAACAAGATTAAGATGAAGGAGAAATAAATTTATGTAAATAAATATTGTGATTTTATTATTAATTTTTGTAAATATATATATGAAAACGATTTAGTCTTTGTCACAAATAATGATATTTGCAAAAGAATTAGAAAAAACTTCTATTCTTTACTCTGTCTGTTTTGGTTTGAAGATTAGTTTAATGAGTGATACATATTTGGAATTACAGGATTCAAGGAAATTTAAAATTTGTTTTTATCGAGTCAATAAGTTTAATTTTGAATAATTATTAGTTTTGCCTAACAAACTAAAGGATATAGTCCAATATTATCTTTTAAGGTATCTGAGTTTGATGAAACTCTAAAAAAATTAATTCATTATGGAGCTCAATAAGAACAGAATATATTAGAATAAAATAATTAAAAAGTAATTATTAATAAAATTAATTGATAGCTTTTTTGTAAGGAATAAATGGTGAAATGATAAGTTTAATTTCTACTCATCATACTGACTCTAGTGATGAAGATGAAGAATAAGGGCAATAATCTGAATTAGAAATAGAAATACAATAAATGTTAAAAAAAATTAAGTTATGATGAAAAATTTGTTAAAGAATTAGTTTTATATAATAAAGCAGTCATTAATATTTTAGATAATTTATATATATATATATATTAGTTTTGATTAAATCTTATTGTAACCATTAAAAATCTCATTAATCAAACCAAAAGTTAAAAATAAGCTTCACTAATTATTCTTATGGATAATAATCATCTATTTAATTTCATATAGTATTTTTAGTTTTCAATATAATAAGAACTCTATCTATAATGAAACAGAACAATCAGAAGGTTAAGAAGAATTAAATCATTCTTTGCTGATTCTTTTCATCTATTATATATTAGTAATATAAAGTAAATTATCCTTTTAATTATTCAGATGATCAAGTTTGAAAATTCAAATTCCATCTACTAAACAAAGAACTTGAACCTAATAATCATTGATTTAATATTAATGAAGTTGAATTAAGCAAATTTAAAGCTAGACAATAGTAATTTTTCATCTCTTAGATATTTTAAATTGATTTGCTTGATATCAGGCAATTACAATTGATAAAATTTACTTTGATTGTTTATGAAGGTTATAAGTAAGTAATAAGTCTAAAGAATTGTTAGAATCTACCAATTTATCAGGTCTTGAATAATAAACAGTACATAATTTCTAATTTCTAGAATGCTGATTAATGAAATATATTAATAAGATAAGTTGAAGGATTGTAGATATATTTTGTTTTCTGATTATATTTTCTCTAGTCATGTTGAAATATATATGAATTTTTATTAGAGGATTGATTGAAGAATTTAAGAGTTTTAAGTAAAGAGAAATCATTAAGAATAACACATTTGAATCAAATAATTAAGTTGAAGGATGATTATACTGAATTACCAATTAAAAAGATTATTGGTTGGAAATCAAATGAAGATTATTCTTTTTTGTGATTAATTTATCATTAATAAAAAAAACTAATTGACTTTATATTTAGAGATTAACAGAAACCTATAATTATTTTACATGAGGAAATTGATAATCTATATGATATTCTAATATTATAGTATTTATATTGGTGTCACCAAATAACAATAATGAAATTATTTATTTTGTTTTTAGAATAATATTACTTGTTTGAAATAAAGAAAATGAGAAATATTTGCTTTTTTATTTAGCTCCTTATAATTTATTGAAGATTCTTAAAGTAATATTATATATATATCAGAAAATTTTAAAATTATTACAGATTAAATAAATAATTAATTATTATTATTAGATTCTAAATTATACTAAAAAGATAGTAATATACAAATATTTATATCCTTAAATTGCATTTTGCATATATTTTACCAATAAATGAAATGTTAGTTGTTTTTTATAAAAAAGAGGTAGATGATAAAAATAGAAAACCAAGAAATTATAAACTTCTTGTATCTTGTAATTAAAAAATATTAATAATGTCAATTCAATAACTTAGCTTATAAATGAACTAATCTATGAAATCAGAGTTTAACTCAAAGTATATAAGTATTCAAGAAATTTCTGTCGGCCTAAAAATAGTGGTAATTTGATATATATTTAATATAGGATCCTGTAAATAAAGTGATTTTAGTGTTTCAGTTTTGGAACAACTCCATTTTAATGGATTGGAATCACTTTTTCTAAGAATTTAATGCTGGAAATATTAACAATCTATTTTTCATCATTGAATATGAAGAGTCTAAATTTTTTATATATGGAAGTGCCGAAGATTTATAATGTATATATAAATTCTGTGCTGGAAAGTATATTTTTAGAAAGGGAACATAAAATAAAACACTTGAAATTATTAAGGAGAAACATGATTATCAAGTAAGAAAAGTATAATTATTTACTAGTTGAAATCAATACTAGATTATTCAACATCTATGAAATACTATGAACATGTCATTATGACTCAAATGAATGATAACTTAGACTTGTCTTTTTATTCCTAAGTTACATTTGAAAGAGAGAAGTTTTTTCCTTTAGAAATTTAAATTATACAAGACTTAAATATCACTTCTACACCTCATCTGATATAAGTAGATGCTCTATATCACGATGGAGTGTAATATTCTTACATTTATTCAAAAAAAGATTTAATAAAATTATCTGTATATTACAATCACACTCAATTAGATAACCCTTGTTTTATGTCTCATGTTGCACACTAATTAATACAATGTAAATTATTACACTATAAACTTGATAGTATTGTTATCCTTAGATGAAAAGGGAATTATACATCCAAGTCTTGATTTAAAAAATCTTTACATCAATCCAAATTCATAAGATATTGTTCTGGCTTCCTATTATTAGGCTTATTATTAATTGAATAATGATGAAAGAAGAATGTAATTATTCCGTCATTTTAATTTAGATGTGTAAACATTGGTTATTCTCCTCCTGAATACTTTTAGATTAATTAAAAACTAACAACTAAAGCAAATGTTTATCAAGTTGGCATTTCATTATTTTAATTGTACTTTATTCAATATCAAAAATAGATTACTTGGACACAATCCATTTGGTAAATCCTATGAAGAAATGACCTTTAATCATACAAATAATAATCTTGATCTAAATAAACTTAATGCTTTTGATTCTGTTTTATGTGATTTCATTAAAAAATTACTAGTATAGGATTCACTAAAACGACCATCACCTTAAGAATTACTAAAGCATAAGTTATTTTCACTATCCCATAAAGAATACTTGTCTAAATAGACTATGTCAAAACAATACCATAAAGATATCGAAGAATTTGTCATTTTTAGTTAGACCTCAAATATCTAATCTGTAAAACAAACTCTAAAATTCAAAAAGAGATTATGATTTATAGTTTTATTTAGAAAACAAAGTATTGAAAATTCATAATTCTTGTGATTGTTGCTCTCTCAAAATTTCAAATCTTTTTTATTATTATATATATTTAAATAAATAACTGCTTATATTTTTCAATATTGTTCTATACTCTATATATCATCAAAAACAAATAAGCAATTCTTAATTCCAGAATTCTAAACTATCTAGATTTAAATTGAATAAAATTCTAGACTTTTTATCTTTTAAAAATGAAATACTTTATTTATATTATATTTTACATTGAATAAAAAAACTGTTAAGCAATAATCTTCTTAATCTTAAGGACATCAAAACATTATTTTTATTGAATTAATAAGAAATAGCTCTATAAAAGTTATTATTGAATCTTTATTTATTTTATTCCCTTGTAACAATGATACTTTTTTAAATTAAGTTTAGTTGGATAAACAATCATAATCATTTCCTATTTATCATTTTTTTCATTCAGCATTTTTTTTTTATAAACTCATCAGCTATAACTTTATTCTATAATTGTCTTTAATAGCTTTGACTTCTCTTTTTCTATTGATATCCCTTGATATAATAACCCATAAATAATCAGGGTATATATTTTTATAAGAGTATTTTCATTTAACTTGTTTATATTTATTTTCAAATCTTGATATTTTTTGGAATTACATTTAGAATTCTAACTTATTATATTCTTATATGTACTTAAAGATTATATTATTTACATCTTAGATTAGAATAGTATAATTTAAATATAAGTATAAGGAAATCAGTTTCATATGATTGAACTGCTAAACTATATTTTAGAATATGTTAAAAAAATTTTATAAAAAATATCATTATTTTAGAAAAAGCTTCTAACTAGTTTATAGAACAATTGATATGATAGCTATATTATTATTGTATAATAAATTATGTCTGTACTAATAAAAGTTTAAAATAATTTTTTATGTATTTTTTTTTAAATATTCTTAATCTTTACGAATAGTAACACTTCAATAAAAGGAATATCAATTGAAAATATAGAAATTTACTTAAAATGATAAAGAATATTAATCTAATATAATTTGGCCCATTATTTTATTTATGAAAAAAAAGTAATTAAATATAATTTTTCATAATATTTCTGTATTTTAATTCAAAATATATAATTTTGTAGGTGATAATAATATATTTATTATTAAATTACTCAAATGGATTATTGATCTTAAGCTTTGTTTTAAAATTGAACAATAAATAATTAAAAAAATTAGTTACATTCATTCTGGAATATATATATTTAAATAGATAATAACAATATATTTTTTGGTTGGTTGCTATTTTATTTGTTATTAAGTTTTTATATTAAAATGCAACAATTTAGAGACAATGACAATAATAGTGAAAATCTCAATGAGGAGGATAAGTAATGTAATAAATAGTATAACAAAAGCAGCTCCATCAATTAGCATGTACCATAATTTCCTCCTAAAAAAGCACCATCATTTTCAATGGAAGGTCCATAAATTCTAGGGTTATTATTACAATTCAGATGTGCTTAAGGAAATGCAAGAAGAGAATTAGAATGTTAATTAATAAAAAGATTAGTTAACATTAAAAAGAATTATGAACCAATTTGTTATAGATTAAATGGAACTTGGGCTTTGAAATATACAAATTACCTTTATGAAAATTCAAATACTCTACCAGGTCCAATTGATAATACACCTTTATTATAAATCAAAGAGCCAATTCGTAATAGAGATTATTTTGTATTGACTGATACAGTTTGGAAATTTTTGTTAGAAGAATACGGTGGTGGTCCTGAACTCTTGGAAGATAAGATACCTCCATCTCCAGTATCTGCTATTTCATCAACAACAGATAGAGCAAAATCAGCTGATATAAGCATGATGTCAAGTATATCATAATAAGAGCTTCCATCAGAAATTCCAATTAAAGGGATGAAAAATGAGTTATTTTTTTGCTATATGCACTCAATTCTTTAGTGTTTGATGTGCATTCAGGAATTGAATCATTTTATATTAAACAGTATAAATAGACATAATGGGTAGAAAATGCTATATTGTCAAGGTTATAAGGAGATGCTATTATAAATGCGAGATGCTTAGAGTGACTATATTAAAATAAACAATTTGAGAACTACAATATGTAAGAAGTTCAATCCAAAGTATCAGCATGATGCATAAGAGTTTCTGTTATACTTGATATCAATGATGGAAGATGAAATTATAGAAGTAAATAAGGAGAATGAAAAAAAATAGTAACCAAAATTAGAGAATGTTGTAAAGAAGTATCTAAAAGGTTAGATAGTAAGTGAATTAATTTGTAAGAATTGTAAACATAAATCTGTAATCACAGAGGAATTTCTAACATTATCTTTAGCTTTGACAAAAGTATCTACAGTAAATCAATCTTTAGAAGAGTTTTTAAAAGATGAATTAATTTAAGATTATCAGTGTGATAATTGTCATAAGAAAAAAATAGCAATAAAAAAAACAAGAATAACTAATTTACCTAGATATCTTATATTACACTTAAAAAGATTTAAGTTTTTTCCTAAATAGACTAAAATAACTTAACAAATTAAATTTTCAATTGAATCTAATTTCTGTAATACAGAATACAAACTAATTGGAGTAATTGTTCATTCTGGTTCCTTAGAATAAGGACATTATTATTCATATGGTAGAAGATAACACAAATGGTGGTTATTTAATGATTAACGAATTAAATAAGCAAATAAAATGGATGTATAATAATAACAAAGTTATATTTTGTTTTATTAATAACTTTTTTGATTATATGAATTAATATTAAGAGTAATCCTTTTTTTATATAATATAATTATTAAAGTAATTCTATTCTAGTATTCTTATTCGAATTTTATTTGATCTGAGAAAAAAGAATGCTATATATTAATATAGACTAGATATTTATAAAAGCAACCTAATTCTTGTAAGTATCTAAATAGAATTTAAAGTAAATTATAATCATGTTGATAAATTGTTACAAAAGTGATCTTTAAGGATAGTCTAAGAATTTTAATAGATTCTGTACAAATCATATTTGATCAATTATACACAGATCAATACAATTTAGTACCAGAATTTTAATAAAATATAGAAATACTGTTAAGGTTGTATCTAATATCAAAATGCAGTAAAGTTCCTGATAAAATCTTTTATGTAAATATATTAATACAAAAAAATGTTATACTACTAAGAAAAAGACTTATTCTAAAATAGATAATAATTTAAAAGTCTAAAAGTCTTAAGAGAATATTAATTATAAATATATTGATACTGATATAGAGATTTTGAATGAAATTATATTAGATGGTACTTTGAATTATAATGCAAAAGAAATTGAATTATATTGTTCAAAGTAAGTTTGAAGATTTTAAGTAGTTTCTAATTTTTAGGTGCTTCATTAAAATTAAATGTATAAGAATTGATTAAGAATGATCTAAGATTCAAGTAAAATTGATGACTACTAATAAAATGAGATAAATTTAAAGAGTTAAATAATTATTAAAGAAATTAATAAGCAAACATGAAAGAGGATATGATTATATTTATTTGATTTAATTTTTATAATTCACAACTCTGTTTTATAATCTTAATGTTTCTTACAAAACTATACTAGATTGTCTTAAAGACCATGTAAATTGTAATGAACAGTATCCCAATCAACTGTATACTCGTCTATAATTACTCGATCAACAATTTGCTTTAATTTAAGTGCATATTCTGGATTTTTGAATGTTAAATAATCAATTACTAATTTTCCTTACGTGGAATCCTAGTATGTAAATATAAATTAAGGATTAGGTTTAACTTCATATTCATATTATAGATTAAAATCATCTAGCTTCAATATTGTTCCATTTTCTAAAAGATTAAATTAAACATTTGGGATTGCTTCTTCTAGATCATGACATTTCCATAATAAGATATTATTTGTTTATGGAATCACTGTTATGACACCTCTAAAAGTATATGCTGAATATTCCATTTAAGATATCACTTAGACATACTCTAAACCAGAGAATAGAGCATTAACAAATGGAATTAATAATAAAGTAAACATTAAATTATTGAATTATATTAATATTTTAACAATGAAATATCGTAATGATATCACAATTTATCTATAAAATTTCCATAATCCAATAAGAATTAAGCAATACCTGGTAATTTAGCATTTCCACTAATAGCCAAGAAATTTGGAATTGTAAAATAGAAATCTGTTTCCATATTTGGTAAATTCTACAATTATTTTAATGATTACTTCTTAAATTTGTTTAAAAATTGCTATTGCTTCTTCATCTTATACAGCTGCATCTCCATCTTAAATCCATTTTTACATCTTTTTTCCAAAAAATCCATTTTATTTAATAAATTCAGGACATTCATCAGAACTCTTGAATTCTAAATCCACTTTAAAATTCTTAAACTTTAAAAACAAATTCATTGGTGGTTCATTTGCAGCATCAGGTTCAAGATTTTCAAGTACATTTTTTATTGTTTATGCAAAATCTTAAGCAACATCAAATTTCATAACAAATTTCAAACTTTTCATAACTACTGACATTAATCTATCACCTTTTTTTAAAAGTTCACCTGCAAATGTAAAATCTGTATTAGATGACAATAACATTTATATTGAATTTTCATTCTTTTCAGCAAATTCTTCTAAACCTAATATTATTTTAAATAAATCATATCTTTACCTTAAGCAAAGACCATATTAAATCCTTCTTTTATTTCTTCCAATTCATCAGGTTTTAATTAAAATGACAACCATAAAGTTGTTCCTTCACTATGACTTTTCATTACAATATTATCTTCTTCAAGAATTGGCTTAAATTTCTCATTTAAAAATTTCTATAATTCTTAAGCCTTTCCATCTATTGTCTTTAAACCTAATACAAATCCCCATTCTGTATCCAAATTACCACCTGTTTATTTTTATAACTATTCTAATTGTTATGTTGCAGCTTATTTATTAATAAGAGCCTTCAAACTAAGATATATAACAATCTAATAATACCTCAAACTCCAAGCTCCTTCTCCCTCATAATATTGACCAACTTATACTGAGATATGTGATGAATTGATTGACATTTTTTGTAATTAATAAAAAATCAAAATAGAATCAATTGATATATTATACTTAATTATACATATATTTAATGACAATCCATTCATGACTTTATATTATATAAGAATAGCATAATTTGATCACATATAAAGTATCATACATAAAATTGATAGTATTTTACATGATGAAGAATTTGGATACACACTAATTGATTATGGATATACTCCTATAATTTCTAAATTTCGAATGATTTCCTTTTCCTTTCCCTTCTAAACAACATACACTATTTAATCTTATCCTATTTTTTAATAGGCACTATCATAATAAGACAATTCTATTCTTCCACTATGCAACTTCATCAAATAGTTTTGCATTGGTTTATGCTTACTCATTCCTGAATCCTTAGCCACAATCTACAACATTACTCCTATAACCTTATATTTTGACAAATCAATCTAAGAACTACATTATAACAAACTCATTTGATAATGAGCCTAAATTATCATCCATAATTATCTGCTAACTCTTCTCATTCTCAAAATGTCTTAAATACTTAAGTATTACAAGATGTTCAAAACAATATGTCTTGGTAAGATTTTAAACATAAAATTAATTATATCATTTCAATTAGCTATTCTATGCATACAACCAGATATTGTTTCATACCATTTCTAATTAATTAAATCAAATTATGCTCTCTCCAAATCTATTACTTAAATTTGATTAAATATATTTTAATAAGTCTATATATCCTTATAATCTCCTCTTAAGTCTAATAGTGAAACATACAATTTTTTTGTAAATCCTATCTCAACAGAATAAATTATAATCTCCAAACAACTAAAATGATATTTATTAAAATTACTCTTATTCTTCTCTTAAATTCATTGCTACATTAAAGGAATCATCTTCCCAAGATTAAAAAAATACAATTGAATTATCATCTTACTCTCTTTCACTTAATATATCCTCTTTTTCTACTTAAATTGTTTCTGTTTTTTGTTACTCCTATTTCTATTATGTATTCTATCTTGATGTCTTCTATTATAATTATGCTAATAATTCTTGTTTCTATTTCAATAATTCAAATGCCTTAGAATTCATTCTTTTATATTCATCATACATTCTATTATAGTATTATTAACATTCTTATTAAGATTTAGTTCTAATTAAAATTGTATAAAATCATTACTATACTTTCCTAAAAGTTCAAAAACTTATGCAAAGAATTAATATCCCAAAAGTAAATGATAATGTATTTAATAAGGTGGTATTTCTTTTGGATATGGAATCATTGCCTTTTAGTTATTGTTAATTGAATATTCAATTAATGAAAAAATAATTCTATTCTTAATAAGAAAATCATGAGTTTTGTTGTCTTAATTTAATGCTTCTAAAATCTACATAGGTATTGTAATCAATTAAATAGCTTGCTAAGGTTATTAATTTTTATTTAATGCAAAACAGATATTTAATTACAACTGAATCTATTGATAAATAAATAAATTTTTTGTCATCAGATAAGATCGGATTGATAAAGCTCTACAAATATAATTTAGCCCAATTTAAGTCTTTTTTCTTAGAATCTCAATTGCACCAATATTATTAACAAATGAAATTAAAATAAATAAATGATCTCTATTTTATGATTTAAGTATTACTCTAAGAACTCTTATAACCTTTTCAACTCAAATGGTAAAACATCATCATTTTTTTTTAATTTAATTTTGACATCAAACATTTAACTTATTTCTGAATCTGAGAACTATCTATAATCATCTAAGATTGTAATAATCATGTCTTTAATATCTTTAATATTTGGAAGTTAATTTTAAATCTTTAAGCAAAGACACTTAAGATTCTATTGCAATAATACACAAATTTTCTTTGCAATTTTAAAAGCTTTCTTTTAATAATAGATCAATTTATTACTTTATATTCTTCAGATTCTATATTCTTAAAATATTCAATTTGCAATTTCTCAAGGTATGAAGAAATAATAGATTGTACTTCTTCATAAGGTAGATTTGTTCTAAATATTTTCATTATTTCATCAAATTCAGAATCCATTAAAATAATAAATTAATTAATTTTATAAATCAGCACTTTTTGCCAAATGATTAAGTAAATTCTTCATAAGAGATCTCAATTGATTATTCTAAATTTTCTGGAATTTCTTTAGGTTTGAGTATCTATCCAATAGTTAAATTTTTTTAAATAAAAGTTTCATGTAACAGTTTCATTTAAGCAATCCAATAATTCTATTGTTGCAAATTCTACTACTAAGAAACTAATTCTAAAATAGTTAACTAATGGCCTGATATAACTTCATTGAAATTCTAAATAGGCATTTATTTAATAATATTTTCTTCATTCCCAGATATATCTTTTTCCATTTTAATTATATCTTACCATGGTTCCTCTATATGATTGATATTAATTTAAGTTTTGAGTTCAAGTAACTTTTTTACCGTGTTATCAATAGTTTTATGTAAATTAAATTATGATATTGCTTATTTATCATAATTCTATTTTAAAGTTTATAACTAAATTTTTAGTTATTATATTTTTTTTTGTTTGTATAATCTGTTCTATTGTAATTGAATATCATGTTCATTTAATAACAAATCTTGTTTAGGTTATCTATTTCCACGAATAGGTTTTTTAGTAAATAATAATTGTCCTATTTGATTTAATTTTAACAAAATACTATTGTTAGTTAAATCTTATAAGATGTTAGAACTACTAGATCTTTCTGATCGATGAGTATAGATATTACTGTGATAATTTTCATTTTAGTATCTCTGCTTCATAATTTAATTATAAAATTAACAAAAACATAAATATCAATAAAATTACATTTGTTCAACAGAATTTATTGAGAAATACAAATTAATTAGTACTCTTTCTTTTTGTTGTTTATACAATGTTTTTTTAAATTCTAATAAGATTCTCAATTTATTGTTACTATTATTTAGTTTATAGACTAGAATCTAATAATAATATTAAATAACATATCAAATTATTCAAGACTCTCTTTAATATTTAATTTACTAAATTAATAATTTAATACTTTTGGCAATGATAATGAATACATAGTTTTTTATACATAATGTAAATCTGAAACTGAAGTAAGTAATTTAGATTTTGATTGTTAATTGTACTTTTTGACCTTAGAAGGAGGGAAATAAGGTTATTTGTAATGATCTTAACTTAAATATATAATATTCTAAATAGGTTTTTGTCTTTATTCAATTCTCTTTTTGTATAATACCAATTTATCTATTTTAAATTTTGGTAGAATTCTATTCAAATTGATTTCATCTTAAGAACATTAAGCTTATTAGGTATATATAAAGATTTATTCAATATTAGGTCTAAGTTCAGGATCATAACATAACATCAACTTTAATAAATTATTTAAATTAAGACTGTAATTAGGATTGTATGTTATATGAATTCCTTTTAGAATTTTCTTTTATAAAACATCAACATTGTTAGCTACTATTAATGGATCTTTGAACATCATCTAATATAACATATATCCAATCATCCAAATATCAGATTTATAATTATATGTTTATGTTCTGATGAATTCTGGAGCCAATAAATATGTATCAGTATAATTTTGTTAATGTAAATAAAAAAGAATATTCATCTCTCCTAATATAGTATTTGTTTGAGTTTAAAATATATTTGATAATTACAATTTCCCATGAACTCTTTTAGGATGATATAATTATAAGGCTTATGATATCTATATAAATAATATTGATACTTCTTATATTACCTTCCAAATTATTTGTTCATTCATAGGATATTCATATTATTTATCCAAATAATCACTTACTATTCTAATCATCAAATATATTTACACTAATACCCTAAATATTTCATATCTTAATCAAAAGATGCTTCATAAAACTTAATAATATGTGAATTTTTATGATTAGATAACTTAGAGAGTATTTTAATTATACTTTATACTCTATCTTTTGGAATACCTTCTAATGTAAATATTCTCAACATGTNTTACTATTATTTAGTTTATAGACTAGAATCTAATAATAATATTAAATAACATATCAAATTATTCAAGACTCTCTTTAATATTTAATTTACTAAATTAATAATTTAATACTTTTGGCAATGATAATGAATACATAGTTTTTTATACATAATGTAAATCTGAAACTGAAGTAAGTAATTTAGATTTTGATTGTTAATTGTACTTTTTGACCTTAGAAGGAGGGAAATAAGGTTATTTGTAATGATCTTAACTTAAATATATAATATTCTAAATAGGTTTTTGTCTTTATTCAATTCTCTTTTTGTATAATACCAATTTATCTATTTTAAATTTTGGTAGAATTCTATTCAAATTGATTTCATCTTAAGAACATTAAGCTTATTAGGTATATATAAAGATTTATTCAATATTAGGTCTAAGTTCAGGATCATAACATAACATCAACTTTAATAAATTATTTAAATTAAGACTGTAATTAGGATTGTATGTTATATGAATTCCTTTTAGAATTTTCTTTTATAAAACATCAACATTGTTAGCTACTATTAATGGATCTTTGAACATCATCTAATATAACATATATCCAATCATCCAAATATCAGATTTATAATTATATGTTTATGTTCTGATGAATTCTGGAGCCAATAAATATGTATCAGTATAATTTTGTTAATGTAAATAAAAAAGAATATTCATCTCTCCTAATATAGTATTTGTTTGAGTTTAAAATATATTTGATAATTACAATTTCCCATGAACTCTTTTAGGATGATATAATTATAAGGCTTATGATATCTATATAAATAATATTGATACTTCTTATATTACCTTCCAAATTATTTGTTCATTCATAGGATATTCATATTATTTATCCAAATAATCACTTACTATTCTAATCATCAAATATATTTACACTAATACCCTAAATATTTCATATCTTAATCAAAAGATGCTTCATAAAACTTAATAATATGTGAATTTTTATGATTAGATAACTTAGAGAGTATTTTAATTATACTTTATACTCTATCTTTTGGAATACCTTCTAATGTAAATATTCTCAACATGTAATAATAACCACTTCTTTTTACTATAATTGACTTCTTAAATTAGTTTTATTTAAGTATATTGACAATTTCATATTGAGGAAATAACTGTTCCACACTTTTCATTAAATTAATTAATGGAACTTAGAGAAGCCTTTATTACATTTCTTAATTACATTAAAAATCAGTAATACATAACATAAACATTGAAGAATACACTTGATAAGATAATCACATCATTATAATCCAAAGCAACTGATACTGAAATCAAATAATTAATTTTCTAATCCACATCTCATCACCAAAGAGTCAATTCTTAACCCACTAAACCACCTTTGATAGTTAAATAAAATGCTCTTATTGGATTAACAGCATTTAATTTAAAACCATAAAGGAAAATATCAGAATAAGAAAAAATTGTTCCACCTCAAGAAACACGATAACTATATAGTAATTTAGAAATTCAAATTAATAAACAAAAGTAATAGGAAATATCATTTGGCAAATTTTAACCCAAAATCCTTTTACTTAATGATCTTATGCTTTGTCTGAAGTAATTCTAATACAATACAGAAACACTCTCTTAAATATATAATCATACTTCAGAAATACAAACTGCTTATGGAATTCGAGTAAGTCAAGATATCCATGGATCAACTTAAGTCAATCGAAAAGGATCCAATAAATTATTTGCTGGATATAATAGTAAATTAATGAGTGATGATCAATTGGTAGCTATCCAAAATAATTTTCTTATGAAAAAATAAATTGTCAAAGGATGTCATTAAGACATAGTTAATGAATCACCATTATTCATGTAAAAGTAAATCTTCTTAATATGAATAATTTATTATTTTTGGATATATGATTAACTATATACAAACTCATTTGTTAAATTTCATTAAAAAAAATATAAACTAAACATTAGACTTGATGATTATCTTTATAATATAGAATCTATTTCCTTTTCAATTTTATTTATTTCAAATGAAATCATCACTATATTAAATATATTTGAAAGACTAATTAATAATATTTTGAAGATATTATATATAATAGTGAAATAGTTATAAGATACTGGTTATGAATTTTGTAGTTGCATTTAAAGAAATAAATAATAATTCTGATTCATATTAATATTGATTATATACTCAATTCCTATTAATAGAATCAATATTCAATGATATCTAAGAATAGAATGATTTCTAATACATGTTAATTAAAAAAAATAATTTTGTAAAATTAAAAAATTAAAAATATTAAATTATATTCTTCATTCTCAAGATTCTAAAATTTATTATTTCTTATATGTAATCTTTATCTATTTTAATCTAAAGAAGAAACTTTTTTGTCAACAACTTTAGATATTCTATTCTGAAATAATGTACATGTATGTATAAGTAGAACTATTACATGTGATACATTAATAAATTTTGATTTAGGACATCAAAAAGTATAGATTATATGGTGATATATATATTTTGAAAATTAGTAAATAACTCTTATGATAAATAATTCTCTAGGATTAGATAGATAATTATTTTTTAATAATAGAATAGATTTCTCACTCTATGAGATTTTTCTACAAATGTTATTACTGATATTTATATAGTTTCTTTTTTTAAATGGCTTTTAAAAGAGGAAATAAGATTATATAATTAATCATCATTATTTAACTTTTTATAAAATCAACCTTTAAATAGTTTATCGTTATTCTTTTTTTTTTTTGACCATAATTTTCTTAGATAAACTAAATTAAATTTAGTATTAATTTAACTATGTAGTTTTTACTCATATATTATCAGGCTTATAATCTCTATATCATAAAATTAGGTATTGATTTTTATATATATGATTAGATTTTTTGTAATTTCGATATTCTATAACCAAATAAAAAATCATCAATTTTTTAATCATATGATCTGATAATTGATAGTAGATTCTTCAAAATTCTATTGATATTAAAAGGTTATCATAATAATTCTTTCTTATCTCTTTGTTTACTTAATCTAATTATTTTAAATATTAATCAGTATTAATTAATAAAATTTATATATTAAATTTATTAATTAATGACATTTCTTTGGGCTGATATTCCATTTGAATGGACCTGTCTCTCTTTAAGATATCATAATGATATGCTTTGGTAATTGATACGATTTTGACTTTTAGGTATATATGGAGTCTTATATAAATGATACCAACATTTGCAGCAGGGTTCTATCAATTATATAAGCATCAAACAACTCCTGATTATTATCGTTAAATTAAGAAAGGTTCTTGGGATTAGTTTATTGTCATGTTTTTTGTATTAAAAACAATACTATAAGGCTGCACCAATCCCATTTTATTATTTAACTGATTTAACAATCTCTATTGTGGAGGGAACTTTTTTTGAACCTTGCAGATTCTGGCTATGGTTTCATCATATGGTAAACCATTTATTCAAAATAAAAAGGTTTCCATGGTAGTGATTCCTGTATTAATTCTAAGAAATGAATATGAGTGGTAAGACACAATGATCATGGCTACACATACTTTATTGATGAAGTATCCTTTCATCTTTTTATTTAATATATTATATGTTGGGCTTGTGTTATATTACAATATTTTGCTCTATATCAGGTATATACATAATATATCCTATCTAGTCCATTGAATGAAAAATGGGTCAATAGATTCCTGGGTAAATTCTTCCCATTCATCTATTACAGTTTTATAGTCCTCTTGGTTCATGATTGCAATAATGCATTACCATTCTTGTATTGAATGATTCATTAAAATACATATATCTTATTTTATGATTAATTTACAATCAATATTAATTTATCTAATTTTAATTCATTTGTTGTACTTAAAAAAAGATATAATAATTATATAGTTAGGACAATAAATTTATATTAAGAATATATCTAAAATATTCAATTATTGTATTCATATCAATTCTATATTATATATCCAATATAAATTCAAAAGCATTTTATTAAAGGATATTATTTAAAAACTCTATATTCAGTAAATGGTTGCTATAATATAAATTAACAAATGGAAAAATTATCTAAAAATTTCTATTTTATCTTAAGATATTGAAATTAATTAAAGCCAAAGAATATGCTGATTAAAAATCAAGTAAAAATTTCAAGTTTAACATTATAATATAATTGGCAAGTTAATAATATTCTTAAATGGAAATAAAAACTTATTTGAGAATGAGTTAATTTACAATTGGATTTGTTTATTTTTAATGAGTATGCCACAATAGGATTTGATATTATATTTTAGGAAATAGGGAAATTGATTGTCTAAGTTAAATTCTGTAGTATGTAGATTAGGTTTTCTATTTAAAGTATATTTACTCTGGAGGAAATTGTACTTCTTCTAAACAAATAAATTATGTTCTATATTGAGTAAATTTTATAGAATAATAAACATATTATATATTACGAATATTTAATAGTTCAAAAGTAATTTCAGGTTATTAGTTTTGCAGCAGCAATAGTATTTTTTAATAAGGGTGCATAAATAAATAGTAATTTACCTAAGAAAATAATGACATAAGATGGCTATAAAAAAAATGAAATGGGTATTCGGAAAAAAGAAGGAGTAATTATGTGATGACAGTAGTCAATAATTCTTATATATTTTATAGAAGATGATTCTCCATCTCTATAATTGAGTAAGTTTTTAGGTTTAATTAGCATATGAAAATTCCCATAAATTAAAAATTAATATTAAATAAATTGAATAAGGGGAGAGAGGAGATAATGATATTTCTTTTGCCACATGAAAATAATTATATTGTTTGAATATTAAATTAAATGGCTTCTCATTTTTTATCTTTTCTTTTTCTATCTTCTATAATATAAGAATTGAAATACTGTTGTCCTATTAAGTGCTAAGCTAATAAGCTAAAGTTTCTTTGATAAATGGACGTTGGATATCAATAGGTTTATCAATAATCTTGGCGTTAGCATTAACATTTTAATCATTAATGACCAATTATAAATGGACTGGAGGACGTAATGCCTCCTGCAATTAAGAGGACGATGAATACAAGAGTAAATAACTTGAAAATTAAATTGCTGCCATACTTCCTATTTTACTAAAAAACATATATTCCAATTAGATCTCCATACTTTTTAAACTCCAAATAGACATTAAAAGGAGGTACATCTCTATCTAATTCAACTTGCACCTCATAATTTCTCAATAAATCTTAAACAGGTCTTTATTTTTTAGCCACAACCAAAAGAGGTATACCCTTAACTTGTAAACAGGGTCTCAAATTGACTAAAAATTGAGCAGTATTTTCATCTTAAAATTATAACTCTAAATATTGCATCTTATCAGAAGTGTCTTAATAATTTAAATAAATAATAACTCCAAATTTGATGAATAGGTGCATTCTATTTATGATGAATGACAATCTCTTAGATAACATCATTCTCATTAACTTCTTGTGGTATAGAGAAGATATAAACACTATTTTTATCAGTGTAAACCTATTAAGGTTTGATAGGTTAAACATTCAATTAATCTTTATTTAAATCTAAAGAAGAACTCCTAGATGATTATCTATTTTTTTTGACTTATTTTATTCTTCTTGGTTCACTAGAAGAAGATGGAGATCTCCTTCTTGATCCTTAACCTTAAGATTATTTGCTGTCAACTTTCTTACTCTTCTTTTTCTTACTAACACTTCTACTCTTATATCTTCTTGATGATTCACTACTATCACTTCTACCCTTAGATTATTACTACAATCAACTTTTTATTATTACATTTCTCCTCAATGATCTTTCTAAATGTTCTTTTTCTAACATATTCTTATTTTCTAAATAGTTTTTAAAAGCATCACTCAATTCAACAATTTCCTTTTATCTTCCTATTCATAATTTATTTATATTATACCATTTCTTCCAAAATTGAAATGCTTCTTACCAATGTATACTAATTTTGCATTATCATCATTGCTCATTCCAATTGCTACATCACAATAAGATCCTTAAGTATTGAACATTTAAACTACATCACATGATCCAGCCAAATTCACTAAATATTACCATACATTACCTTTTCTCTTTATGAAACTCAAGAATTCATTAGTACTCATACCATTCATATGTACATGACGTACATAAAAGTGAATTTTAAATTCACTATGTGGATAGTAACGTTTTCCAATCTTATTCTCAAAAGATGATGATTAATTTGAGTATGACTCATTTGAAGAATCACGTCTCTTAGATTGCCCTTTTCTACCTTCTTCCCCATATGAAGAAGCATTTCTACCTTCCTCTTTTGTCTCTTACTTTTGTACTTCCTCTTGTTAACCTTACTACTAAATCATTTTTTAAAATATTAATGTTAAATTCAAATAATGAGGCGCTTCTCAAACAGGTCAACAAAAATCAAACTCTCCTCATCCAAAAACTATAAGATGATATTCAACTTCTCAATGAAGAAATCGAAACTTCTAATCAATAGATTGACACTCTTAAATCTGAACATAATCTAATATTATCATAACAATAATCCATTATTGAAAATCTTACAATTGAATGCTAGAACTATTAATAATAAAATATGGAACTTTAATCCAAGTTCACTTAATCTGTTTTACAAAATTAATTGCTATAATCCAAATATGATAAAAAGAACAAATAATATAAAGATTAAATAATTGAACTTAAACAATAAATCAAATTGATACATCTCAAAAATTAAGATTATTAAAGAGAAATTCTAGACCTTCGTAAATCCCTAGATATCAAAAAAATTGAATTCTCTAAACTAATAGACAACTCCTCCTTATTAAACGAATAAAATAAATAGCTAAAAGCTAATTTGGATCTTTAATAAGTTGACTATGAAAATAAAATAGAACAATTTCAAAATTTAATTCAAGATAAGGATGAAGAGATAACTCTAATCATAAATGAAAACAGTATATTAAATAAAACCAATCTAGAATTAATGGAAAAAAATGTCAGTCTTTCTGAAAGTCTTCATTCCTAAATAGACATTCTATAAAAAGATAATCAAAACTTATAAATTCAATTATCTGATCTCTAAAACCATAACAGTGTACTTAAATAATAATTGTAATAATAATCTTCAGAAATATAAATCATATCATCTTCAATATAATTATAATCAGCTGCCTAAACTTAATAACTACTTGTATAATAAAGAAGTTAAGAATTATTCAATCGTAACAATTAATAAGAAATGATTTTATTATAAAATTAGACTGACATTCACTCTCTTCAATAAATTATATAAGTCTAAAATGTATAATTAAATCAATCATAATCATTTAAAAGTGATCTACTATAATAATAAGAAATATAAAATATTGAGAAAGACAATTAAAATTAGATTAATACTTTAAAATAATAAATATCTAAACTTACAATTGAATTAAAAGAATCTGAATTAAAGAATGTTTAAGTTAAATAAATATAAGAAAGTACTATATCAAAATTAAATCATGATATAAGATTATTGGAATAAAAAAATGAAGATTTAGTTTTACATAATAATAAACTTATTAATGAAATCAAATAAAATGAATTAATTCAATAAAAAGAATCAACTATTATTTGTTAAAAAATATCAGAATTTGAAATTTAATTATTAGAATCACATCATTAAATTGAAGATTTAAAATAAGAAAAATAAAAACAAGAACTTGTTGTTGAAATGTTAAATCATTAATTATAAATATCTAAATAACTTTAATCTAAATTAGAAGAAGATATAACTAAATATCAAAACTTTTTAATTTCACATGATAAATAATTGGAAGCTGTCACTTCAAATGAAAGTTCTGACTCTAGTGATTCAAGTGAAGATATAATTACAGAAAAACAATAATAATTAAATTTTGATGCACTTTGTACTAAATTAACAGAATAAATTAGACTCATCTAACTTAGATTAGAAATTTATGAAAAATAAATTAAACAATACAAACAAGAACTTCATTCCAAAACTATTGAAATACAAAAACTATTTAGTGAAAACTCTGAATCTAATCTTAAAGTATAAAGATTATCTTAAATGCAACCTAAATTAGAATATTAATTAGAAAATCAAGAAGTATCTCTAAAATAAAAAGATATAACTATTGAAAATCTTACATTATAAATTACAAAATAATAAGTATAACTTCATTAAAATGAAAACTAAATAAAATAATTGGAAATAGATAAAGAATTATTGAATCAAAAGATTCTCTCATTAGATGTTGAACTTTCAAATTTATAAAATCAAATTTAAATTGAATATGCTATCAAAAATGATTTATAGAATAATTTATAATCTATTAAAGAAGAACAAATGCAAAATATTGAATTAAGGAATTCTCAAGAAATATCAATTTCTATTTTTAATCATATATTACCAAATATCAATTATTAAATACTATTATTTATAGAAGAAAATACAACAAAAATTAAATCATTATTATAAAATAAGATTGATTGTCTATAAAGTAATCTCTAAAGAACTATTAATAAATATTAAAAATTACAAGAAAAAATATAAAAGAATTATCATAATATATAGAATTTATATGAATCATCATAGTAGACTGTAATATAATAGGAGAATCTATTTTAAATTGAAAATTAAAAATAATAAATTTAAATTTTAAATTTGTAGGAAGAAATAAATTCAAAAAATATAATTATAAGTGAATTAGAAGATTAAATATAGATTCTATCAGTTTAATTTAAGAATATAGAATAATAGAATCAAGATTAGCAACATATTATCACTTAATTAGAAGTATAAGATGAAAAAAAAATTAAAATAGATGATTAATAAAAAGAATTTAATTAGACTAAATTAGAAGAGTTATAAAAAAGAGTTATAAATTATGAAGTAGATTTAGATAAAGCAGTATAAAAGAATATGTAATTAGATATATTAGTGAAAGATTTAAATAATTAAGTCCAATCTAAATTAAATACAATTAAAGAACTTAACCAAGAGTTAGATAAACTAAAAAATAATTAGACTGGAACATCATCATTAGACTAATTAAAATTACAATAGTAATAAAAATAGATATTTGAACTAATTTCAACTAATACAAATTTAAATCAATAAAATTTAGATGCTTAGCTTAAATTAAAAGAAATAGAGGATTTAAATTAGAATTTATAAGATAAAATGAATTAGTTATCTAAATAAGGAGTAAGTTAAAAAGAAACAATTAACTAATTACAACAATAAAATTAAATGGAAGTCAAACAAAATTTGACTTTGTTGTAACAAATGGATCCTCTATAAAAATAGATTGATTATTTAACAAGAGAAAATAGAAAATTATAATAATTAAATAATGATTTTGAAAAAGTTTATGGAAAATTACCACCTTATGGAAGTCCAAAGAAAATTTAAAATTGTGATTAAAATTAAATTAAGAAATTAGAAGATGAAATATACTAAATGCAATATAAATTCTAATAAGAAATTTAGGAAAAGAATATAGAAATAAATAATATTTAAAAATAATATGAATATCAATTAGAAGAAATTAGAGATTAGGATGAAATATAAAAACTAGAAGAAAATTGTATAATATTAAGTGATTAATTAAAATAATAATAAGTATTGAATAATGAACTATTGCATAAAAATAGTTAGATTGAAGTAGAATGTTGTAAATTAAATGAAGAATTAGATAAACTAATAAAATAGTTGAATATTCAAAGTCAAAATCAAAATATTTTAGAATAGAAAGAGAATGAATTAAATAAATTGAAAATACTTAACTAGTAAATATTAGATGAAAATTAAAAATTATAAAATTTAGTTATTAATTTATAAGAGGAGAATAAAAATATCAATTAAAATAATAGTAATGAAACTTTAAATAAAATATTAAAAGATCCTAAAGATCAAATGATATAAGATTAATAGACAGTTATTGAATAAGGATTTGCTGAATAACAGAAATAGATTGATTTAAATAAGTTAGATCAATAATAAATGCTTTAGTTATTTTAGATGGATAATTAAGAAATAAAATAGAAATATGAATAAAATTTAATTTTAAGTAATGAATTAAAATAATAATTAAATGAACAATTTGATTAAATTTAAGATAAATAAAAATTAATAATATCTTTAGAGAAAGAAATAAAATAATTAAATTATGTTAATTAAACATATTTACAGTAAATTACTGAATTAAAGTAAAGTTTAAAAAATAAGGAGTAATAATTTGAGGATTAAAATAACAAAATTAAAGTTTTAACTTAAGAAATAGATTAAAAAGAAGATTAATATAAAAAATAAATAATGTAATATCAAATGGAGAATTAATCAAATAAAAGTATTTTTGATAAGAGAATTAAGTAATTAGATGTTGAAATGAAATAAAAAATAGAAGAATTAAATAAAAGATATTAAATTTAACAATAAGATAATTCAGAGTATAAAAATTTGAATCAAAATTTGGAATAGAGATATACTTTATTAGTTAATGAGAATTCAAAATTATTAGAGTAAGTCCGAGAGCAAAAGTTAGCTTTGGCTTATTAAAGTGAATAAAATAGTTAGTTTAATTAGATGTAATCTAATTTAATTAGAATTGAATCACAGAATAATAGTTTAATTTAAATAAATTAACAATTAGAATTATCTTTATAATAACAGTAACAGGTTAATTCATAAGTACTTTAGAAACAAGAATAATCATTCTAGATATAATTAGATAAATTGAATCTACAAATTTAAGATCAATATAATTAGGTTAAATTGCTATAATAGAAAAATGAAGAGTATAAATAAGAGATTGAGATGATAAGAAATGATTAAAAGAAATTAGAGAATGAGAGATAAATAAAAGTATTAATGGATTAGGTTAGTTAGGCAGAAGGTTTGAATTTATAGTATTAGAATGAGATTTTGGAAAAGAATAATTTAATTAAGAAACTAATATAAGAGAAGGATAAAAATATTAATAATGATATGATTGAATAATTATAAATAAAAATAAAAAGTAAGTAGTTTATATTATTTTGATAGTGAATGAGGAATAAATAGAAAGATTACTTATGACAAATAGGGCATTAATGGAAGAGAATACTAATCTTTAAGAATAAATTAAGGATGATTTAAACTCTAGTTTTTGCAGCAATGCTTCATAAAAGTGATTATAATTAATTAATAAAATAAAAATGGGTAGTTGCGCAACAAAAAATTAAGAAAATGAAGTTTCTCTCCCTTCTAATCCTAGATTATAAAGGGCTTACTAAGTATAATAAATTTGATTTGATAGTAATATTCATAAATCATCGAAATTACTCACCCTCTCAATGTTAATCAAAAATACAATAGTTACTTTACTTTGATTCCTGATTAATTTATTGGCACAGGGATAAAGAAGACAAATCAATATGAATCTCGTCTCTCTAAAGAAGAATGGCAATAAAAAAGAGTGGAATTTTGGGGTATATATATATCTATTTGATGTATAGATTCAAGAATAGAGGGATAGAAGGAAAATTGGACTACAATAAAAGCTGCATTGGAAGCTGATGAAGGTACATATTATTGTAAATTAGGAACTGCAAAAACTCTTTTGTAAGCTGCTGATTTAAAGCTAATCAAAAATAGTATGTAAATTGTATTTGATAATCATGGTATTATAATCAAAAATCAATTATGTAGGTTAAAAATATGATTTACCAGTTTTTGTGATGCATAATCCTGTTTCTTTCCCATAGAAACAATCTTATGATTAAAATCTTTACTAAAGTTTTGATCGTAAGATTGTAAAGGTAAATTTGAATTATTATAGTCTAGTTTAAAGTAAGAAGTACAAAATGGAACATTGATAAGGAAGTTTCTTACAATACAGGAGATAAGGTCGAATCATTAATAAAAGAATTATAATCAAAAGAAGAATCTTAAAAAATGAAACTATTTGTTAATGGTAGAGAAATGAGAGGCCATAACATGTTTGGAAATTATGGTGTCCAAGACAATTCTGTATATATTCAAACTATCCTCTATTAGGTTGTACAAGCATTTATGTTCTGATTATATAACAATATATATATTAATAAATAGAGATGTTACAAAGTACTTTAAATTCATACAGTTTTAATATATAAATAAACTGTTGAAATTAATCATAAGGGCTAGTCAAATCAAATTTCTAAATTCAAATTGTCTTTTTTAATAGAAAACTAATTAAATAGAAAAAATAGGATAAATCATAAAACATAATCTAGCAATAATGACAATATTATATATTGAAGTATTCGATGTTGATTTAAATTTATTAAGATACTTATCTTTTTTATTCTAGATAATTCTTTAAAATAAATTGTAATAAGTTGATTGAAATAGTAAAAAAGTTTATCTTAAGTGATATTTAAAGAATTTGAATTATAATTTTAATATACATATTAGTAAGGTTACATCTATTAGTATAAATATATTTTAAATTGATGTAAATCCACATTTATAATGATTACTTATAATAATTAAGTAAATAATAAAGGATAAAATAATTATTTTAAAATAGTAATTTTAAACTAATCTTGATTAATTGATTTATCACATTGATATATCATTGAAATATCAATAAAAGTATTTTTTGAAAACCTTTTACTTATATATGAAACACGTTATTAAAAAAATCAATATTAAATTTAAGAATATATTGTAATTTAATTTATTTTGATTCAATAATTTGTTCCTTAAATTTACTGTATAAAATAAATTTTATATTTAAAAAGGAAATAAATGAATATTAATTTAGGAAATCTACTGTACAATTTTCAAATTTAGACATTATTGGTATAATGAATAATCCTTTTTGAGCTGCTGTGTTGTTAAATTTGAAATAAAATTTAAAATAACTATTATTATCTTATCTGTTTGTAACCTTATGATAAATAAAAATTAATTCCTTAATTCCATTTTAGGAAAATGATTGAAGTATTTTTATAGTGAGACTATATAAAAATTAAGTAGATTTTAAATAAAAATTTTTGTATCTAGTAATATTTATTTATATATTATGAATGTTTGATTTATGAATATATACTAATTGAATCTAAATAAATATTTGATTGATTTTATAAGAAATCATTGTTTTGTGTATTTTACATCTTCAATCATTGTAGAATATTGAGCCAATTGAAAATTGAATTATTAATTAATTATTTCTTTAACTTCTCTTCTAAACATTCTCCTACATAAGAAAATAGTACAAAATATAAGTATTGCCAATGTAGAGAGCACTACAACCCATATCACCCAAATGTTTGAATTTAAAGTATGTTCAACCTAATATGATGAGACAAGAGAATACCTAGATTTCATCATCGATACGACCAATCATTCTTTATTTGCAAATATTAGGAAGAGATTGATCTTTGTAACTTTTACATATTGTTTATAATGGTTCAAAATGAGCAGTATCGAACAATTTTTAATCACTTATTTCTTAATTAGTAGTTTAATTATATACAGTTAAGACTCCTTTATATTATATGTCATTGATATATAAAATAGGCAATTACAGAATAGAATATTAAAGATTCGTCTTATATTGTTCACTGAGTAAATAGTTATCTGCTAATTCGTCACTTTCATAGTTAAAACTTTCGACATAACAAACCTGTACTTCATCAGGATCTATACCTAAATTGGTCATAATATCAGTTGAGCAAAAAGGAGAATACATTTTTGATAGACATAGATTGCTGTATTTTATAATATACTTCCACCATTTAATTTGATCTTATTTGAATATGCATAATTATCTTACGATTTCTCTTACAGCATCTTAGCCATTCAAAGGACCATCACCATCAGGATCAGTTGCACAATACCTACCTCCAGATAAACAATTTTAATTTGGATTTAAATAATTATACTTTTTGCATCTCTCACATCTAGCAATTTCATAATGTGGAGTAAATTCTAATTAGTCCCTCATTTCCATATGGAATGGATAAAACTACTATAAGAACTAATAGCTATCTTTATCCATTGCACTAAACCAATAATGGTATTTAACAATGTCAGTTTTCAACACATCTGGGAAATTTACTGCAATATAAACACGATCATTAGTAATTGCATCCATATATTGTTTAATCAATTCACCTTGTTTTTTGGAAATCAATATTGCTGATATATCTATTTCATTTTTTTTATTCAAGTTTACCAAATTTAATTCTAAAACATCTTCATCCATATTATCTACAAGAACTAATATTTAATAGCCAGATAATTAAGCATTGAGAGTCTAAATATCTTGAATTAATTACTTTGATATATAAAGAGCATTCTCCTCTTTATACAAGAAGAACCTTTACATTTGGATAGTCACTGCTGAGTTCCAAAGAGGTATTAAAAATTGGTGTACAAAAAGTATAGGGGTCAGCTACTTTAAGTAATCCTGAAATTCTTTATCCATATGGCACAAAACCAAAATTAACAATATTGTAATTTATCTGTTGCAACTCTGCTTTTGTAGCTAATTCTTAGGGATATAAAATCATAAGAGTTTCATTTTAAGATACCACTAATGTTAATAATGTAAATATAATCATTTAATAATAAAAAAATACATATATAATTAAATCACAAATATTCATGCATTTTATTACGAAGATTATCTATTCTTTTTTTCATATTTTCTATAGGTTTAGCTCTTATAGCTGTTCTAATATCTTAATTTTTTTGTTTATTTATTAATATTGAAAGTCCATTTAAATATTTGACTAATAAATCAAGAGATCCATCTGTTTATATATTAACATATTGTGGATCAAATTTGGGTATAATGATATAATTAACTTAATAGTAATTAATTAAATACAAGAGTGTTATTCTAACAGATTGGGATATACATTTACCATAACTATATTAGGAAGATCATAATTGGAGAATTTCTGAGTAATCAATGATAAATCTCTATCAATTCTTATAGGTTCAGTACTATATTCTTTTTAAGTACCTTCATATTATTCTCAATTGCAAGTACTAACAAAAAGTAAATTTCTAAAATGTTTTCCAAAAAAGGATTTAGCAAATGCAGCTGTTTTAACTCTATCTAAACTTGACCATATTGCTAAATCAAATCTATCTCTATATTTAATCATAAGTGAATCAAGAAAGAATTCTCTTCCTGGTCTCCAAATAATACTATAATTTTCATATTTATCATTTGGTTTTATATTATCTCATTCTCTTCTGTGATCCAAGTATAACTATTTACCTAATCTTTCTGCTAGAAGAAGAGTTCGAGAGATATCTGTAATCACTAGTATTTTTTTGTTCATTATGACAACTTAATGGTTTATAAAATTTATTTAATTTCATTTGTGCTAATAGGTTTCTATAAGAAATAGTCCATTCCTGCTTCTTTACACATTTATTTAGTTTACATGTCAGTATAGGCTGTCTAAGCTATAATGATGGGAGGATCCAAATCTACTGAACTACAATACTCTATAATTAATGATGTTGCTTATATGCCATTCATAATTGGCATTTCAATATCCATTAGAATAACTTAATAATAATGTTATTTGAATTTATCTAATCCTTCTTTACCATTGTGTGCTTAATCACATTTAATGTTTAATCTGGAAAACATAGTTGTAAGTGCATAGATATTAACAAATTCATCATCAACTATTAATATCTTAACTCTATCTTCATTTACTTCAATTGTTGTATGATCTTTAGGTGAATGTTTACATTTTTTAGGTTTTTTTGTTTCTCTAAAAATATATGGAGCACAAATATTTTCATCTGGTTCTGAGAAATCTAAGATATAAATTTAATAGTTTACTTTCAGAATTTTTATCAATTAATTTTTGTTTACCTTTGAGAGAGAAGGTGAAAGAAGATTATCTCTTCTTATCACTTGGACTAATAAGAAAACTCTATTCTAATACACTTCTACCAGAACTAATAATCTTATTATATTTAATTGTTCTTTTGCTAATTAAGTCAGGAGTTTCAAGCATTTTAAGATCTTCCAAATAAAACCAGAAAACTGAACCATTTTGATTATGTGATTCAAAATGGATTCCAGATTCATAATTTGGTGATAATCCATTACATATACTATTACTTATCATCAAACCTAATCCATAATTAAAATTAGATTATCTTTTATGTGGTTAAATAAGGAATTCTTTAAGTTTAGATTATGTTTCTATATTCATTCCTGAACCTGTATCTGAGACACTTACTTTAACAAATACTTGATCTCTTACTATCTATTCTATAAGTGTAATAGTTATATTTCCATTGAATGTAAATTTTTAAGCATTAGATAATAGATTATTTAATACTTATTTAAAACGTTAACCATCAGTATGAATATATATTTCATTCATTTTGATATTTAATTCAACTCCTTTCATACTTAATTATTATCTATATAAATCAGCTACTTCATTTATAAGTAGATAAATATTTTGAATTTGTATAGTGAAAATGAAATTCTTAGAGAGAATCAAACTGAAATCTCTAACATCTTATACTATAGAATTTAAAATATAACAACTATTTAAAATTGGTTAAAGAATATTGTTGACAACATAATCATCATCAATATCTTCTACTGCACTTTCAGCAAGTATTCTTATACAATTAAGTGATGTACTGAATTCATGACTAAAACTTCTAAATAATTAACTCATTAATTATTTAGTTATTTTACGTTCCCAATATTCTCTGCATTCATAAAGATCAATAAATATCATACCAACATTATCATTATAATTAATTAATTCTATCATATAATGATCACCAAAAGAAGTAGAACAATCCAAGATTTTACATTTTGGTTATTGACAATTGATCATTTATAATAAATTCAACATTTTTCTTTCTTTAATCTATTTATCTACTTTTTTAATAATTATTTCATTAATTATCTATTAAATTATTATTGGATCATCAGAACCCAATAATTTTTTCATATCTTCATTACTTGATATCATTTTTCCTTAATGATTAACAATTAAATGATATTGTTCATTATGACTTATAATCAAACTATCCGATGGATTGTTCCACGTTTTTGAATAACTTCGATTCTTTGAAATCTTTGTCATTTTCTCTATTGTACTACTATTCGATAACCATACTAATAAAACAAAGCAGTATGCAATTAAAGTATGATCATAATTAAACTCTAACTTAACACTTGCAACAACTCCAACAAAAGGTAGACATAAAAACACCTTTTTAGGATGTTAATGATTTTAGAGTGGAATTATATAAAGCAACCTTTTGAGAATAATGGATAATACATTTCGCTTATATGTGTATTTGCAACAGTTCTTAACGTATTGGCTATTAGAAGTAGTACAAGCATATATATTTGATTATTCTTTATCCGTCTATTTTTTATTCTCAAAAGACACCATATACTCAATATTGGCAACGATGAAAACATAGTATACAACTCATAGTCAGTTTACAACTTAAATAAACACTCAGCAACTGTTGCACAACAAATTCCTAGAATATACAAAAAATCTATAATAATCATAATTATTTTAAAAAATAATTCATTGATAAGAAATGTCTTGTACAACAATTAAATATTTGAAATTATTCATTAAATTGAATCATTTTTTATTTAGTATTTCTTATTAAATAATATATTATATTCCTATATCTAATCATACTTGAATTGATTAACATTTTACATATATTGGTATAATTATTTAATTAATATAAAAATCACAATTCTAATTGCCATTAAGTATACAATTTATAATTATCTCTTTACTCATCTTCAACTTCTCTTATTAATGTAGATAATTATTTAATATTTTACATAAACTTCTATTTTACATAATACAATCTAAAAGAAACTTTGGTTTATGTATTTTCAATATTTTCCAATTCTGGTGGATTCATATTACATCCCATTTATTCATATATTTCATATATAGCCCATTATAATTGTATTCCAATATTTTGATTCTATTATTTTATTAATGTTAACAATTTTATTAACTTTTATTATTAAATCTCTTTGCAAAAAGAAACTAATACAGATTAAACTTTAAGATATTAAACTAATGTTTCTTCTTAAATGGTTGAAAAGATCTATTGAATAATTTTTAAATTGTTAGTAAATATTTATTCTGCACTATCTTTTTTATTGGGATCAAGAAGAAAATACAATCTTTGAAGCAAAAATATTTGTTTATAATCATTTGATTATACTTTCAATTTATCATATACAATCTATTTGAGTTGATTATCAGTAAATTTATTGATTTACAAATGAAGTGCTAAAATTTCATAATGTTATTGTTCAATCAATTCACAAATATAAGTTTGAGGAGATGAAGTTGCTGTTAAAAATGCATGTATTAATTATAATGATTTGTAAGGTGATTCATTCTTTAGAAATCCTAAAATGAAATCAAAAAATAAATGATCACAATCTTCATCTGATAAACATGAGAATATTTCTTAAATCTTATTATAATATTGAAATCCCTCTGAAACCAAAAATTCACCCAATATTTAAATAATGTTTTCTTCATTCAAATCCATGAACAAATTATATAAAATAATATATATTTAATTCTAGTTCAAAATAAGATGTTTATGTAGAATGATATTGTTATTAATTTTAATCTATTCTTAAATATCAACAATCAACTGATGAACTCCAACCCATGTAAAAACTATGATCAGCTATTGATGGAATAAGAATAGAATCTGAACAATTAGGATCTTCATCCAATTAACATACAGTATATGAAGCTCTATGATACCAAATTTCTCTATCAACATGATTAAATCCAAAGCTTTATGGTGGAACCTTAAAATTAAATAATTTATATTACATGTGGTACAGCATCCTTTTCATGAACAACTCTAAAATGAGTCACTTTAGTAAATGAAGAGAAATAATTATAATAGGCTTTATCACCAACTCTTGGTAATCCAAAAGTACTTAATTGAAGTGAATTTCCAGCTATTGCTAATTATGTAGCATAAAGAGTAGCCATAGCAGCTCCCAAAGAATGACCTGTTATGTGTAGTACAGCATTTGGGTACATTTTTCTGTATTTTACTAAGAGATTGTCAAGTTATGGCTCAAGTGATTTGAAAGCTTCAAGAAATCCTTTATGAACTTAACATTAACATGCATCATTATAAGTAACCTTATCAAATTAAATGTTATCCAACCAATTTTAGATGTTGCTTGAACCTCTAAAAACAACTGTAATAGCATTATAAGTGGGATTATAAGCAATATATCCTTTTGTTCCCTAAGAATAACTTTTATTTTCTTACTTAAATTATATTTTCAAAGACTTGAGGATTTTTAATATTTGGATAATTGGCACTCACATAACCCAATTTCCAATTATTAATTGCTGTAGTAGGACAATAAGCAGCAAAAGAGAGAGCAGCTTCTTCTTTAGCCAAATCTTCATTATATATGAATGTAGCACTGATTGTTGTTGCTAAAAAGATTAAAATAAAAGGTTATGATCTCATTAGAATTTTATTATTTTAATTATACAGAATAAATCAAATCAAAATGTTTATGTATCAAATATATAGAAAATTATGAAGGGCATTATATAAAAATATTTTTATAAATAATTTACATCATATAATTTAAAATAACATAATTTATGATGAAATATTAATTAATATTTTTAGAACTCTAATGATGTCATGATAAAATCAATTATATATTTCCTTCACAGGCTCTGAATTACAAGAACTAACAGACCAACCCAAATATGAATGATGATCATTCAAATTTGTACGTGTAGCAGATGCAGAACAATTTTGATCTTCTCCTTTGACTTCTAAACAATTTATATAGTGTACTCCATCATAATACCAAATTTCTGTATTCACATGTTCAAAACCAAATCTAAATGGAGGTAGATGTGGAGCAATATCTCTTTTGTTTGTTAATCTTGTATGAGTAACTTACAACTTAGAAAACCAATCATAAAAATCAGAATCACCTACTCTTGGAGCTCCAACAGTAATTAAAGTCACTTTAATTCCAGTCATAGACAATTCACTAGCAAATAAAGTAGCCATGGCACCTCCTAATGAATGTCCTGTCACATGGAATTTAGCATATGGAAATTTAACTCTATATTCACCAATTAACACATCTAAATGTATTTTGAGTGATGAATATGCAGCCAAAAAGCCCTCATGAACTTGACATTTACAAGCTGTGTTGAAACTTGTTTTCTTTGTATCTATATCTGCAATAAAATTCTTTATGTTATCTGATCCTCTAAATACTACAGTAATGGCTTAAGTCTATATATTATATGCTATGTATCCTCTTGTTTTCTAAGATAATATATAAAAAATACCATATCAACATTTTCAAACACTTAGACTTTGATTAAATGTGGATATTATTCACTTATAGTTCCTGTATTCCAATTATTGATGTCATTGATTTCACAATAAGCACCAAAAGAGAATGCTGTCAATTGATGTGCTAATGCTTCATCATAATGAAATGCTGCTGCCAATGCTAATAGAACAACCAAATATTTCATGAATATATTTTATAAAAGTAAAGTAATATCAATTCACTATAAATGCACAGTTTTATTATTAATTCCTTCAATTTACTAACTTTTATACATTCTTGTAATTTCTTTTTCTCTTTCAGTTTTTAAAGACTTAAATAATTAATTAACATATTACTTTATATTTTTCCTTTAATATTGTCATATCAACATTTTAATTTTATTAAATAACATTTTAGTTCTTTATATACTATTTTACATATTTATTGATTCTAGAATCTAATCTATTCTTAAACTTTCCAGGATTTTCTAATTTTATTTCTGTACTACTTCCATGTATATTACTTATAAAAGTTTTCAATGGTTATTATAGATATTAATTTGATATTTAGGATTACAAAGTACCAATTCTTTAACTTTTTGTACAAGAAGTTGTTTGACTTAATTCCCCTTTTTATTTTGGAAATTTTAAATAAAATTTTCTAATCTATTTAACATCATTTTCACTAGATTCTAGTTATGAACCTTTAATAGAATTTTCCAGAGATACTTCATTTATTTCTCGAGGTGTTTTCATTCCATTTTCTCTTAATTCTTCTATTAATTATGAAAAATGATTTCTCCTCAATTATTATCCAATATTAGGAACTTCTTTAACATTAAACACATAATTATTAGTATTAAACAAATCACATTTCATATTTGCAATAGTTCTAGTCCTATTAAATAATCTAAAAGTTGCTTTTTAAGTACCATCTATTTATGATTCAATTCCTTAAGATAAAGAATCCCCTGGATTTAATTATTTAACTTACAATTTTCTTTTAATTGGATAAAATGTTTAAAATGCTCTCATTTCTTATATTAATGTTTTATTGTCTATCTTTTTATCCAAATAATCTTATAGATCATTTAAAACATGATAAAATCTTTATCCTTCCAATTCTACATATTCTTAAGGTTATTCATTCCTTTGTTTATTTATTTATTTTAATTCATTTAATTTTTATAACAATTATTTAGTTTCTAAATTACTGAATGAATATTTCTCACTTATCTCATTATTATATATATCTTAATGATTAAGTTTAATCTTATATTCACTTGGACTCTATTGATCTTACTTTATTAATTCTTCATACTCTATTTCTTCATTATTTTTTTCCAGTTATTTTGTATTATACTATGGACCCAAATCGAATTTAGAATCTCCAGAACCATTATACCAACCATTAATCATCCCTTAATCTGTCTTTATTGTCTTAATAATACGAGCACTTGATGGACCATCATGTTTCAAAGTAGAGTCTATTTTACATACTCTTCTCTATCCAAATTGCAATGCTACCTTTCTATCAATCTTCTAAGACTCTTTTAATTAAGCATCTTTTACCTTTTCTTTTAACCATAAAAATTAAAGAGCTCTATCCAAAGTATTTGGTTAAGGTGGTTAATCTCTGAATTTAGTACATTTACTAAAAAATGCCACCTTAAATACTAATAATTATCATACATCCTCTTTCTCCACTTATTTCAATACATCCTCATATAACAATTTGTGTCTGTGCATCTTCTGCATTTTTTTTCTCATTTTATTTAATTTATATAATTTATAAAAGTGGTTAATTGATATTTTAATTTATATATTTATAATTACAAATGAAATTATAAATTTTAATATTTATTAATGAAAACCAATCCTAATTATAATAATCTATCACTCTCTATACCATACAATGATTTTCCCACTTTTCAAATAACATTCCCACCCAGGATATTGACACTTTTATACTATACCTAACTTTTTGTATTCCCCCTTCCTACAAAGTCCAAGAAGTGTCTCATATTACTATTTTTTAGTATTATCCATGGCTATAGTTTCTGTAATTGTTAATTTTCTTTCTGCATAATTTTTTTCTCTAAAATTTTCATAAATTATTTTTTCATATGGCATTACTCCATGTGTTTGGTATTCTACTGGATTATTAAACAAAGTCAAAGTTACCCAAGATGTAGAATATGATGCCTATTTATATTATATAGAATATCATATATATACACTAGCCCAGCCTTAATCTTTAGTCTCTACAATGGCCATAATAACTTCAATTTTATCATATATTTCAGAAATATCCATTTCTAAATATAACGAAATATTGTCATCCTTTACAACTACTTTATTTTCTGAAGAAACTTCTATTCTTTTGAATTTCATTAAAGTGTCTCTAAAAAATGAATTTGTCAAACTTAGATTTAATACTTCCTTTGCCAATAAGTATTTAGATATCTATTATATCAACCTATAATCAAGTTCACCAAGTAATCCTAATGATTATTCTTATTAATCCATTTTAATATATTATAATATTAAATCAATATAAAATATATTATAATCAGACATTAAAAATATATTCTCTTATTCTATATTTAATGAATTCTAAAAGTGATAGATTTCTAAATGAAAATACAAAAATAAATTAGAAAATCTAGTATAATTTAGTAAAATAAATTAATATGAATTCTATATTATTTTAGACAAATAAACAATATTTAAATAAAATATACTTCTTTCAGATCTTCAAATGATTATCAATTTAAATAAAATTATATTATTATTAAAAATTTAAGAGGAATCATGGAATATCTAATTATTTTTGCAATTATCTTGTCTTATTACACAATAAACCAACTTATTTTTATTTTAAATCAAAGATTCCTAATAATTCTGTTAATAATCTAGGTTATAAGGCAAGCAATCCTAAAATTTAAATTGATGTAAATTGCATAAATTATTCTTAACTTACTGAATTACGAATTCTAAAATATAAAGAATTAATATACATCGAATCTGCAATAGATGATCCATTTAAATCAGTCTTTTATTATGAATCTATGAGATCAATCATTATTTATTATAAAGTATCATATAAAATATTTTATATTTTCCTTTCTTTAATAATACTACTTTCATTTTTACTATTATTTAGAGTACTTACATCAAAATAAATAGAATTAGCATAACCATTTTTATTAGTAATCTTTTATTTATTTTTAAAACTTTAAATAGATATACTAGCACATTCAGATAATAAACTTCTTATTTAACAATATCTATTTGTCACTTTCTAAATAAAACGAGTAGATTATTATGTTCTAGATCTTAATTCTTAAACTTGACGATAAATATATACTATATCATTAATTTTCTATTCAAAGAATATATACATTTATACTTCTTATTAATTTTCTGATTAAACATTTTTCATTATATGAAGTAAAGTACTTTTAGATTTCTACTTTAATGGAATAGAAGGTAAGATTTATGGTTTAGGAATTGAAGTTTCTGGTATTGTTAAAAACATATCAACACTATTTCTGTCAACTTATTAATAATTATATATACTAGAAACCGTTCTTTTCTCTTGTTTTATTTTAATCATCTCCTCTTATATTCTGAATGAATCTCTTACTATATCTCTTATTTCTATTCTTTTTTAGTATACAGTCTATTTCAATTAATTAATAGTCATTTTATTTAATTTAATCTCATCAACCATTTTACTATGGTTTTCACTTAAAGCCTTTTCATATTTAGAAATCTTGTGCAATTCCCCAACCACTTCTTTAACAGATGGATGATTCTCAAGACTAATCTTACTAATTAATTTAATTACTCTTCTTGTGATTTCTTTTTCTCTTCTAACTTTACTATTTAAAATTTTAATCTCTCCAATTGATTCATTAAATGAAAATATCTTTAATTTAATCTTTCTTCCTAATTTAATCCCATTTATTTAATACTTCTTTTTCTATTGCTATAGCAGTTTTAGGATTAACTTATTCCACATAAGTTTATACAACCTGATGTTTCTCTTACACTTTATCCATTCCATCATTGATGCTATTAAATTTTATAAATTTCATACGGTTCCATCAATATCATTGAACCTCGTTTTTACAAAAGATGAAGCATAGATTTCATTTTTTAATAAATTATTATTTTATTTATTTTTATGCTAGAATATATTAATTGATCCTAAGTCTTCATTTTTATATTAATTATTAAGGGTCATAGTATTAAAATCAAAAATTGTAGATAATTCATGTAATTCTCTATAAAAATTGTAAAACTACTGTATCATCAATCCTCTATTTTCTAAATAATATGATTCTTTTAAATATATAATTCTTCAATAATTCATTGTAATATGACGAATACATTTCTAGTGAATGATTTATAAATTAACTAATTTTATTTAAGAATCTCCATTTTTATGTTCAAATTCAATTATTTTAATTTGATTTTTAATTAATAACTAAGTAATAAAATAAAGAACTAGAGAGTAAATAAATAAATGAATAATGATTTTATTTTAAATAAAACATTCAATTGTACCTGAAACTACTAAACCATCAATTTATTTATAAAAAATTTACTTAAAAAGCCCATGCTACTAGAAGGAGATGATTAGAATAAAAATAAAAAAAATGTTGTATACTTAGTTTTCTTATGTTTAAGAAAACACTTAAAATAAAAAAGCTTCATATTTTAATGTTATTTATAAATGTCTATTTATTTTAATTTGAATTGATTATATCAACCAAATTGAATAAATTATACTACTTTTTTTTTAATTTATTAAATTTAGCATATGTGATTATCAATTTAATAGATAATTTTCAATTGAAATTAAAGTCATTGACATAAATTTATTCAAAGTAATGTAAACTGTTATTGTTTTAGAATGTCAATTTGGAGTAAATGATTTTAATTTGAATAATTATTTGAGAAAAAGAATATGACTTAAAATAGATTTTTAAATGAGTCTTAATTTTTTATTATGTTATTCATGCCATTTCGATTGAATATTAATATGATGCAAAATTATACTTAAAAATTTCCACTTGATACATTAAAAATGTCAATATAATATGAATTAAAATAATTAATTAAATTTTATAAATAATGATTATAATTAACAAATTTACATTCAGTGATTTTATCAAATAATCAAATACTTTGCTCTATTTTTTTTTTTTTCATCATAGCAAGTTCCTTAAATTTACACTCAACAATATGTTTGAACTTTTTTTCATCTGCTGATTTATTTTTAAGACTGTTTCTAGCATTTATAAACCAATTTAAGACCTATAAGAAATCATGAATATTGATACCTATTTGTTGGTTAAATTTGTTTATTAGACTAATTACTCTACTTAATGAGGTTTTGGATAAGGATTGTTATAATTCTCAATCAACCATTTTTTAAGTGTCATATTAGCAGATTTTGAATAAGTCCTCTTAGTATTTGCTAAACAGAATATCAAAATTATATTATACATGGATAATTTTAGAGTAATTTTAATTTCTAGATGTCTTCATAAAGTTTGATTTTGTTTTAAATTTAGGTTGTGGCTTCTTCAAAAAATTAAGTCATTTATGTTTGTGTCATAGTAGAATACAATTTTTCATTGATTATCCTTGATTTAAGTATTTCAAAGAAATTTTTAAGCTAAGTACTCTTTTCAACTGCCTATCTTATATTCAATAATAAATACATTAGCCTCTTAAGTGCATTCTATATCAATGGATTCATTTTTCTTTAAAGTATCATCATTTTATTTTTGAGACAGTTATTGTTAGCTAAACCATTATACCCAAATGTTCTCTAAATTCTATATATCTGATTTAACTTTCTGTTCTTTTTATTCATTAACTGAAAGAGTAGTTAAGCATACATTACTTTATTATTGTAATTACTAATATGAGGATAATTTGTTAGGCTCTTCTAAGAAAGTTTAGAAATGCATAATAAAGGGAATCTTTTTTTTATTTTTTAAAATTGATTAATTCAAGTCAAAATTTTACTGATAAATTGCAAATCAGCAGTCTAGAAGTATGATGCTTATCAAGGTTTTTCATATGCAACAAGGTTTTTACTATTATCATATATAATATGAAATTTAGCTGATGATATATATTCTGAAAAATGAAAATTAATGATTCAATAAATTACTATTATATATTATTAATTTTAATATTTAATAGTGACCAAGGATGGAGTCTAAATTTAAATAAAGAACTAGAAATTTAATATCAATTCCCAAATATTCCATTTATCATTTCTTTCAAAAGAAAGATATATATAAGGATCCTAAAGGTCAATAAATAAGAATATTTAAAATACCAAAATTTCTAATTCCCACTCTATTTCTATTGTCATCTACCATAATATATCAATATACTTTTTCAAAAAAATAGATTATTATCAAAATTAATGAGGATTAGCAAATAAAATGAGAATAATTATAAATAATTAACAATATTTTATTATATGAAATCTCACAACTAAGGTAGATAAGATTTCTTATAATGGATAAATGAATTAACTGAATGTGATTATCCTAAAGTTGAGGTAATATTTAAATTTTAAATTAGTTATTATCTGATGGGATTGGTTATTGTTAAATAATAGATGCATTACATCCAGGAGCCATATATCTTTCAAAATTAAATTTTATGGCTAGATTTCCAGATGAATACACTAAGAATTTAAAAGTAGATTGTAATATTTAATAGAGGTTCTTGATGATGCATTTTCTAAACTTAAAATTGATAAAGTTGTTCCAATTGATAAATTAAGTAAATGCAAATTTTAAGATAATATGACATTTTTATAGTGGATGTATAATTATGCTTCTAAAGTTAATCCATTTGTTAAAAATTATCGTGGCTATTCAAGAAGATTAGAAGCTTTTGAAAAATAACATCATGGTCGTTATACACAAATGAGTGCTCATCTGATTCCAAATACTGAATTTTTAAAATTTAAATAGACAGATATTGATGGCAGAACATTTTTAAAAGTTGAATCTACAAAAGCATAATAAGCTGAAGAAGCAATCAAAGAATTAGAAATTGATATCAAAAACAAAATGGATTATAATTGGAAATTAATTTATGCTTTAGATGATCTTTAATATTAAAGAGATGTATTGTATGGATTATTAACAAAAATTGATTAATGTGTTTAAAAAAGTAATGATCCTGCAGCTATTAAAATGCATAATGTTATTATGGAAGAACCTATAGATTTTTCTGAAAAATGAATTACTATCTAATCTATAGTTATAATAATATATCACTCATATATATTTTACTTTTAAATCTTTCTTATAATTCTATATATATATATATCACTTCCAAGCTTATAATATTTAATTTATTTTAAGAAATTCAGTATATCATTCAATATTTCTAACAATCAAACTTTTTTTAAATATTCATGAGGATTTGGTATCAATCTATATGAAATTAAGCAAATAAATAAAAATTTATTTTAATGTTATCAAGCTCATAAAAATCCCAAGTTTATAAACGAACTTCTTATCTGACTGAATCAGTCTCTATTCCCAATTCAGCCAGACCTTAGTCATCCTACGTAAACACATTGGAAAAGAAAGAACTTAGAAGGTACATTTAATTTCTTATTAGATATCCTACTGAATGGGCTGAATAAGTTGATAATAAAACTGACAATAGGTTTCATCATGTCATCATTAATTAAAGTAAGGCTGACCATAATCCTAATTTGGCATCTCCCAGTAAAATTTTCGGTTTGACAGAAAGGTTAATTTTACCCTCTATTTCAATAGTCGACGTTTAAATACTCAAAATGATGATTTACTATCAGCTTTCAGAAGAAAAAACTAATCTTTAAGCAATTTAGGATGTTGGTAATTCAATAGTACTCCTGTTGCTAATTAATCTTAAAATACTTAAGGTAAAGCCTCAACAACTTAAAAACCATAACCCATGTTAACAAGAAAATTAGATCAATCTGTTCCTCTTAGAGATTTGCTTGAATTGTCAAAATAATTAGATTCAGCTACACCTGAAGAGATATAATAATTATCTAGGGGATATGTTAACGAGCTTGTCTAATTATAATAGACTATAACAAGATCCTTAAAATATATTAAAAGATGAGATATATATAATTTAATAGGCTAATCAGAATTTTTTATAATAATTTCCTTTATGAATTTATTGATGGCTTATAAATTTTATCTAAATTATCTCACATACATAAATTATCTTTTAAGACTGAAAACACTCCAATTTAACTTATATATTATTCAAATATCTTTTAACATCAAAACTTTTTTAATCATTACTTAACAAGTGTCAAATTTCATATAGAATTTTATATAAAGAAATTTATTTATTTAATTAAACAATAGTTATTATGAACATCTTTATAATCTATATAAATAATCCAATTTTTTACTAAAATCTTATAGTAATCATGTAAACAATCTAATTTTACTAAACTTTTTAATTGTTTTTTGAAAAATCTTCACAATATAATAATTATAAGAAATCAGTATCCCAAGAGAATATTGAAAATTAGTATTTATGAATGACTATTCATAAACTTCTAATAAGAGCCATTTAATCTGTTAGGAATCCAAATTAGAAATTGGAGAATAGTTCATTTTTTAATGATCTCTATAGTAAGATATTTAACCTAAGTAGGTTTAGAATTTAAGCGATAAATATCTTCTATGAAAATTAATGGAGTAGAATCAAAAAAATATTAGGCTAAAAATTGAATTGATATCACAAAATAATGTGTTTTTTCAAATGAAATTAAGTAATAATATATATATAATTATTTAATTAAGCAGTTTATTTGTTTTAATTAATATTTTTTAGATATATATTTTTAAAATTCTTGTTAATGATTATTATATAATTCTCATTTTGAAATGATTATTGCAATCCATTTATTTACAAATATAATTTAAAATTCTTTGATACTCATATTTTCAAAATTTAATATAAATAGATGTTTTAGATATTTTATATTTTAAAATTAGTCTAGTCAACATGTCCATACTCAAATTTTGATTAATTTTAATTGAATAGTAATAACTTTTATCAAGAAAAGAATTATGAAAGAGGAAATACATATGCATTTGGTGTATGGACTCAATTTGCTCCTATTAGAAAAAATTCATACTCAGACAAATCAAAACCTTATTTTGATTCAACAAGAAATCTTGATGGATTTCATATTCTAAATTTTCAAAATGAAGGAAACATATAAACTATATTTTATTAATAACCTCTTTATGTTACAGGATATCCAACATTAATCATTTTGTAAAATACATAGTCTGGGGTATTGGCTTATAGGATTCAAGAGGCATTATTTTATTATGAGGGATATTGGATTTTTACCTATTTTAGTTTTAATTATGATAACAGATACAATTTTGCATCATATAGTACAGGGGATGATCGTTTTTTTAATTTTTTAGTCACAAATAGAAGATTGAAACCATAAACAAATAATGTTAAATTAGAGTATGGAGGATAGGGATTATATAACATAGATACTAGTAGTTTTAATTTAAATATATTTTTGGGAAGAATTTCTATAATTACTATATTTGAAAATCCAATTAGTTTTTTTAATAATTAAGATAAAGTAAAATTTGTTTAATTTATTTCAAAATGCTCAGTTCCATAAGGATGTTAAAATGTTGTTGAATTATTATTATTTAATGAGCCATATAATTAATATAATTGTACGATTCGTAATTATTAAGTTGATATTCATGGATTAGTATACATGTTTGATTTTTGGATAAAAAGAGACTCTTATAAAATAAATTCAGAAAATGAAATCTTATTATCATTTGGAGGTTTATTTTCAACTTTAGAGCGATATTATTAATTAGCATTGTATTGGAGAATTGTAAATTATGATGTTATATTACTTCATCATTTAGATGTTTATTATTTAGTACCAGGAGAATAAATTACATAGTATTTTGATAATTATCTTGTATAATTGTTTAAACCTATAAAAAGTTATGAATAATGGACCTATTTAAAATATTAGTTTTAGAAGATTGGAATGTATCAGTACGTTTACCTTTCTATCTATTAATCTTGTTGTGATACTTGGGAATAATATTATGTGCTCAATGTTCCTTATTATCAATAATATACAAATTATTAGGCCACAATAACATTATTCAGAGAATAAGAATTAGGAACCATCATACCTTTTGAAGGTTTAATTTCAAATTTAAGATTTAAATACTGTAACATTATTGATTATCAATTTGGATAAGAATCGAATCTAAGTATATATAAATAATATCATAATAGATTGCAATACACTGTGTAAAACTTGTATAGGACCTACTAAATATGATTGTGCATCCTGTTATGATGAATAAAATAGATAATTATAATCTGATCTTCATTAATGTTTATGTAAATCTAATTATTAGGAATCAGATAGTTTAATATGCCAAAGTAAATTATTTTTTAATCTATTTTAGAAACCCTTCTAAACTCTATCTCCTAATAAAAAGAGTTGTATAAAGAATACAATATAATCGAAGTATAATATAATAAAAAGTGTAAATATGGTTACTTTGAAGTATGGAAGAATCTTAAATTTATAGGATGCATTAAATGGTATTTATAATTTTAATTCAAAGTCCTTATTTTGGCTAAACTCATAATTCATTGAATTGTATTAATTGTATATTAAATTCTCACAATTGGTATTTAGAACCTGTATGTAATATTGATTATAGTACTGATGACTCTGTATCTTATTACAACCAATAATTAGATTATCAAACATAAGAAATATTTATTATAAATTTTGATTTGATGATTATTGAACTATGTTTTGGATGTGAAAAAATTACTGAAACAAAAAATTCATTTTCAATTATTAAGTATGTGAATGGTATATATACCTTTTATTAATGTAAATAATTTTTATATCCTAATAATAATATTTGTGAATTATGTGAAATGAATTGTATTAAATGCAAAGATACAGAGAAATGTATAGAATGTAATTAAGGGTTTTATATAAAAAATGATCATTGTTATCAATGTCCTTAGGGATGTTTATAATGTATTTTAGATTCAAGATTAGACTAAGTAAAATGCACTGATTGTTAATAAGGTTATTCATTAGTTAATGATAATTGTATAAAATGTGGTTATCTTTGTGAAATTTGTTAATAGAAAATAAATAGAGATACTGGATAAGAATATATGAAATGTTTAAAATGTAATTACAATACTTATATATCTCTTGATGGAGAAAGTTGTTATGTTAATAATTTAAATCATTGTATATATCCTTTTCAATTTTCAATTGTATCTAATTCTATAAATACAATTTTGTATGATTTTTAACCATAAGAAATTCAATATATTAAAACAGGTTGTATATTTTGTTCAACTATCTCTTATTTAACTGCTGAAAATAATTAGTTTACTTGTACTCCTTAAGGATCTGATTAAATTAAAAGTGGATGTTATTAAACCCTCCATTATTCTGGTTATATAGATTGCTCTATTGGTATTAATAATTTAATGGCCTTGGGATTTGGATACTGTACTCAATTTATTCCACATTGTACTATTTGTTTCAGGTTAGATTGGGAATATGCTAATATTTGTTATATATGTGAAGATGGTTATTATAATGATTATTATTCAAGTTTCTGTAAACCATGTAATCAAGAATGTGCTACTTGTATTCAAATTGATTCTTCAAAAATAGTAAAGTCATCAATTATAAAGATATTTTCAATGTTAAATGATTTTTAAGGAACTAAACATTATTCATAGTTGACTCAAAATCCTAATAAGAATGAAATTGAAATTATATGTACTAAATGTTCAGATGGATATATTAAACATTTTAATAAATGTATTTAAAAATGTCCTAATAATTGTAAAGAATGCAAAATTATTAATGATTAATAAGTATGTATTTCTTGCATTTAATTTAATGATTTACAATATCATGTTTATAATGGAAGATGTATTTAATGTCCTTTAAATTGTAAAATATGTCATCCTAGAACAGATGATGAAAAATTAAAATTTAATCCATATTTTAATAATAAAAATTTAGAATATTTTTCTCATTAATGCATTTCACCATTATCTGATGACTTATATTATGATTAGGATATACAATAATTTATTAAATGTGATAATATTATTGAATGCTAAAAATAAATTATTATTGAAATTCATGTTTATTGCAATTAAATTGATTTAGATAATTATATCAATTAATTAAATGATTAATAAAAAGTAATTTAGAGTAAATTTCATATTCTTTTGGAAAATCTTAATTTAACATTGTATGAATATTATGATTATTTTTTATATCTTAATCAGAACTTTATTAAAATAGTTACTTATTAAATTACTATTGTAAATAATTAAATTTGTTCTTTAAATAAGTAATTAAACATCTAATCCAATTTATAAACAAATTGTTTTAACTTGATTCAATTAAACTTAATAATCAATGGATCTGGCAATACTCTATATTTGAATAATCACTTATAACTTATAAATTTTAAATACATAAGAATTGAAAAAATTAATATTCAAATTTCTAATGGAGATATATCTATGGATAATATCTATGGTTATATTGTAGAATTTGAAACTATTAATATCTATTAGGATTTAACACAGATAACATCATAAAATTATTTAATATAAATTAACTAATCCATTTAAATTAATATTTCTAATTTGTAAATACACAATATAAATGTTCATTTTCAAAATGGATTATTTTTAATTACTAATCAAAATTTAGATATTAAATTAATAGTAGTGGATCTAATAATAAATGATGCTAAAATTATTAATACATCAATTATTAAATTTAACACATCTTAAAAAATCTAAACATAAATATAAAATCTTCATATACAAAATTCCTAATTTACTAATACTACTCTTATTGAGTAATTATAATAAACTAAAATAATAAATATAGATAATTTTATTATTTAAAATTCAATTATTGTAAACACTACAAGTTTCTTAAATTTTAAATTAATTTAAAAAGTTGAATTTAAAGGATTATAATTTTAAGATTCAATTTTACAAAATTCAAATTTTATATCAAGTTCTAAAATTCTATTATTGATTGAATTCAATTTTTTAAAACTCTAATTCCTTGAGTAATCCACATTATTAATCAATTAAGATTCAAATTTTCTTGAATTTATATAAATTGAAAATGGTAAAATCATAGATAATGTTTACTCTAATAAGCATGCTTTAATTTTATTATTAAATTCAGAAATAGTGTATCTTAAAAATATACAATTAATCAACAATGCTATTAATATTGATAACTAAAAGGATTCTTTTGTTAAGGACATTGAATTATCCATAATCAATATTTAATCAAATATAGTAATATTTGATACTTTGATAATTTAGAGAGGAATAGGCTACTCTGAATTCACTATAAAAAATACAAATACCTTTAAACTTATGAATACTGTAATTACATTACATTAAAATTATTATTTTTAAAGTTTATTTAATAATAATTAAGAATGCAAATTACATCCATTTAACTAATTTATGTATAATAATCTAATGAATTTATAAAATAGCTCATATATTCAAATTTCAAATACTAATATTACTGATATCATATTATATGATTCTGTTTTATTTGAAATATAAATACTTTCATAGATAAACTCATAATTTATAATGATAAATTGTAATTTTTCTTCTAACATTTTACATCAATTAAATAAATACTAAAAAGTATCTTTATTATCAATTAATTCTAATTCTTATCTTAATTTGGATATAAACAATATTACATTTTCTTAGAATCTATTAAATTTATTAAGAGAAAGTAACCCTTAAAAATAAAGCTTAATTCTAATAGTGGAAGCATTTTAAGCCAAGAGTACAATAAGTAATTGTTTAATTGAAAAAAATATGAATTTAAATGGTTAAGGATCTATATTATATATAGACTCTGACTTAATTATTGTAGAAAATACAAAGTTTTTAAGTAATTCAGCATTTGTATATGATACTTTAAAGTAGTTTCTTAGATGGGGTTTGACAGAAGATATCTTTTTAGAACATTTATAAAAATTATATATTACTTAGAGTAATGGAGGAAATGGTAATTTTTAAGCTAGATAAATCATATTTAACTAAATTTTATTATAAAGTTCAATCTCAAAATAGGGTGCTGGATTCGTATTTAAAATGATAGAAGATGGAAATATATAGATAAGCAATTCAAATTTTGAAAATTTGGAAGCTGAATTGATGGAATCCTCATAAGGAGGAGCATTTCATATATCATCATAATCATTATATTTAAGTATTAATATAATTAATACAAAATTTCTTGATATATCCTCAAGAAAAGGTGGTAGTATATTCTATATTATACCATCAACAAAATTATTCAAGATCACATTACTTAATTCTACTTTTAATAACATTTTCTCAATATAAGGAGGGATAATATACGTAGAAAAATCTATCCATTAAGTATTAATTTTTAAGATGAGGGGATGTTAATTGTCTTAAAATTTAGATAAATTTAATAAATTCATAAATTCTTTATCAGATGTATCAAATAATGAATTAAACACATTAACATAAGAGTATTCACTTATCTATTGTTATGATTGTTAATTTTAAATAAGTGATTTATGTATAACAAATTATCTACCTATACCTTTGTTTTAATTTTATGGAAGTACAAATCTCAAAAATATTTCAATACAAAATATTATTTTTTCGAATCCATTAATACAATTTTCTCCAGTAAGAGAATCAGATTAAATAATTCTTCATAATATAGAGTTTTAAAACTGCACTCAAATAACAATTACAGAAATCAATATTCCCTAAAAATAATAAGAAAAAATTATAAATAATAATGTAAGAACATCTTGTAACCAAAGTTTAATAGATGCTCCTTTATTTATCATGAGTTTTAATGAAAGCTTCTCTAATATTAATCAAATAACACTTTTAGATACCTTATTTATTTAGATATAATCATCAACAATGTCTATGATATTGTTTAAATTTGCAGATTATTATCAAAAACATTAAATTCAACTTTCTTAGATTAATTTATAGAACAATAAGTGCAATAAGTGCTCAAATGGACTATTAAATTTTTAGAATAGTAAATAAATATCTATTAAAATTACAAAAATCACATTATCTAATTCTTATTGTGGTAATAATGGTTGCATTTCTTTTATTTAATTAGATAAACGTATACTTTAAAGTTTAGATTCTAAATACTATATAGATAATTCTTTTATTAGAATAGAGGATTTGTAATGTATAAACAACACTGCTTAATATGGAGGTTGTTTGTTTATACAAAATTAAATTATATCAATTAGTTAAAGTTTGATAAGAGGTAATAAGGCAGTATATGGAGGTGCCATTTTTACAAAAGGAATTAATTCAACAATGATTTCAGAGAATGTGATAATTACAAATAATTCAGCATAATTTGGAAGTGCAATTTATAATTAGGATAATTTAAAAAGAAATGTTAAAGGAATAGAGTTAATTGATAATTATGGATTAAATTAAATTGATGAATAACCTTAATAAATTTATTTGTAAATCTTTAAAGATTAAATAATTAAACCAACAATTGTATCATCTTCTAAAAATCACATAAAATCTTAAATAATTGGCAAAGATGGTTAAATATCAATTATACATATTCCTACTGGTATTCCATTAAAAGTATACAGAAAATTTGAAATAGAAAAAAATAGTTACAATTAAAAAATAATAGAAATGAGATTATATGCAATTAACTCATAATTAGAAATAGTTAGAAATCTTACAAATACTTATTGTGAATTAAAGATAAATAATTAATTTGGATAAGTATAAAATCTATTTTTAAATAAAAATAAGATTTACTTTAATTAATCAACATTTTCATATAATTTAGATGATTTAATATTTTACATTCCTTCAGATTCTAATTAAACATTCGAATTTTCTATTAAATGTAATAGTATTTATGTTCCAATTTTAAACAATACAAATAATTTAATAGAGGGGTATAATTATATATTTATAATTAGATATCATTAAAATTATACTTTGAGTCTATTAATTAAACCTAATGAATGTTAACTAGGTGAGTACAGTTAATCAAAAGAAGATTATTGTCATTAATGTTTAGTAAATTAGAAATAATACTCTGTTATTGTAGGAGCTACAAATTGTTAAACAGTAGATGATTAAAAGATTTAGGAAATAACTTAAGCTTAAATATTCTTGAAAAAGGTATATCAATTTTCTAATTATAATATAGGGTTATTGGAGAATGAAAGTGACTACATCTATAATTGACTTTTGTTTAAATAGACAGGAAAATTGTATTGGTGGATGGGGAGTTGGAAATGATTTATGTTAATAGGGCTATATAGGGGCTCTTTGTGAATAGTGTGATTATTATAATATAAGAGGTGGAGGATATTATTAAAGAGAGAGTTTTTTTGAATGTTAAATTTGTGAAAAGGATGATTTACATTAAATTATTAATTTTGCGATCACAATTTTAATGTAATAATTTATATTTAATAAAGATTTATTTGTTTACTTGTATTAGTTAATTATTTATCTAAAAAGAGAGTATAATTTATACGTTTAAATGTTAAGGAATTTAGAGTACCTTTTAGATAAGGTTTTTTTAAGTAAAAAGAAGTCCTTATGGGTTAGAGCATAAAGATTATATTGTTCTATTTTCAAATAATAAGTTATACATAAGAAATATCTTCTGTATTTTCAGATGAAATCTAATAATTAATTCATTTTTTTGGAGATCCTTTTACATTATTAGGAATATATAAAGAATGTTAATTACTAAATCTAGAAGTTAATGTAATTTATATATCATTATTGTAAAATTTTATATGTATACTCATATTAATAACTACTTTTGTATGTATTTGTTTTGCAAGGATTTTCATTTAAAAATTAAAAATAACATAAATGGAATTTTTCAATTTTGTATATTTAATATATATTTTCATTGTTGGAAGTTTTATACGATCCATTATTTAACTTATAGCTTTTAGAAATATATAGGATGTGTATTGGATACATAAAAATATTTCATATAATTATACAGATAAAGATCATCTTAGATTAGTTTTATTCTTATTTTTACCTATTGTAATAGGTTTGGGAATTGTATTACCTTATTTATTATTACAAAAGTTAAAGTCATCCTTATTTTTATCAAAACGAATACCTTTTAAAGACTTTGGATTTTGGTTTACATCTTATTAAAATGATCATTAACACTGGGAATTTTATAAATTCTTATTGGTTAATGGATTGATATGCATAATCATTATGATTGATGCAAATGATACAATAAAAGGAGTATTATCTTATTCTTTATTAATCATTTATACTAAAGTATGTTAAGATAGTAAAATCTATTATCATGCATAAATGAATAGATTTGAAAGTTAATTAAATATTATCAGTATCATAATATTAATATTTTGTACATTAATTTCAATATAAGAATACTAAGGTTCTATATTAAAAAATATAATTTTGAATTTTATTAATTCTTTATTTATTTTGGGTGGAATTTTTATTATTCTTCATTTATTGAAATTGAATTCCTAATATATAAAAAGGATATTCTGTAGATTATTTGAAAATTTAGGAATATTTAATGAGATATTTATTAAATATAATATATTTTAAGCTCATTCAAAAACTTCAATAGAAATAAGAAAAAAAAGATTTGAATAATTAAGAGTTTTTTTAAAATAGCAAAGCAAAACATAATTGTTAATTAAAAAAGAATATTAAATTTCTGAAGAGTAAAATGAGACTTAAAGATTTTGAATTAAAATTTAGAAATATTGAAAGTTTTAAAAATATATTTTAATAATTTTTCATTTTTAATATAATGATTGGTTCCTATATTAGGACAGCCACTTTCATATTAATAGGATTAATTAAATCTTCAATCCAGTGTGATTCAGCTACTTTGCAAGGATGTTTATTAGATGACAGTATTGAGACAATAAAAATGCCTCTCTTAGATTATTCAGCTTATGGATATGGCTTTTGGTTCTAATATTTGTCTACATAGACTACATTATATGAAAGCTTAACAACATTCCCTAAAATCGAAGGGTTATTGATATTAAGGGAAATAAATCCTGATAATTCATAATATAGGGTATTCTTTTATTAAGATTGGACTAACAAAAATGCTAATTAAGAGAAATATTTATATTTATAATATTAAATAGATAATTAAATGATTGAATTAGCAAAATTTGTATTTGATTCATTCAATTTTGATGGTAAATGGATTCATATATAAATTTCTTATTAATATCCTTATTAAAGATAAATAGTTATATATGATATTTGGAATGATAATTGTTAAATTATAAATTATGAATCTAATAGTAATCTAGAAATGAAAGAGACAATAATTACATAAGGAGGAGAATTAAAATTACAATTAAATTAAAATGATGAAATAAAATAATTTGCTTATTTTCCTGGAAGAATTTCAAAAGTATAGTTTAACTTCAATAAAGATTATATTATTTTTAATACAGTTCAATAATTTAGATTATTTCTTGATTAATAATTTATTCCATAACCATATTGTTAAGTTAATACATATGATGTAACATCAATATCAAATTATATTTATTCATATGGATTGATTTAATTAGAATCTTGGATTAAGATTGATTATAATTTGGTAATATTATTATATATATATATCTTTAGAATATAAATTATTCAGCTAGTGTTTTTGGAGTTGAAATATTGTTTCTACCACATCTTAATTCCTATTAAAAAATAGTTGATTTATAATATTGTCTTCTTTAAGCATGGACATCTGATTTAGCAAATGGAGTGTATTTCTAAACTTTCAATTAGATTGATCCAGACTTTTATCCAAATTTACATCAATATTTTGATAAATCAGATATTGCTTTTCATACTTTAAAATAGGATTTAAGATAATGGCATTATGTTTCTATTCTTTATGGTTTTGATGAATAATAAGTTCCAGTTTCTAATTTAAAAATGTGGTTTAGTGATGGGGATATTTATGATGTTTAATATCATAATAGAACTTATCATTTTGATGGTGCAAACTTAAAAATTAGAAGTGGATAACTATTTAGTGCTGCATCTGATGGTATGTATATAACAACAGAGAGTAGTAAAATAACTGTTTGTTTACCTGAATCTTTTATATTAATGAAAAGTATATATATTTTTGATTAAACAAGAATGTCACTTCAGTTGTTTAGATTGTAATGGACCATATCTTGATTAATGTATAAGTTGTGATTAGAAGTCTAATAGATATTTAGAAAATAGTTATTGTAAATGTAGTCTAGGCTATATAGAAAGTAATGTTGGAAATTGTATATGTAATATAAATTATGTAATGTAGAATTTCTGAATTTTTATCCAAATTCTATTTAAGAATATAATGCAAAGAATTAAACTCTATCATAATTTGGATATTTTCCAATTAAAGAATTCAATAATGAAATTATTTATATACGTTGTCCTTAATTCAATGAAAATTAATCAGAAAAAATAAGTTGCATAGAATGTTTAACTTAACCTGAATCATTTGCTAAACTATTGAAATGTGAATCTGATTATGTTTTTAATCAGTATGGATAATATGAATTGATTTAAAGAGGAAAATAAGATATTGAATTATATGTACTTGATAATTAAACATCATCACTTACTTTATGTGTTGGATGCAATTCTATTTGTAATTTAGATATTGAATCAAATTGTTATTTTCATACTTTACTTAAAGTATATATAACATGTCAATCATAATTCTATTATTAATAAGGTGAATGTGTTATATGTCATTCTAATTGTTTAACATGTATAGATTATACTATTTGTACATCTTGTAATGATTAAATGACTTTGAATCCATAAAATAATGAATGTTTAGAATGTCCAAAGGAATGTTTAGAATGTGAATATAATTCTAATGTTTAATGTAATAAATGCATAGGATAATACTCAGTATTTGAAGGATAATGTTATCCTTGTGGAAAATATTGTTTAGAGTGTTTATTTGTATAAAATTCAAAAGATGGATCTTATTATAATAGATGTATAAATTGCATAGATAATTAAAAATATCATTTATCAATAAATGCAATTGATTGTATTGAAAATTTAGATATTCAATGTAAATATGCAATATAATTTCATAAATCCTGGTTTATGAGAAATAAAGTAAATACATTATTTCATATGTATGAAAAAGGAGATTTTGATTCAAATTAATTAATTAATTATTGTGCCTTATGTAGTGAAGGATATGTTTCATTACTTTCAGGATAATGTGTTAAAATAGATACAATTACTGAAGATATTTAATATAAAGAATATTGTACATAAATGTATTAAATGGAAGTTTATTAATCATTATAATTAAATTAATTATAATATACATGTTTAGTTTATACAAATTAATTAAGATAATCACTTTCAGCATCTAATGGATGTGATTTTTTAATATAAAATTGTGCTTATTGTTTCAGTAATATATGTTTACTTTGTTATCCTGGATATTATACTGAATTAGTTTCTGGATAATGTATTTTATGTCCATAAGAATTGAATTGTTATAAATGTGAATAAAGATCAAAATTGTGGAAAAATGGTTGGAAAATATGGTATGGTATTGTTCATATGATGTTGAAACGTGGAGTCTTTTATGATGATATATTTGGAAATGAATCATAAGATAAATTAGAAGTTGTTTGTAAAACTTGTACAATAGATTTTGAATTTTATCTAGATAATTGTATTAGAAAATGTCCAGAAAATTGTGAACATTGTATAAAAAGTAATGGATAAAATAAATGTGTTAAATGTAAAATGTATGAAGATCGACGTTTATCTCTATATGATGGTAATTGTATTGATTGTCCAAGATATTGTTAGATTTGTAAACCAAAAACTAATACTTAATTATAAAGTGCTAATCCATATTTCTCAAATTCTAATGTCAAATCTTCAACACATACTTGTCTAATGTTATAAAATGGATTAAGTTTTTAAGATTATTATTATGATACTAAATTTAAATAATTCTTCAAGTTAAGTGAAACTGGTACAGATCCTAATACAATTATATTGAAATTCAATCTTTATTGTAGTTCAGAACTCTTTAATTAACATTTAGAATTGGCATTAGATAAATAATATTTTCTATAACAAAATATAAAAATAGATGAACTCTTAACCAATAATAAATCTTAAAGTAATTTTGGAAGAATTGAAAATCTAAATTTATATACATATCTAAGTATTTAATAGATTTAAGAAGTTGAATTATAATTTAATTTCATTTAAGATTGTATTATAGAATTTCACTCTTATATTTTCACTACTTTAATTTAGAATATCTATTTTGTCACTACAGCCAAAATTACATTATTAGGTAATGGATATACATTATATCTTAATTCAAATCTAGAAATACTAAATTTTGAATCTATTCAAATATAAAATTTAACCATTTAACCTTAATCAACTGTGAACATTCATTTATAATCTTTAAGTGTTTTAAAAGTACTATTTTATTCAGTAATTATTCAATAACAATAAGAAAATTAAAATCCAATAAAATTTAATATTTTATCCACTAATCTTTAAGAATTATGGATTTAAAACTTCTCTTTATATAATTTAAATCTATAATCTGTTACTAGTTTATTTTATTTAGAATATACAGTTAATTAATAATATATTAGTATTAATATTGATCAATTTAATATTTAAAATTCTAATATACACAATTCAAATATCATTTTATTAGATAATTACTCTTAAAAAACAACAAATTGTTATTTTCATAACATTTTAATCATTAATTCCAATATTTATTCTAGTCGTTTTTTGACAACTTTAAATAATTAATATCTAGATATATTTGGATCTATATCCTAAATATCAATCTAATACTCATTTTTATATGATATTCAACCTTTATTTCTGACTTTTTACATTAAAAGTTTATATATAAATGGAATCTATTTATTAAATTCAACATTTCAAAATTTTATTCTATTTTAAACAACTAATTAATAAATTAATAAGAATTATTATATTAAATTTTGTAATTTATATAATAGTTCAATTATTACTTCTATATAAGATTATTAATTTTAATCTATTATTTTAGAAAATATTGAAGTTATGTAAGTATATTATGATGACAAAACTATATTTATGAATTTATTATCAAATGATTTAAACAGTACAGTTAAATTATCTAATATTATTCTAAATACAATTACTATTTTTGATACTAGTTAATTAGTTTTAAATTTATAATCATTATCCTCAATTATTAGAATATAATCAAACTCTATTCAAATATCTGATGTTATAATTACAAGATCATCAGGTATTACAGAATTTTTATTATCCTCAGCCATTAACTTAATACTTTCAAATTTTACAATTACTTTAAATTCTAAGTATTTCTTTACAAGTATTATCACTGATGAATAATGTTCATATCATAAAACAAATTTTAAATATACAACTACTTTAGCAATTTAAAATGTATAAAATATTAGAATTTAACACTTTTTAATCTCTAATCTAATTCTTTTGGATCTACCTATGATTTATATAATTTCCATTCCAACTTAAATTATTAGAAGATCTGAATCTATTATTATTGATTTCATAAATTTTGATAATTGCATCATCCAAAAGAGTTCGACTATTAATTAGATATCTGGAATTCTATTATAATCAGAATAATAATTAAATATTTAAATTATGAATTCTAAATTTAGTAATAACATTTATTATTCACATACTAAAGAATCTGAGTCTGACTCAGCATTAATATTCTATATAATTGCATAAAATTCTAAAATATAACTATTTAATTGTTAATTTACTCAAAATTATGTCTCATAAAGTGAAAATAGTTTATTATATTTAAATAGTGAATAAATTGATATTATTGATTCATCTTTTGTATCAAATAATTAAATTTATGATAAATTTCTTAAACATGTGAATTGGAAATATTAACCTTATTATTTGACATAAAAATAAATGCAAAATTAATTTTAAGTATCATCTCAAAGTGGAAATGGATAACTAATAGCCTCATTGATTTAATTAAGAAATACAAATGTTTTAGATAGTTTCTCAACTTAGGCAGGATGCTTTAAAATTACATTAGAAAATGAAGGATAGATACTTGTAAGAAATTCTTTATTTAAAAATATCTACACTAAAATTTCTGAAGAACAATCATTTGGTGGTTGCCTTTATGTTATTGATAGAAGCATTAATATCAAAATAGATATATTAGATTCTATATATAATACAATCATTGGAACTGCTGAAGGAGGTGTTATATATTTGAAACCAATTGCCTAATAAATTAACATTAATTTTACTAATGTTACATTTTATGATGTTTATTCAAATGATGGTAATATTGTTAAATTTAATTTCTTAAATTATGATTAATTACTTTATATGTAAAATTGTAGAATTTTATAAACAATAGAGGGATATTCGAAATTTAGGTCTTTGTTTAGTTCATTTTAAAAATATGAAACTACAATGATTTCTATTTAGTTAGGATATTTAATTTTAAGAGATATATTCGTTCAATTATATTTAAACATCTTTTTAGAATTGAATTATTAAAGCAAAATTAGTTTGACTTCAATTGAAATAGATTATTCTTATTATTACTAGAATTCAATCATTTTTATTAGTTTTGCTGCAGGTATTATAATAATATAATATAGATTAACAATGCAAAATTGAAGTAACTGGTCTCAAAATCAAAAACTTAAAATTGTATAAAGATGATCCTAAATTGGAAACAATCTAAATTAAGTAAATAATTGATGATTATGAAAAATTATCATAAGATTGTTAAAATTAATAAATACTAACATTTAAAAATTAGACTTATAAGTTTATAAATTTATTAGATACTATATCTGAACCATAAAATTATATTGAAAATTTAGTTTAAATAACAAATGTAAAAAATAAAGATTCAATATCTATTAAATCAAGTTAATTTTCAAATAATTATTGCTTATTTTGTTAATAAGGACTTGTTTTTATTAGATTAATTGAGTTATAATCAGACAATATAATATTATCGAATATATGGTTAATGGATAATTAATGTGGTGAAAATGGATGTTTATGCTTTGTATAAGAGTTTGAAAGCTAAGAAAATAAGAAATTGTCTTAGTTAACTTTAGACACTATGTTTTGCTATAGAAATTATGCAAAAAGAGGAGGATGTATAGTTAGCAAATAGGTTGGTCTTAAAATATCAAATAGTATTTTAAGTGAAAATCTAGCAGTTGAATAAGGAGGAAGTATTTATTATGATGGAGAGATTACAAATCTTTTATTTCAAAATAATCTTATTGTGTCAAATACAGCATAAGAAGGAGGTGCAATATATTTAGGAAATCAAAGTTTACCTGAATTAAATAAAACATTCAACTATTTGAATAATAATACTGCATATCGATATGGTAATATTAGTTCATCACATTCAACTTAACTTACAGTAATATATAGAAATTTGTAATTTCAAACTTTACATGCATTTAAAAATGGGAAGATTTATGCTTAATTAACTAATTAATCCAATTCTTCAGATTTATATCTATTAAAATTACCAAGTGGTTAACAAATTTAAACTTATCAATATTTTAATATACATAAATAAGAATATGAACATTTACACTTAAAATTAAGAGTTTTAGCTTTAAATGCCTATAATGAATAACAATTTCATCTGAATAATAGTGAATGTTTAATTGAAAGTGGATATCAATAATAAGATTAATAAGAAATAATTTTTACAAATAATTATACAAATTATAATAGAAAAGTTTTTGATTAAGAGACATAAGATTATAATTTTGATGATTTAATTATTTATTATGGAAATGAGATTGATGAATCTAAACTAATTCTATAAATTAGTTGTAATAGTGTTTAAATTCCCATTTATGAAAATGTATTCCCTTATTAGATAGTAGATTTAAATTCATAATATTATTTAACATTATACATTTAAACTTATCAATGTCAATTAGGAGAATATAAAAATTTAACAGATAATGCTTGTTATTTATGTGATATTCTTAAGAAATAATATTCAGTAACTATAAATGCAACAGGTTGTTAATTTATGGATGAAGATACAATAATTTCAATAACACCTGCTTAACTTTAATTAAAAACTGGATATTGGAGACCATTTATAAATAGTGAAATAATTGAACATTGTTAAAATAGAATAGAGAACTGTTTAGGTGGATGGAAATAAGGAGATGAGACTTGTGAAATCGGATAGTTAGGGGCTTGTTGTGAAGCTTGTGATTATTATAATAGTAGAGGACATGGTTAGTATAGTCTTAAGAAATTGTATTAATGTTAAAAGTGTGAGGATTTAGATAAATAAATAATTTATATCATATTAATAACTATTTGGTATTGTTTATTTAGATAATTTTAGGAGTTTGTTTTCAATATATATATCAACAAATGGAGTTGAGAAATTGATTTTAGAATTATAGAGAAATAAAATTGGATCAAGATAATTATTAATTAACAATAATAAATAAACTGGTCCAATAATGAAAATGTTTATTAATTATTTACAAATAGTAGCTATCATAATAAATTTTAATGTTGAAATCCCATAAGCATTTAAAGATTATTATAATATTGTTGGTAATTCACAAACCATGTTATTAATAACTACAGATTGTTTTTTAGCTTAGTATTTTTAAGATGGACTTATATATGTGAAAATCATTTATAGTATCATTTGTCCACTTTTTTATGGACTGATTTACTTATTTATATACTTCCTATTGAGAATCTTTAATAAGATTGTTTATAATTAAGTAATTCCAACAACTTGTGTCTTATATTTATTTTGTTATTATTAAATATAAGTGATATAATTATTGATATCTTCATTATCATTTAGAACATTATCAGGCATAAAATGGATATAGGCAAATTTGGCTTATTAATTTGATACATCATTTCATTAATAATGGATTCCTTATCTTACTATACTTACTATTATAATTGGAGCCATAATACCAGGAATATTTATAATATATTTAACTAAATATAGAAATTAACTTTAAAAATATGATATCAGAAGATAATGGGGATATTTATATTTAGAATATTAACCTAAAGCCTATTATTGGGAAATAATTAGGATTATCAGTAGAGAATTGATAATAATAGCTATTACATTTTATTAAGATAATATAGTAATTAAATGTATACTATTATTTATTATTTAATTTTCCTATTTTTTTACAAATTAAATGGTTTTACCTTTTAAAACAAAACCATTAAATTAATTAGAATAAAAGAGTACTTTGTTATGCACTTTTACATTATTTGCAGTACTTTCATTATCATAAACAAGTAATTTTTATACTATTGTAATATTATCTATAATAATAACAAATATCTATTTATTAATGACTTTTATAAAGAGTTTAATAAATGGATATTTATAATCTTAAGAAGATTTAATAGATAAAATAAAAGATTATATTAAATAGAGACTGAAATAAAAATTAAAGTGTCATAAATATTTGGATAATTTATTTATAAATAAAGGTTAGAGAAGAAAGATAGTGATTGAGAGATATAAATAAATAAAGAAATATTTATTTTAAGTAAAATTAAAACTCAATAGAATAGAAAGATAGAAATGTAATTAAAATAATATTAATTTTAGTTTCATAAATTTCAACATATCGTTCTTCAAGTGGTTTAATAAGTCCAAGAGATTTCAATATAGTATTTTTAAGACCATAATAAATTTTATCTACTAATAGTGAAAATAATCCTATTAATGATCCATAATCTAATTTGATTAAGAAAATTAAATTTAAAGAATGAAAATTAATTTTATATATCTTAAGGTATTTATAATGTGATGTTATACAATAAATAAAATTATAATCATCTTATTTAATACAAAAACTAGTATTTTAAATATATATATATTTATACAAATCAAAATATATTAAATATAAAATATTTTGAAAAGTTGTTAAATTGTGTGTCAGAAAGTTTAAAAATACTTATTTAAATTTATACTGATATTCTTAGAATAGAGTATAATAAATCAAATTCTTTAGTTTTAATTAAAAGATTATTAAAGGTTTATAAGGTTATTATTAACAATAATGATGAATTTTAATGATTTTCAAACTGAAAGAATAATCACTTGCAGAGGTGAACTAACAAAACCAGATACTCATAATTTTGCAGAGAATGACTCTCCAGAGAATTCTTTGGTAGAAGGTTTTGATTTAGTTTGGAAGAAACATTCTCTTCAAATTTTTTGTGCTGCTATTAAATTTATAGTGAAGTTAAGAAAAGCTGTAGATCAATATCATCTTAAATAAATTACTCATAGAATATATTAAATAATTGGAGACAAATCATCTGATTATTTATTCTACTAATCAAAAGGACTGGTAAATTAAAAATGGACTTTTAACTAATATATCAAAAGCTTATTAATTTATAATTTTTTAGTGGACATGAACATTAGAGTAATCAAACCAGATAGTAAAGTTAAGCTTTTGGTTGATTGTACAATACTAATTTTAATAGTGATGAATATATTTTATATTCCTATGCAATTATCATTCTCATTATAAGAGAATGCATAAACTGTTGATTTTTTATTTAGTACAATACCAAGTTGGGTATTTTTAATGGAAATAGTGGTGAATTTCAATACAGCATATTATTATAAAGGAATGATTCATGAAGATCGTTCTAAAATATTCTAACATTACATAAAGGGTGATTTTTTCAAAGATGTTTTAGTAGTAATTCCTTTTTTAATATCTCAATATAATATTCCATATTTAAATTTTGTTTTATTGTTGAGAATGACAAGAGTTAATAAAATATTTGAATAAATTGAGGAAGTCACATTAATAAGAGAGAAATTTGCAGCACCAATTGATGTTATGAAATTAATGCTTTTTCTAGTATTTGTGGCTCATATGAGTGGTTGCGCTTGGCATTACATAGGGATTCAAGAATTATTTTACAATAATACTGGATGGTTGATAAAATATGGTTATGGTGAAAAAGATTGGATAACAAGATATGTGGCATCTTTATACTTTGGAACCATTACTTCTTTTACAGTTGGCTTTGGAGACATAGTTCCATAAACATTAATTGAATAAATCTATCTAATTATTATGGTTTTAATTACATCTCTTGTATTTGGATATACAATTTCATCAATTTAAAATATTTTTGGATAATTGAGAGAAAAGACAGATTAACATAGAAATAAGATGGCTAAGATTAATTCTTATATGAAAAAGAACAAAATAAGTCCAATGCTTCAAATGAAGATTAGAAAATATTTTGAATATTTCTTCACTTTAGATGAAAGTCCAGAATTATTAATGGATAATCTTAATGATGATTTGAAATTAGAATTAAGAACTAGTATATTTATACCTATTATGATAAAATGTAAATTATTTTAAAAATTTGATGAAAGTTTATTGAATCAACTTTGTACTATTGTTTAGACCTAGAAATTCATTCCTGGACAAATGATATTTTAAGAAAATGATTAAATGAATAAAGCATACTTCATTATTTAGGGAGAAGTAGATATATAAATTAATAAAGTCTCAATTAAATAACAATCAGAAGGATCTTTGGGAATTCGAGAGTTTTTTCTTTAAAAACGTATACATTATGCCACTAGAGCAACTTAATTTACAGAGATTGCATATATTCGTTATGATGTATTAAATTATTAATTTATATTTAGGATTTCTATCGTATCATACGTGAAAAATAATCAAATCAAGAATAGTATTGTTAAATGAAAGATGATTTACTCTATTCAACTGTTTAAACTTAATGTGAAATATGTTCTCATTCTCATCATTTTAATAGATGTCCAGTAGTATTTTATAGTCCATCAACATCTAAAATTGCTTGTGATTATAGTGATTCTATTATATAACCTCGTTATTAAAATAAAAGAAAATAAAAGAAAAAAAGAAGAACCTTTGAAAATTTATAACATATTATAACTTCAGCAATTGATTATATGTGTGATAATGAAACATTGAGTGAAGGAATGAATGAATCTATTTTGAAAAGATATGGATATATAGATTATTAAACTAAATAATAAACTTTAGAAGATGATAAATTAAAATCACTTAAAGTTATTCAAAAATTATAATTAAATAGTAATAATAATGGAGATACTCCAAGAATGAAACGATTTGTTTATAAGAGTCTTATTAAAAAAGAAGAAAAATCTCAATCTAAATATTAAGAATCATAATTAGAAAGTCTTCATTAAGAATTTATTCAATTTAAAAAAGAGGATTTAAATCAATTTGATTAACATGTTGAATTCTCTCATTTTCATAAAGATAAAAATATTAGTAAAGTTCTCACTAATTTCTAAAAATAATAACATAATAAACCTAGAGAACAATTTTATAGTAAAACTAGATTAGGAAAGACCAAAATGACTCATGCAATAAATATAATTTAAAATACACATCCTAATTAAATGAATAATTCACATTTTAAAACCATATTTAATAATAAATGAATATTGAACATATTTTATTAACGGGTGCATCTACTGATAGACGTAAAAAGCATTTCTCTTTAATAAAACCATTCCATCCTTCTAATTCAAGAGATTCACCTGAACCTTCTTTAATTATGGGTTTCACATAACCTTGGAAGGAGAACTCATTATAGATATTTGTTCACATTACCAAATTTATAATCAAATTGAAATAGGCTGCTGAATAATATAGATTTAAATTAATTACTCAACGTATACACAATATTATAGGTGACAATGCTTCAGATTTTATGTATTACTAAAAAAAAGGATTAGTTAAAGTACCATATACATTTCTTAATTTTATAACTTCTATGATAGTCAATAAAATGCCATCATTAGAATTCAGCGTAATCAAACCAGATAGTAAATTTAAATTAATTATGGATTTGATCATCCTTGTTCTTATTATCATTAATATATTCTACATCCCTATGCAATTATCATTTTAATTAAATGAGGATAATACTGTCATAGACTTTCTATTTAGTACATTACCTAGTTGGGTATTTATTAATTAATATTAAGGATTTTCTTATTAGAAATAATTCTTAAATTTAATACAGCCTATTATTCAAAAGGCATGATTCATGATAGCAGATAGAAAATATTCAAACATTATGTTTAAGGAGATTTTGTTTACGATTTAATAGTAGTCATACCCTTTTTAATATCATAATATAAGATACCATATATCAATTTTATTTTTTTATTAAGAATTACAAGAGTGAAGAAAATCTTCGAATAAATTGAAGAAATATCATTAATAAGAGAGAAATTTGCAGCTCCAATAGATATATGTAAACTTTTGTATTTCTTAATTTTGGTTTCCCATATGCTTGGTTGTGCTTGGCATTTTGTAGGTTAAATAGAATTTTAGTAAAATTCAGAAAATTGCTGGTTAACAAGATATGGTTATGCTGAAAAAGATTGGGTTATAAGATATATTGCTTCATTGTATTTTGGAACTATCACAGCATTCACAATAGGATATGGAGATATTGTTCCATAAAATTAATTTGAATAAATGTTTGTTATCTTAACTGTTTTAATTACATCATTAATATTTGGATATACAATATCAGCAATTTAATAAATATTTGGATAATTGAGAGAAAAGACTGATTAACATCGTAATAATATGGCAATTGTAAATTCATATTTAAAAAAGAATAAAATTAATCCAATTCTTTAAATGAAAATTAGAAAATATTTTGAATATTTCTTTACTCTTGATGAAACTTAAGATGTTTTAATGGATCATCTAAATGAAGATCTAAAATTAGAATTAAAAGCCAGTATCTATATTCCAAAATTGAAATAGTGTCAATTAATTAATAGATTCAATGATTCTCTCTTGATCTAATTAAGTAGAGTAGTTAAAACATAAAAATATATCCCTGGATAAATTATATTTTAATAAGGAGATTTCGTACCTAATGCAATGTTTCTACTTAGAGGTGAGATTGAATCACTTATTAATAAAGTGTCTATTAGAAAATAAAAACAAGGTTCTTTTGGAATTAGAGAATTCTTTTTAAGTAATACTGTACATTATACAACAAAAGCAACTAAATTTTCTGAAATTGCTTATATAACACATGAAGATTTTATTGAAGTAGTAAAAAGGTAATCTAGTAATTATGAATAATATTGTTTATTAAGAGATGATTTATAATTTGATCTCTGTCCTATTTAATGTCAAGTGTGTTTGAGAAGTCATAACTTAATGGATTGTCCTGTTGTATTTTACAGTCCAAGTAGAGGTAAAATTGCATTAGATAAGGGATCAAACATAAATCAAGTTAGACATCATTTACATGTTAGGAGAAAAAAGAAATCAAAAAATAGTTATTCTAATATGGTATAAAAAATTGAATGTGCTCTTGATTTACAATTAGAGAATGGATTACTGTAATAAGATCAAATTAATTCTAATTATATTTCAGAACTTGGTCTACATACTGTAAATGATGATATTTCTATGGATTCTTTAACAAAAAAGAAATAAAAAAATATAGCAGATTAATTTAGAATTTCAAAAATGAAATAATTAGTAAATTAAGGTCGTCTTTTAAAATTAGAAAGAATACCTTAAGTTATAAGTGACTTGTATTCAGAATTTTTGAAAATTAAGAAAGAAAGTTTGGATAATTTTGATAAAAATGCAAATTTATAATATTATCATATAGATGAAAATGTCTTAAATATTTTGAAGAACTTTACAAATCGAGAATATAGAGTTGTTAATAGAAGGATTAGTAGGATGAAAACCTTTTATAGAAGAGGATAAAAAAATAAAATATCAATATTGTGATTATATAAAATATTATAATTTCAAAGTATCTCATTTTTTGGTTATTATATTATCTACACTCATAAAGCAATTATATTTACTTTCTACTTAATCTATACTAATTTCTAATGTTAAAATTTAAAAATTGATACAATTTATGTATTATTTATTTTTATTTAAATAATAAAGATAGAGATCATAAATGAAATAGAATTTTATTATTATTATCCATTTACAATAGATTTAACTATCTAAAATAATTTTGAATTTATATTAATCAAAAGTCTTATTGAAAATAGTAATTTATTTTTCTTATTTAGTCTATTACATTTTTGTATTAAAAATTTGAATGCAAAAATAACAGCAACAATTAATAATTAATATATTTAAATTCAAAAATGAACAATGAAAACATCTATTCTAGTGATCTATTTTCATCTACAGTGATGTCTAAGTCTTATTATTAAGTCTTACAAGATTCTAATTTGATTGAATCATAAGTGCTTCAACCAGTTTATTAAATGGCTACTTCTCAATACATGACTCCATCAATTTATAAACCTAAAAAAATGGAATTATTTCATTAATTAGATGATGAACATGATTCTGAAGATGAAGGAATTGAAGATTATAAAATTGGAGGTTATCATCCTGTACATGTTGGAGAAGTACTATAAAATAGATATGTTATAATTTAAAAACTAGGTTGGGGTCATTTCTCAACTGTATGGTTATGCAAAGATTTTAAATTTGACACATATGTTGCAATAAAAGTATAGAAATCTGCAGAAAATTATTTGGAGGCTGCTTATGATGAAGTGGAAATATTATAAAAAGTGGCTTAGAATGTTACAAATCAAAAATGGCTTGAAAAACTTAAATAATATAAACCTAATTAAAGATTGAATAGAGATGATAGTCATGTAGTACAATTATTAAATTCCTTTGTTTATAGAGGACCTTATGGATGTCATTTTTGTATGGTTTTTGAAATCTTGGGAGTTAATCTTTTGGAAATAATTAAAAGATTTGAATATAAAGGTGTTCCAATGAAATTATGCAGAAAAATAGCAAAAGAAGTATTGATTGGTTTAGATTTCTTACATGAATAATGTGGAGTTATTCATACAGATTTAAAACCTGAAAATGTATTACTTTAATTGTCTTAAGAAGAAATTAAAGATATTATTGAAAATGGTTAATTAACAAGTAATTAGATATTCAAAGAGCGTTTGGAATTTTATCATTAGCTATTTGATATTAAAATAGAAGAGCCAGTAAAAATAGTAGATAATTTATAATTAATTAAGACTGAATCAATTAAAACTACTGAAAGGATTAATTCTGATCAATAATAATAATAATTAACAAAAAATCAATTAAGAAATTTATAGAGAAGATAAAAGAAAAAATAATAAAAATTATAAAAATAATAGGATATTAAAGAAAATTAACAAATTTCTGAAAATACTGAAGAAATAATATATTAACATTAAAATTAATAAGAGAATCATAAGGATACTAATAATCATTTATTTTAAATTGATAAAAAATCTTTATTTAAATAAATACAAAAGAATGATTTTTCAGTTAAAGTAGCAGATTTAGGTAATGCTTGTTGGACACATCATTAATTTTCTACTTTAATTTAAACTAGATAATATAGATCTCCTGAAGTACTAATTGGAACAAGATATAATGCCACAGCTGATCTATGGAGTTTTGCTTGCATGTTATTTGAACTGTTAACTGGTGACTTTTTGTTTGAACCTAGAAAAGGTGCAAATTTTTCTAAAAATGATGATCATTTAGCTTAAATTCAAGAATTAACAGGCAAATTTCCATTATTATTTTCTTAAAGAGGATTAAAATCTAAGAGATATTTTAATAAAGAAGGTAATCTTTTAAGAATTCCAATTCTAAATTGTTGGTCATTAACAAATGTTTTAATAGAAAAGTATAAGTATATTCCAAAAGAAGCTAAAGAATTAGGTAATAAAATAAATTAAATAATTTAGCTTCTTTTTTAGAACCTATGTTAAATCCTTATCCAGAGAAAAGAGCAACTGCATCTTAATCTTTAAATCATTCTTGGTTGAAGAGTGAAAGTGAAGGAATTAAAATGAATGAATAATAATACAAAGAATACAAAGATAAAAGAGGATTAGTTGAATTTAAAAAGGTAAATTAAAAAATAACCAGTTAGGAAGTAGAAAGTGAAGAAGAATATGCTGATAGAAGTGAATCACCTAGAGTAATACTACCTTTATGCACCAGACGTCAAAATTATATTAAACCAAGATTTGTAGATAGAAAAGAAATAGATAGATCTTTTACTGATCTTGGTTATATAGGATTTGGGAATGGGATCGAAATAGATTTATTAGATTCTACAGGGAATTGGTAATTTGTTAATTGATATATATCATTCCTATATTGTTTTTGGTACCTTACAGGAAGCACTCTTTTTAAATATACCAATTTTAGGTGTTTAAGAATTTAATTTTTAAATGGCATCTTCTAAATTGGCTGATTCTTCATTTACATAATCATCATCTTTGCTTAATTGTTTTTTCTAATAAGAATTTTTCAATGCAAATTTATGAAGGTCCTATGAGTCTTTTCTTTTATTCTAAGGAGAGGCTTGAGAATTACTATTGGAATCTTGTTGAACATTCTTCATATTTTAACAAAATTAACTAAATTTAGATTATTATTGTTATTGTTGCGGTTGTGGCTTTTCTAAACGACTTGATGATCCTAATACTGAACCATTTGACAATGATCCAATTGTATCAATGCGACCATTAAGAATAGGAGATCTACTAATTAATTCCATTGAACCAATTTAACTATCAAAACTACCTTTTTTTTAAAATCTATGTTAATTTTCAATTTCATATTCAATGAGATTTTCATAAATTTCAATTAAATCTTTTTTATTAAATATCTCTTTGAAATAGGGATGCTATAAACATGTTTCAGCATTAGGTCTATCTTTAGGATTTTACTGAAGCATTTTTCTTAGTAAATCTTCTAATTTTTATGAAGACTAAATTTATGGATGTTTAATGTACCTATTATATTTGCTTTAAATTGAAATTAATTTCACAATTTTTATTTGATCTTAATATTACTTTATAATCAGATCCTTAAAAAGGTTGTTTGCCAGTAAGTAATATATAGAATATAACACCAGCACTAAATATATCACATTTATCATCATAAAAAGGATCATCTTCTTTATATATTAAGATTTCAGGTGCAACAAATCCAGGAGTTCCACATCTTTTAAAAATAATTTATTCATTTAGAAAAGTTGCTAATCCAAAATCAGCAATTACAACATCAGTAGATGATTCTTTAGTTTTTAACAATAAGTTTTCTGGTTTTAAATCTCTATGAATACACTTCTTGCTATGTATATGTACAAGTGCCTTAATAAAATTGTACATCAATTATTATAAACATTCACTTGAAAATGGATTAGTTTTAGCTCTTGTTAATAATTCACCTCCTTATAATAAATCTAGAACAAAATAGATTGAATTTTATGTTTCATAAGCCTCATGTAAATGTACAAGATTTTCTTGATTTAATCTACGCATGACCTTGATCTCATTTTCTAAACTTTCCATCCCTTTGAATTATTCAAGCATGAATTCTTTATTAAATGCTTTTATTGCATATTAGATTCCAGAAGATTTCTTAGCTGCTAGGTAAACTTTTGCAAAACTTCCTTTTCCAATTAATTTGGAAACACTAAATTCATCATGAAATGTAGTTTGTAAACATTTTAATTGCAATAATTACTTGAGAATATTAATATCCTATGTAATTATATCAACATATTATCCATTTCTTAACAATCTTAATGCCATTCCATAATCAGTTTTATATGTGCTCATGATAACTACTGTTAACTGAAGCATTCCATGTGGATTTTTATTTTTAAAAAGATACATCTATTCTTATCCTAATTGGATTGAGATTGGTTTAAGCTATTTTCTTTTTCTACTTATTTTATGACATACGGATTCAAAAATAATTGAATCATTCTAGGTTATTTACATTTTTATTTACTTCATATACTGATAGCTAAAACTTAGACCATATATGTTTGATTTTATGTAGAACTTCGAGATTATCAAAGAAGGATGTAAATTCAGTCAGCATATTTTTACTTGAAAATTATTTATATTATTGTTATCAAAATACTTGTCATACCATTTTCGGCAAAATAACAATTTTAAAGAACTTTATTGATATCAGCCAATGTATCACTGTTTAATGGATCCTCTAATTGGGTTAGAGCACAATAAATCCATAAACATTAATTATAATTAAATTTTTAAGTCAAACTAAACCACTTGATGATTTTTGATGCCATTTCATAATCTAATGCATAGAATGTGAAAAGAGTTGGAATAATATCTTTTGATAATTCCTTAAATTAACATTTCATTTTTAAACAAGATATAATTTACTCTTCTTGTTCTAAATTATAATTTAACAACTAATATGAGTTTTATTCTAATTTTCTAAATTATTCAATATTCTAAAATAGAAGGAAAATTTAAACCTTTTTAAAACTGAAGTATTATTCTATGACATCCTCTTGCCACAATGAATTCATAGTCCATTTTCCATTTAGTTAAAAACCCTTAGGCTATATTAAATATTTTGGATCTGTTTGTTTAAATTAAAAATCTTCTCCTTCTTAATAATAAGTGCATTTTGGAGCTTATTTTGCTTCATCTCTAACACTCTACAAATATTGAATAGCTTTTTAATTATCAGAATTTACTGACATCTGATCTATGTCAAAGACTGGGTAATCTGAATTATAGGATTTACTATCATCCTGACTTATAAATTCTTCACTCATTATTATTAATAAATAATTATATTATTTTCAAATATGTCGAGTGAGGATCCAACAACAAAGGAACTTAATAATTTTGTTTAAACATTATTGAAATAAATGTCAGAACGCTTTGATGAAATGTAAGGGACTATAGTATCAAGAATTGATGATATGGGTAATTGTTATAAATGATGAATTAAAAAAGGAAAGAGAATTGATGATATTGAAAAGAGTGTTACAGAATTGATGAATGATTTAGGATTTTCAGATGAAGAAAATGAAAAATAAAAATGAATTAAAATTTAATATTCATTAAATATATTTTTATTTTTATTGAAGTTATTCCCTCTATTTCATCATTATCTAAATTTTTCGTTATTCTTATTAAATCTATTATTAAATCATAGATTTGTATAATAAAGTATGTTATTTAGTTTTCCTTGATTGAAGTTATTATGATTAAACAACTACTCTCAAAGGTTAAGCATAAATTTTAGCAGCATCATGTTTAATTGATTTTTATGGACTTCCTGTTATTTTTCTATTTGGAGGTAATTAAACCTTTTTCGTACCTATATAAATGTTCAACAATAACCTGTTGATTCTTCAAAAATATCACTAGCATATGTCAAAAATTATGTATAATAATCTGTCTCATATTCCTCATCACATGGATATATCTTTTCGAATCCACCAAGATGTTCATCTTCATAAGCATCTCTAATCATTTGATATTACTCAACAATTGCCTTTCTATCCTCCTAAGTCATTCTTATGTTTCTTCCTGTTAAAATACGTTTTTGCATTTCTTGGTGCTTCTCCTATCTTAATAAGAATTTAAACATACATTAATCTATATTTCTCTTCCCTATTTACATTCATCAATACTAATGTGTCTTCAATCAAATTTGCCTTGATGTATTAATCTAAAGGAGAATCAGTAGTAAATGAAGGACTATGATTGATTTCTAATAAAATAGGTCTAAAATTAGTCATTATTATTTACTTAAATGAACTATCTAAAATTATATCAAATCCTAATATTTCAAAACACATATTATTCATAGGATTATTTGGTTGACTAGTAGTATATTAATGTTTAAGAAAAGGTTAAGCAGAACATAGAGTTTTTATTATTATTTATTTAATATCCATCCATAATTAATCTATATCTCTACCTTCTTATTTTAATTTTTCAAAAACACTTGACATACTTCTCTTATGTCCAACATCCATTCTTTAAACATCTTCATTAAATACAAAATTTTCATTATTTTTATTAATAGCATAATTAGTCAAGTGCATACAAAGATCATCAAAATTAGTAGGATGAGGAGGCATGTATTTTTCAGTAGCAAATCTAGCCAATCCTTCAGTATATATGAATATTCTTAAAGGATCACATCCTGCAACAAGAACATATATTCTAAAATCAAATTTCAAACCGTCAATTAAAAAAGGATCACCCAAATACTTTTACACTACATATCTCTCTGTTAGACTAATAAAGTCAAGAGATTTAGTTAAGAAAATACCTTAACTTTAACAAATCAATTCTTACCTCTACCTTAACAAGAAGCTTCAGGTTTCACTATTAAAGTTTCATCTCTTCCCTTCCCTTTCATATATTCCTTTAAATCTTAAGCATCAGAAGGTAACATCCAAGTAAAAGGAAAGAATTTGAATTCTTTAGGAAATCGTCGACGCATCTTAGTTAATTATTTTCCTAAATTATTTTTTCTAGCCAATATGTACATCCCTGGAAAATGATTAACTTTTTAATGCTCTAAAAAATTATTAATTTAAATTGTACATTTCATTTTGCTCAACATTTCTGCATGAACTCCAGAATCAGTCCAATAAACATCCCAATCCCATGATTCTGGTTCAGCAATCAATTTCCATTTGAGTATTTCTTATCCCACATAACGAACCACTTAATATTGAGTGTCATAGACATTCATTATTATTTAAGGGAGAACAACCTTTCTTTATTATTCAGTTTCACTATCTGACATTTAATTATTCGAAATATATATTTATATCAAAAAGTTAAATAATTTTTATACAATCAATTATATATTATTAACAAATTACTCTCATGTATATTAAATCAAATATAAAGTAGAAATAATCTTGAAGGTAAAATTATGAGTTTATATATATTTATATATATTTTTTTATTATTTATAATTTCAAATGACTTTGTAAAACTAACATAATGTACTTTATTTGAATTTTGCTTTTAAAATACCTTTAATTTATATTTTCTCTTTCTAATTCAATTTAAAGATCTTGAAATTATTTTTGGCTTATGTATGACATTTAATAAATTAAAATGTCCACTGGTCATCTTATTTTAAATAATAAAATATGTCTATTTTAGTTGTTTGATCATCATTGTCTGTTCTTAATAATGAATATATTATTTTTTATAATAAAACGATTAATTTTTGAGACATAAATAATAATTATTATGATGTCATCTAAAATAAGATTTAGTTAATTAAACATTATAATAATTTATATTAAAAGTTTTTTGGATGATCAATAAATCAATACAACCTCATAGAAACATGATTTCATCTTAAATTAGTATTGTAAAAAAATAAAAAACAAAGGAAGATAATGAAGTAATTAGTCGTAAAACTTCATTAATAAGTCCAATAAAAGGACAAATAAACTTTAAAAAAAGTAGCAACTATTTTCATGGAAAAAATTCAATAGATTGTTTAGAATTGAATTCTAAGTGTTTAACAATTAATAAATTAAAGAGTCTTAATGTTTTGATAAAAAATAGAAAACTTTTTATCTCAAGCAGAAATAGTAAATAAAATTAATAGTCAGTAAGTCAGGAATCTATTCCTTTATAATTAGGAAAGAAAAAAACAAATGAATTTGGAAATCGAGTCATCCCAAATAAAATCAACAGGATGTCAACAATCTAAATAGAGGAGGAAGTGAAGTAATAATCTCGAAAAACGAATTTGTACAAAGACCCTGAGACTTTCACTGATTGGGTTGAAAAGATCTATGGAAAACAATGGTTTGCTGAATCTTCTAACCAATGAATAATAATTTGATATTAATAATTTGTTTATGATATTCAATATTCTAGAAAATTATATTTTATATTTACGAAATAAAACGAAAATAATCATTTAGGTGTAAGATAATAGCAATCAAGTACATACACTCTTTTTATAATAATTACATATTTATTCTGCCTAAGCAATTAGACTAGAACTTATGGCTTCTTCTTACATAGCATTTTTAAGGAATTAAACAAATAAATTAAATGTACTTTCTCTAATTTTCAATGATTGATGAATGACCTTTAAATCATTTGAGTTATAAATATGTATATCTGTTAATATAAAAGCAATTATTCTATGAAGATGCAAATTCATTTAGTAATTGGCATTCTTAAAATATTCTGTATAATTTTCATTATCTTATAATTTTATTTAAACTTTAGCAATTACAAGATCAACTTTCTTTTTACCAATCCTACTTTCAATAGAATAATATTAAGTTAGATTTTTTCTTAGTTTATACCATATATCTTCATAATCTTATATAATCAAATCATTTAAATTTAGACTTTTAATTAGATGAAAAAAGTTATCACGAAAAGAATCCATCCATTCAATAGAAATATTATATTTGGAATGAATAGTCCATAAATCATTTTTTGTTAGAGTTGGTAAATGTTAATGAGTAAGATATTTCAAAATAAATTAAGAATGTCTTTCAATTGCATATATTGGATAATTTTACATTCGAACATCTCTTTTTAATAATTAAACATATTTCTTCTATTATACTTACAAAAATGAAGATTATTCCCCATAATAATCAAGCAAAGAATCTTAATTAATGATATAGCTTCGATAACCATCCATCCTAGATGTTACTAATTCTATTTATTTTTCTTGTATATTTAATTAACGCATAGATTCAATCAAATGTTATTTAAATAGAGTAAAATGAACATTTGTTAAATGCATACCTTTATGGGATTGTCTCATTTCAATTAAGACCTAATCATTGGTTTGTTCCCAAGCCATTAATTGAGATAAGATTTTACCTAATTTCCTTGCTTATTATTTGATTTCTATTCCTATAAAATATGGTGCTAGTGAATTATCTTGAAAAATCTTTTGGTAACTACTCTATGCTAATGATAATATGGCATCAGGAACATCTTTTGTATTTAATTTTTCAGTTCTCTGATTGTAAATTATAGCAAATGGAGTATCACTATTAATAATACAATAACGATATTGTTCTATCATTGAACTAAATTCAAATACAAAATCTAATTGTCCTTTATTAACTTTTAAGAAACATGTCTAAATAATATGATATTTAATATTACAATCAAATAGTTTTTAAATTAATTGAAATCTTTATTTTTAAGTCCTAAATCTTTATGTTTTTCTTTCAATTATTCTAGATTATAAAATATAGGTTTTCCCATTATGTATTCTAAAAAGGTCTTAAATCTTTATTTATATCTTTCTAAATCATCAATCTCTATTTATATTTTGAGTAAATACTTTATATCATCTAATGTTAAGTTGAATAACTATGAAATTCCTCATTAAGTTAATCTACAATTTCAGCTCCTCCCATTTTATAATAGAACAAACTCATATCATCATCCCTTACACTTCTTCCACTTATATTGTTAACTGAAGTTCGATGTATAGGCAATAATCTTTATTAAGGAATTAGTGACTTTCTAGTCTCAAAAGAATGGTGTCTAGGAGATTAAATGTTGTGGAATTAATTTTAATTCGATTGTACCAAATTAGATTTGTAAATAGGGGATTGGAAATTATTGATAGGGCATTTACCAATATTGACAACAAATCTTTTATTCATTATATCTGGGGAAGGCAATTCTAATTTAGGAAGAGTTGGATTTCGTTTAGGAACTGATTCTTTTCTAGGAGACTTATTATGAGTGAGTAATTGTTGCTATGATTCTGACAAAGAGTTCACATAATCAGCAAATGATTATCTCTCCTTTGGATTCTCATTAGCTTTGCTTATTCCTCTTTATATCAAGTATCCTTTTTTGGGATTTTGACAATTTAGTTATATTGGTTAATACATATATTAAATTATATTTATAAACAATTATTGGAATTTTTAAAAAGAGATTTTTTGTGTCAAAAATAAAAATTATTTGAGTTATCATCTTAAATATCTTCTGATATTTTATAAACAAATAATATCACTAGTAGGTTATTATTTTATATTAGAATGTTTCAAATTTAAGTTTATAAAAAGAAAGAAATCTATTTTTTATTATAATCTTAATTTAAAATTAGAATTGGTTGTTTAAAATCAATAAGGGAAAGAGAGATTCAACTAGAACTATATCTTCTAATATAACCTTTTATCATACTTATTCATTATAAGCATAAAATTGAAATTATATTTATGAGCTATCTATTTATAGTGGTTACAATAATTGCTTTACATATTACAAATACAAAATGTCTTTAAAAATTTGTACAACTTCTTCTAACTATATACTATAATATGATTATCCTTTCTATTTTTGTTAATTTCTTAACTCATGATGTTTAAGTTGATCAATAATTTCAATTCATTATATTATATATCACTTATCCTATTGAATCAGTATTAATAAATTTATATAAGACTGTGACTTTCTATTGATGAGTTACAACAATATTCTACAAATTAATTAAGTTAAGTAAATATTTTCCTATTAAAAATTAGTTAATGAGATAATTCTTAATTAATAATTCTAGTTTAATAAATTCTTGTGGTTATATTTAATAGTTTTGAATTCTAATTCAAAAGCTTACATAATTTTTATAAGGTATATTAATTTTTATATTATATAATCATATTTATTATTATTAAATGTTAATATCTTATCCTTTTCTATTAGTTACTCTTTTAAAATATTATGGTTCAATAACACCTTGTATTCCACTTGATAATACTACTCCATTTTTTGAAACATAAAATTCTATACCTGCCTTCATTGCTCTTTCCATATCCACCTCTATTATTACTTCACAAGTATTTCTCATTCCACTAATTACAGCATCATCTCCTGGTAATCCAACAGCAAAGTGTATATGTTATCTTGCCATTCTATTTAATCCAGTATCTTTAATCAAATCCCATGCTTAAAAGTATGTACCATGTACTATAATAGGAAATTATTTTGGATCAATTATTTTCTCTAATAGTTCTTCCTCATTAATTGGAATAGTATGTCCTTAAACACATCTAATATATAATTATCCATCTATTTCTTTTAGTTCAAATCTTTTTTTGTCATTATTATCCACTACATTTCTGATACTTTATAAATTTGCTTTAAGTTTAACCATAGACGGTTAATTAAGTAAATCTTAAACCAACACAAAACCATCTTATCTAATTGGAATACCCTCCTTCTATGCACCATGTCTCAAAAAATAAGTCAGTGCTTTAGATTACTGAACTAAGGGTGAGTCTTTTTTCTTTTATTACATTAAATTCTTTCTTATAAATATTATTATATTATATTAATAATGAGAGTTTAAGCCTCATCATTTAGTTTACCTGCTCTTTAATTGCAACCTAAAGATTCTTAATTCAGTCTCAGTTATGGTGATAACAATTAATCTAGTTCTTCGATGATCAAATATTAGAGCAGTCCTCAAAGATATTATGATCCAGCACCTATAAAAAAGAAAGTAAGAGGAATGAACATTGCCATATACAATAGTTAGGAGAAACTAAAAACAGCAGAATTTCGTTATGGAAGTGATTTGATTACTTAAACATAACCACTTAACTAAAGTTCTTCAGTTGTTAATACTGTTCGCAGATATAGAAACAAGCTAAAATAATTAATGTACTAATCTCCCAAGGAAGATGGAGGACTATCTCGAGATCCAAGAATTTATTCCTTTAAAGAACCTACTGCCACTATTAGATTAGATCGTCTAACTAATTATAGGGATGATCAATAAATGAAGGACAAAATCACTTAATTAATGAGTAAAGTGAAATTACTATTATCTACACAATAATTTTATTAAGAACCATATCAATAAGAGACTTTTAAAGTTACTATGGTGCATCTTAAAGATGAATATGATTGTCTCTATTAAGACTTTAATGATTACTATGTTCAAAATAAGAAACTTGATAATTAAGTGCTATAATTGTACAACCATATGGAGACAATAAAAACACTTCTTAAACCTAAAAGACCTACAATGACTAGAAAAGAATCTCTCATTATATTTGATCAAGTTTAATAGGAATCCTCAATACCATAAACTTCAGATAAGATTGAAGAACCTCTTTAATTATCCTAGGTTATAGAGATCCCTCCTTCATAAGATCAATAAACACCTATAGTTTCTCAAGAGGAACCTCATGAATAGAGTGCTTTTACTCCTCTTACATCAATATAACTTAATGAAGATTAAACACCTAGTGATATTGATAAGGAAGAAATCAAAAATAATTTTCCAATTAGTCCTAAAAAGAAATAGATTAAATAAAAAAAAAGTCCTTTAAAATCTTAAAAATCAATCATTTTATAACCATCTGTTTAAGATCTCTCTTAATTAGAATTCAATCCTTTATCTTCCTAATAACAATAATTGAGTTCAAGATCTAAAATTCTTTTTGAAGATATCCCTTTAAAATCTGTCCGTAGTACTAAGAGTGAATAAATAAAAGAATTGGATAAATAGGATGAAACTCCATAATCTGAAAAAGTTCCATTTAAAAGATAAAGCAGTAATGTAGGGTCTTTAAATAAAAGAAGAAACACAGTTCTCGAAAATAAATTGGGAAGAAGATAATAAAAGGGTGCAATTAGTATATCTGAATAGGATGACAGTTAATCTGATGAAGGTGTAAATGAAAATCAATAAAAAGAAGAAGTGATTGAAATATAAGAAGAATTACAAGAGGAATATAAAACTATTAATTATAAATATAACGATCTTTTAGATAAATTAATCGAATCTGAAAATATCTTTAGATATCCCTTTTATTAGACATGGGAATTCCATATAGATTAAATAATTCAAGGAGTAATTTTTGGTGAATTTGATTTGTGATTATAATATGTATTATTCATTTTCTAACTTTTTTAGTTATCTTTTTCTCATACTCTTAATCATCATCATTATTTTAATGTTTCTTTTTTTTTGATTTTTTTTTAATTTCACCAAATTTTACTTCATATTCTTTTTTTTTTACTTCATATTCTTTTTGTAACTCTTCTGTTCTTTTTTAATATTCTTCCTTCTTTTTTTAATCTAATTCTGACCACATTCTTCTATAAAATTTATATGTATCTCATTACGCTGCAATTTATGTAATTTCTGATATTCTTGATCCAGGATTATTTTTCATAATTTGTTATCTCTCATCTCCTAAAAACAAGAAATAAGCAGTCAATGGCTTTTTTGGTGGTGCTTCCTTATGTTTATCAAAATGAGTTTACTTAAAATATATGTTTTTGAAGTGACATTTTTTAGGTTCAATCAATTTGGTTGAATTTTAATTAAAGTGAAGATGTATTTTTATAACTTGATTTCTAATACAAAATATTTATTCAAATTTAATTTATTATATATAGGGAATGTAATAAATTGAATGAAAAATTAAGCAAACCTTTTCTCATTTTATCTAAAAATTTTATCTGAAATTAAATATAATTATATGTTGATTTTAGAGTTTGAATTATAAATCTTATATTTGATTACGTTTTTAACTATATCATGAGATAAATCTTCTGGATCTATTGAAATTATTTAGAATTTTATCTATCTTTGAATTTGAACTAAGTTTTTATATCTATTAAGTTGTCTTATTGTGTTCATATTGAAGTTCTCGAAGAATTTCTTTTTATTCTTCAATTTATTATTATAATTGTAATTTGTGTTTATAGAGATTTTCAATGGTATTTTTATTTTAATTCCAATTATTCCTATTTTCACTTGTATTTGATCTTTGAGTACAAGTACTTTTTCTTATTGCAGAATTAGGTTTACTATTACTACAAGAGAGATCCATGGATGGTTATTCTTAGAAATCAAGTCCACTTTCTTATGTCTTCATTCTGGATTCAATATCATCTGAATCATCAAGATAATTAGCTATTTATTCCTCATTAATTAGTATCTCATATTTATTAACGATATATTAAATAAGAGCAGCCAAATATTATGAATATTAATTATCTCCTGAATGTAAATTATCTACTGCAATTTCAATATTTTTAGGATGCATTTTTTAAATGTTGACTCTATAATTTTGAACTAATCTAATTAATTTTTAAGGTTTTTCTAATAATGCCCATATTTTGTATTGATTCCATTTCTAACAACATTATATAATTGATAAATACATTAACATTGATAATCCAAGGTTCACAGCCTTCAAATAATTGTAGCAATTTTCTAAAATTTATCCAAATATCATTTGATTATCTCAATTTATAATTTGTAAGAGCTACTAAAAATGGTACTCTAAATTTATCTATCATTTCTGTCATAATTTAACTATATATAATAATTTATCATTTTATTATTATCTATGTAATTATAAATGAATTAAATTTAAAGTATCAGAATACTTATACATTTAATTTCCATAAATTATTTTTATAAATATAATTGAATATTTTGATTGTTATATCATAGTAGTCTCATTAATTATATTAATATATATATATCTATATCTAAATTCTATTATTTAGAATTAATTAAATTTTGAGTTCTTGTTTTTGTTAATATAAATATTTCCATTATAAAGAGTAGTAATTATTAACATTATATTATTTCATTATTTAAAATCAATGCATTATAATTCATAAAATATTATAAGATTATTAAAATAGTTAGAATAAAAGACAAAGTTTTTCAAGAAATGAATTTAATATCTTTGGAAAAGTTATGATTCTGTATTTCTACATCAATTGGATTTCTTACTGAAGAAATATCTTCTTGATCTCCGAAGTCAAGACTAATTTATTATACTTTTTATTATTAAAATCTATAGTACTTTAATCAGTATTGAATTTTCTATTGAATTCACGACTGAATCCATTACTTAGTTCTTTTTAACTGTTTTTTGCATGACTTATCTTTTTTTCTAAGAAGTCAAGTATTTTCCCAGATCTATATTTTCCTGGACTTGGACTTAAACTGGATTTCTTTATATAATAATTAAAATACTAATTTTAACATTGCTGGACTCATATTCTCATTAATTGAGATATTGACAGAACCCTTATCCTCCAATTCTGGTTAATCTGGTGTTGGATTCTTAATTTCTTCTTTCTTTATTGATTTCTCTTATTACTCTTATTATTGGATTGCAGATAATTACTCCATCATTCTGAATCCATCTGGAGAAGTCTAAACAAATGATTTCTCATTTATTTCTACATAAATTCGCCATCCAAAATACATCAACAATAAAAGAAGAATTGAATTTACTATTAAAACTGCCATTATAGCAGCTTAATAAATTGTATAGTAATTCATAGAATTCTCAATTTTAACAGCAGTATATGATTCAAATCCAATCGAACATATTATCTTAAACAGAGATATTATTATTCCTCTTTTGACTAATCTTATAATTATATTTTTGCTTTTACTTGATTTATTCTTAATCCAAACACATTTACAATAAATTATAATGATTAGCATTAGTCTAACAATGGTGGCAAAACTAACATATTAAGAATTGCTTGCAACTACTACAATCATATTCTATAATCAAAAGTCCTTATATTTCTATTTTAGTACTTCGAAAATGCCTCAAATGTCGTAAAAGTAAAACAATTAATAAAAACAATACACTCAGTAATCCAATATACTAATTAGTATGAGATAATACTTCATAAAATCTTATTATAGCCAAATATATGCTCTCAAATATTATTATTATACATTCTCCATTAATAATATATCCAATTATTCTACATATTACTATTTACAATTATCTAAAATCTTTTTGAATAGTTATTTTACTCTTCCAAATTTACTTACTCTTTTTTTTCATTTATATATATAATACTCAAAAATAATTAAAATTAATTATTATGCTTTTATTAATTGCTTTTAAAAACGAAATTATCATCCTTTAAATGAATCAATCTTTCATTAATAGATCATTATTTTTATATTCATTTATTCATATTTATAAAATCACTATCATTTTAGAGGATATAATAGATAAGACTGATTATGAATAACAACAAACCTCTTAAAAATCTACTCTTAATTCAAAATCTTTTATTAATTGATATAAATTCAAATTAAAGAAAATTTAAACTTTTTTTATTGTGGTCTAAGTAAAACAATGTACATTTAATTAAAAAAACAATTAATAAATTTTGATTATAACAATGAAATTCTCATTAGTTATTTGTTTAAAACTATTATAAATTTAAATTTATATATTATTATACAATCTAAGTATATTGATATTAAAGATATGTTCAATAATAAATGTATTTTATTTACTTTATATCTATGATTTAATTTAAGTCAATTCTGATCACTCTCTACTTCAAATTTTTAATATTTTTAAATAATTGAATTTAGAAATGAAGTTCAATTCAAATATTAATTTATTAACTATTTATTGTAAAATAATAATAATGTTGTTAACAATAAATTTGATTCAAGATGGTTAATTTAATATTATGAAGTAAAAAGCAGAATGAAATATAAATTCAAGCATCATCTAACCATTTGATTCTTTTTCCATCTTCCCAAATTCCATCCTTGATTGTTCCATCATTAAGGTAATATTTTGCATTACCATGTTATTTACCATTCTTCCATCCTCCTTCATATCTTCTGCCATCAGCCCAGTAATATATACCAAACCCATGCTTCTTATCGTTAAGATAGGCTCCTTCATACTTTCTACCATCTTGCCATTAATAGACTCCTTTTCCATTCATATTATTATCCAACCATTCACCTGTATATCCTCTACCATCTGCCCATTTATAGGTACCAAATCCATTAATTTTATTGTCTTTCCATTCTCCATCATAATAAGATCCATCAGCCCAATCATACCTTCCTTTTCCATGCTTCTTTCCATCAATATAATCTCCACAATATTTTGATTTATCCTACCCTAACATAAATAACTTCAATTTTACAGGTCTCTATTCCTTTTCCATGTTACAAATCATCCTTCCATTCACCTTCATACGTAGCTCCATTCGAATGTTTATACACTCCCCAACCATTAGCTTTATCATCCTTCCATTCTCCTTCAAAAACATCACCATCAGCATGATAAAACTTACCTTATCCACATGCTTTATTATCAACCCATTATCCCTCATATTTGGCACCATCTGGCCATTTTTATATTCCAAATCCATCTCTTTTTTTGTCTTTCCATTCTCCTTCATAGATCGCTCCTGATTAAAACCTATTTTTTATTGTTGTATACTTATATGGCGGATTTTTAACTCGATTAGGATCTGGTGGAGGTTATGCATTAGCTATTTCTTCTTTAAAATACTATTATTTCATATTGGCACCAGCTTTTTCTTTCTTTTTTTCTTTCTGCTTTTTATGCTTCTTCCAATTTCTTTATATTTTGATTGCAGCATCTCCTTATGATATTTTTTTTTATTTCTTAATACTATGATCTGTCTTCTCAACTTGTTTTTATTCTTATTGATGATCCGATTTCTCAGTTTTCTCTGACTTGTCTTGTTTATCAACCTTTTTCTTTGGTTTCTTTTTGATATTGATTTCCTAAATGGATTCTGAGGAATGGTGCTACCATTAGCATCCATTACATGTTTAACCCATTATTATTAATAAAAATGAGTTATCTAAAATTACAATACAAGTTGAAACACACCAAATATTTGTATATGATTCAATATGTATAAATAAAATTTACTTAGAGATTGAATCTAGTCTTTATGAAATCAAATGAAAGAATAATTATAATCGAATTTGATTTTAATAGATTGATGCAGTAATTTATTAATATTAATTAACATATAGTAAATGATAAATAAAATAATCATATTATCTTTTCATGCTTATACAAAATTCTATTATTATCATCAAATGAACTTTCTCCTATATTTCTAATTATAATAGTAACAAAATTATATTTTTTAATTTAATTTATCATGTTTTCTATATAAAAAGCAAGTTAAATTACTATAATTTGTAATTTCTACAATTGTTTCCAAAATCAATTTCAAATATTTATATTACATATAATATAATATAATTTTTTAATCTTATTTATATAGTTAGCATTCAGACATCATTATAGCAGATATTAATGGTAATAATTGTATATAATTAGAGTTTTCATCTAAAGATATAATAGCTTCTTAAATGGATATTTTATAAAAAGGATATTATACAACTATTATGTTAATTTGATTATAATATCTGAATAACTTTAGTATTTAAAATTATAATACATTTATAAATATATAGTTATTTCATTTTTTATATGAGTTTTTACTAGATTAATTACTAGATAATTTAAATGGTTGACAATTTGTTCTTTCTTGATGTTTATTGTAATCATATTATTCATGTTTTTTGAAAAGTTTTTATTCAACTAATTATTATTAATCTTTCTTCTTATTAGTCATATCTACTTTATGCATAAAAGATTCTAAACCATAAACTTCAATTTATTTGTTGTTATCTATAGTTTTTTTATTTATTTATGGTTTAAATGTACACTACTTCAATTATTCATCTTCTTACTACCTTAGTATAGTAAAATTATTACTTTTTTAATTAAGATCTTCTTTATTCTCTATCAGTTTAATATTATTTAATCTTTTCATGACAATCATCAAAACTATATTAAGAATGCATTTATGAATATTTCATTGATGTTGATACACTTGGATAGAAAGAACATTCTTTATCAGAGTCATCATATTTCTATAAAATAATTCAATTAATTAACTTCTTTTAATAACTATTTTCTATAATCCCCATATTCATTTTTTATCAAATCTTATAGAGTTCTATCTACAGCCATTTCCATTGACTTAGGATTTAATTCTGGATTAAAATTTAATCTATTTATTTCTTCTTATTTTCTTTCTTCAATATATGATTGTCTAGTCTAGTATTCACTATAGAGTCTATCAAATAATGAATCTTAAGAGATCTTTCTATTTGCTATCTATTCACTTTATTTATTTAATTTTGGTCTGAATGTATAATCTTTATATGCCTTGCTTTCTAAATCCAAAGTCTTTTCAAGTTATTTCCTATTAAATTCTTCTTATCTCTAATTAAAATCTCCTTTGACTATTTAATTATTGATTTATTAATTAGTTTATGGTTGGAAATCATAAGGAAGATCATCCTAATAAATAATATTTTATTTTCTTATGCCATCTTATATTAATCTATCAACTACATTTAAATTATCTATTTTATTTTTTTCAGCTAACATTTAAGATTATAAATTAATTCGAGGTTTGAATAAATCTTCTTCTTCTCTAAGTTATTTTGCTTTTAAATAATCAATTAATGCCTTTTTATCTTACATTACTTATTAATATCTTTCATATAAAGGAGGTTGATCACTATAAGGTCTAGGTGCTTTATTTAATGGTTATTCCTCTTCTTATTAATTAATCATCAATTTTAATTCATCAATATGAGCCTACCTTTCTTATTCTAATAATTAAAGTCTTTCATAGATAGGAATCCCTTCAAATTTAGAATATTTAATTTATGCAAGCAAATTAGTTTGTTCACTTAATTCTGGTCTAAATGATAATTCAGACAACTAAAATAATTTAGATCTATACTATTTTTTTCTCTTATTCTAATTTTTAATGTTCCCTTTCTTCTTATACAATTGTTTTTGGTTCTGCTAATTTATCAAAATAAGTCGGTTTCTTTGTCTCTTTGTTTTTGAATAGATTTTATTTCATCACTTATAATTTATCCTATTAGATTTTTAGTATATCAGGTGTTTGTCTACTAAATTAACTATTTTTGCTCTCATTTGTAATTTATGATTAAGTCTCTGAATATTCTTCTTTACCAATACTAGGTGTTTCAATCAAAGATCTATCAATGTAGATAGTTTCAACATTTCCATCCTCTATCATTTTCTTCCTTTACTCTCTCTCTTATTTCAATCTAGACATAATTTCTTATCTCCTATTCTCGTTAATCATATTTAATTTAAATTATATTAAAAAACAAATAGTTTATTATAAACACACTAGTAATTTAAGTTCCTTTATTAAAAGATTAACATTTGATCCAATTACAATTCATTAAAGTAACTTGTATTATAATAATGGAGAATCAAAAAAGAGATATTTGAAAAAGATAATATAAATGAGTATATATTGAATAAAATAAGAATAACTAATACTATTTTTATCTATTAATTAAAAATCAAACTAAGATAGAAAATAAAAAATAGTTTTTATATTAAATATTAAGATATCCTTAACAATTGTTAGAGATTCAGTTATTTAATTACTGTTAAATTAAATATTTCTATTTATTTTTTGATGAAATCATTAAGAGAATATTAATTATCATTAGATTTAATTATATAGATAATTCTATATTTATATTATCCTAAGTCCTTATTATAAATTCAATATTGATATTCTTATTAATTTAATTTAATTTAAATAGTAAAAAACAAAATAATCATCTAAATCTAGTCATTGGCTATTTTTAAGTTCTTATGACAACAGATCTTCCTCTAATTACACCTCTTGATGGTTTAGATTATGATTATCTTTTTTATTCTTCTTCTAAAGTACTTTCTCTAAATACAACCAAGCCTAACAATTTTTCATGTTATTTAAGTTATCTTATAAATCCTTCATTTGGACAAATGACACTTCGTTTAGCTTTTACATGCTAAAATGATTTTACATAACTCCATTTAAATGATCTCATTATAAAATATATTACTATAGCTGCTGAACGAGATACTCCAGCAGCACAATGTACTAAAATTGGTCCTCTCTTTAATTATATTGACATAAATTCATAACATTCATCAAAATGTTATGATAAATCATAAGATGGATCATCAATGGCATCAATAACTTTATGTACAATTCCTTATGCTGGTTCAATATTCAAATCTTTAGCAACAGTCAATACTGCAACTAGTTGATGTTTCTATTACCATTTTTTATCTAAAGCTGCATAAAAGTCTCCCAAATATAATGTTCCATTTATTAAAGTATTTTCAAGTATTACATTAGCACATACAACTTTATATTTTTCCATAAAATCAACAAAAGTTCTCATTTATTTATATTATAATAATAATAATAATAATAATAAATAAAAATGAGCAAATAAATTCAAAAAAAATAATTACACATCCTATCTAAATCCAAATTAGCCAGAGTAAAAGATGGAAATGAAGAAGAGAGTATCTTTAAATCTTTTATATAATTGCATATTGAATAAAGAGAGAATTATCACAGAGACATTTGTGAATAATAATTAAAGTAAAGAAAAGAGTTTGAAAGATTATGTCAATCCATTAAAAAAAATGATGTGTCTACACGATTAAATAAATAACGATAATCTTAGTCTGTTTAATAAAGTCCATAAATAAAGGTTTCGTTCTAAACACCTTTGTTAAACAAAGTTCATCGAAAGTTTTAAAAAACCCCATTTCCTAAATAATGAATAATAATTATAGTTGTGTATCATATCATATTATCATAAATCTATCTTAATTCAATTTAGATTAGGTTCTATTGTATTATATGATTAAATTCTATCAATCTAAATCAATTTTTATTCTTGAAAAATAAGAATCTATTCAAATGATTCTTAGATTACTCAGTTAACAATATCTTCAATAATTGTAGTTATTTATGCATAATTTACTTATTTTATCCTTTTAAAAAAAACCTTCTTACTAATGTTTGTATTTTTAATTATATTATTTTTTATTCATATATTATTCAAATTATTTATTTTTACCCTCTTATATCACATGTAAACACTCTTAAATATTATAGATAATCTATAACACTAGCTAACAAAAAGGGATCTTTTACCTATTAATTATAATCAAATAATACTCCATCTAATTACATGTTGGTGTCAGGAAACATTTTTTCAGGATTCTCTAAGAATTCCCAAAGCTTTTTTCTAGTCCAATAGAATTTATATGATGTCAAATCTTTACCATAATTTGAAAACTTTTTAGATCCATTTCTTCTTAAATAAACTGTTCTTAATGATGGTCCTAAATATAAATCTTAATCTCTTTATTATTTATAGAATCAATACAAATCATGACAACCAGCACAATTGTGATTAAAAAAAATACGACCTTTTGTTAAGTCCCCATTAGGAATATCTATTTCAATATCATTCTCGTTTTTCACTTGACCTTTCCTTCTAAATTTTTAATTAGACTAACCACGCAATTCATATCCAACATCTCCATCATACAACTTTCTTGATCTCATTTTATTAAAAATGAGAAATTATTATTTCTCAAAAATTGTTAATCTGATTTTTATTATTATATAATATTAATATAATCAATATAATTTAACTATATTTTCATAATATATTGATAATATTATATGAATATCAATATATGTATATGTATTCTATTATTCTATAATGTTTTTAATTCAAAATATAAATACATATCAAACAATACTTTATTACCTATTCAACTAAATTACTATTTTATTTATTATAAATAAAGAATGCATTTTTGGATTTAAATATTTCTATATTAATAATTCTCATATATTTAATATAAATAAAACAATTTTAATAATAATTTGTTTAACTCCCTTATCTTTAAATTACATATATATTTATTATTTAATGAAAAGTTAAAAGGAAATAACTAAAAAATAACAATTATATCTTATTAAAAATGATATCATATTCTATTATTTGAATATAAATTAACAATATAACTATTCTATTAAAATAATATTCATAAATTTTATATAGAATTGATAATTATGATTAAAATTATAATTAATGAAATAAGAAAATAGTTTAGAGAAGGATGCTGATAAGAAATTTAAGAAAGGCAAAGAGGCGTATAATTTATAACATTAATCATTTTTTAGTTTAACAACTGGTGTATTTTAGTGGAAAAAGGATTATAATTTGGGTGCTATGCAATTTGAAGAAGCTGCTAAATTGTATAAGGAATGCAAGAATTTTAAAAAAGAAAAAGAAGCATTGAAATTAGCTATTGAATGTAATGAGAAATTAAATGATACTTGGGCAACTGGTAGAAATTATGAAGCCCTTCTTAATTCTCTTATTGATAATTCAAGTGATGATTACAAAGAACTTGTAGAATGGACATAAAAGGCAGTAATGTATTTCAAGGTTTCAGATTCAGGAATGAAATCACTCTAAGTGTTTAATAAAGTGGCAAAGTAAAATTGATTGCTTTTCTTCAGGTATTTAAATAAAAGACAACAATATGAGATTGCAGAGAAAGTAATTTTGGAAGCTTTGGTTGAAGCAGAAGAATAATAGGCTCCATCTACAAGAACTGATATAATTAGTTCGTATGTTGAGATTTTGATAGAGACTCAATAATATCATAAAGTGGCTGATTTATATATGAAAGAAATAACATTATTCAGAGAAGAACATATGAAATATCCATTAAGTCAATATGCTTTAATTATTATTGTTATGTACATTTTATAAGATGAGATTATCAGAGCCAATCAAGAATTAGAGCAATTAATTATTTAGTATGATAAGAGTATTAATAATATATTAGAGTGTACAATTTCCATAAATCATCAGAGTTTAGAGCAGTTGATTAAATGTTAAATTCCTATGAGAAAGGAGATTAGAATTAATTTAATGATGCAATAATGAAATCCTGTGTTACATCTATCTATCCTCCAAATGTAAATATATTATTTATTAAATTAGATTGTAAGAGCTTTAAGGAAGGTTAAAGTCAGAGTGATAAACATTCATTAAAAACAAAATATAAATCAATAAGAAATTAATTAAGGAAATAAAGAAGTAGATTATGAATAAGAATTAGCAAAAAAGATTCTTTGAATATTATTTTTAAATCAAAATATACAATATAATTCACTTACAAAAACAACTTGAATAAAATAATAGGACATTCATAAAATATTATATTTAATGTAATTAGTAAGATTGACGACTAATGCACATACACCAAGAAATGTGCCTTTGAGATCTCCAGAAAAAACTTAATCAATTACTATTCAACTACCAAATTATATATTTTTGGGTCCTAAAGATAACATTAAAATAGTAAAATTTACAAAGAACATTTCATCTACCAACATTAAATAAATTAGATCAAATTCTCCATGCAAGGATTAAAATATGAATTTAATAAATAATGTAGGTTAGATTAAGAAGATGCATCGAAAAACTACTAGTATATAAATAACAACATAAAATCCTGATCTTTTTATTAAATTGCAATCTCAAGATAGTAGTACTACACATAAATCTAGTAACATAATAGCTTTGTAGACATTGTCAACTAAACATAAACATCATCGATCTGAATTGACATAAGATACAAATAATGAGTAACTTAGCACTCCTAATTTAACAGTTCCAACATTAAAATATGTTGAATAATCTAGTAATATGTCATAAGGACATTTGTTTAATAAATCCAATAAATTAAGAGGCTAGATTACATTTTAGAATAGTTTTTACTATGAAGGAGAGATTGTAAAACTTTCAGATGCACTCATTATAGAAGGTTAAGGTAATTTATTTACTGACAACTCTAAATTTTATATTGTGTATGAGGGCAGATGGAAAAACAATAGTTTTCATGGAAAAGGGAAATACTACAACTAATATTAAATAGAATCTTCGAATGATTGGCATTTCAATTGGAAGATGGTTGAAGGTATAATTGTATTTTAAACTTAAGCAATATTCAACAAGGGTGAGATTATTGAAGGTAAAATTGATTTCTATTAAACTGAGGATACTATTGCTTATAAAATGGAGAATCCTAAAATGAAAATTACATGATTTCTTTACTGAATTAAATTTTCATTAATGGTTTATTTACTATTGATTTAATTAAAAAAATTCCTCTCAATTTAATTATTAATTTATATTGTTTTATATTCCATTGATATTAATTATACTATATTCTTAAAAATAATAATTAATTAAAATAAATCTTATAGTATTTTATCAATTATAAATTATAATTGATTAATAATTCTTATAATATATGTTTTATATTTATATAATATTGATATATTTGTTAAATAATTTATTAAGTTTGATTGAATATAAATTTTCTGATTTAAATCAGTTGACAAACTTAGCACTTGGAGGTTTGTTTTATTAGGAAGCACCTTAAGCACCTTATTCAGCTGGTTTTAGTATTTGGAATGAACACATTAAAGATTCATCAATAGTCATCATTGAACCTATAAGATAAATATCTGTATTACCGGCATTATCAAATTCACCACAATAATTAGGTGCTGAGAAGAGAGTGACCAATTGCCGTTTACTAAAGAATTCATATCCATCTTCAACAACCTAAAAGAATTGTTAATAAAGAGAAATACTTGATGTGCTCTACAAATTAAATCGAGTTCATGCTTTTTAAGAAAGACTTAAACAATTTCTTAACTAAAGACATAGGATACTCCTCTTTCATTATCTGCCCATCCTTATACATCTTTATCTGGATCTGACCAAAGTAGATCACATAAGAGACCAGTGTCAGGAACATCAGTTGGTCTCATAATTCTTCTGATTTATTCTAAATTTGAGAGTTCAGGAGATAGTCCTCCATGCATACAAAGAATCTTTTCATCAATCAATGCAGCAACAGGAAGACAATTAAAACAATCTGTGAAAGTTTTCCATAATTTTATAGTATATCTACGTTTACCTATAAATTAATAGGAATGATTTAATTACATTCATCATAAAACCCATATATACGATTGATAGATGCACATTCATGATTGCCTCTCAAAAGAAAAAAGTTTTCAGGATACTTAATTTTATATGCAAGTAATAAACAAATGGTCTCTAATGATTATTTCCCTCTGTCAACATAATCACCTAAAAATAGATAATTACTTTCTGGAGGATAACCACCATATTCGAATAATCTCAAGAGATCGAAATACTATCCATGAACATCGCCTAAAATAACATTAAATGAAGCAATGCACCACAAATTTTTAGAGGCGCTTCCAATTCTAATAAAATTGGTTAGCTGATGAAGATATCTCTGGCCTTAACACAAAGACCACGAACTTCTGATTCACTCAAATTCACATTTTTGCCTGGTTTACTTCCTCGAACACTAAGTAATCTTTCAATAATGTTATCCACATCTATTTCACCTTATTTATCTTTTGCCATGTATGTTGTTTTCTTAAAATTATTATTAAAATATTTAATTAGTATTGAATTATTACATTAACTTAATTCTTTTGATAAATACAACAAAACTCATAAAACTTAAGGAATAATTTCTAAGAAATTTTAAAGCACTCTTAAAAGTAATGTTAATTATCATATAAAATGGAATCTGCAAATAATTGATGATCAATCCATAATACAATAAAATAAACACTTCTATTTTTAAGGTATATATGTAGATTTCTTAAATATTCTTTAAGATATATAAATAACATTTTTGAATTTATATATATATATATATATATATATAAAGACAATAAAATTCTATATAAATGATTATTATTCAATTTGGACATTTCCTTTCTATAATACTGAATCTACCAGATTCTTGGTATTCATTCTTTGCCACCCAAAGTGACTAAAATGAACTAAGTGATGCCAATATAGATCCTCCAATAAATACTGAATGATATCGATTTTACTAATAAATCAAATAAATTTTATACATTAGATGGATACATTACTAATTTAACTTTACACATTGGTGGTGCCAAAGCAGACAAGGTAGTTTATAATTTATTCTAAAATCCAGGAATATTAGATGATCCACCTGTTGAAATAACAGTGGAACATAATTATTATTTGATATCATTAACAGAATTATTAATTATGTCCAATAACATATGTTATATACCTTTAAAGTTATCATTACTATTGAATAATTTATCTGCAATTTCAGAAAGTTATGCTTATTACATTAATATAAAATTTCCATCAGGTAATTCATATTACTATGTTGAATCAATTTGTTCATAAGTTAATAAACCTTATTTAATATCTCTGGCTAAACATGTTTTTTTGAATTGATTATATTCTCCAACTACATATTATCTAAATGGTTCATTTAGTATTTCTCCACCAATTGGCGCTTAAATTTGAGTTTTTAATAATGTATAACCATCATGAACAGCAGATGCAGTTGTTGAATATGCACCAATATCTAAAATCAATGCAGTGGAACGACCTGCTGAAAATGTAGATAAGGCTGCATTTCTAATAGTGAAGAAATTTGGAATTTCTACACTCTCAAATAATATTTCGACAACTTTTTATAAATCATGTTTAGTCTGGAAATTATTGGCTAACAATAAACTATAATCTTTAGATTGAACTCCAAGTTTCTCAAACATCTTTTTCAATAAATTTTCATATAAATCTGGATTGAATGGTTATAATATGTCCAATACTTAACCATTTCCATACCCTAATGCTTCATCTCCAAATTGCATTGTCTCAGTACATTTTGTAAAAGTACTCCATCTAGGAAAGTCATCTCCTGTAAATCCTGCTCTTGTATATAGATTACCAATGTCTGCAACAACAGATATTATTTCATCGCTATTCATTAAAAATAAAAATAATAATATGCTAAAAGTACACGAATTCTTTTCAGTAGCCACTCAATTAGCCTACAATGCAGCAATAATTATTAATCAAATAAGATTATCTGCTGATATTGGTTAGAAATGGAAAGGAATTGATGATCCAGTCACAATTGCTGATGTTAAAGCCTAAACTTATATTATTTAATAATTGCATAAACATTGGTAATTTTAATCATTTAATATACAAGGCCATAATTAAAGATAGTTGGAGAAGAAACTACTGTATATGATTAACCAATAGATTTACCTGATACTAATTGCAATCTTTATACTGAAGATATCTTTACTACAACACCTAACAATCTTAAGGTTAGAACACAATATGAAATAGAAGATCTTTGTGTATGGGTTGATCCTTTAGATGGAACACTTGATTTTGTTTAAGGTGATTTTGATTGTGTCACCACTTTGATTGGTCTATCATATAAGAAAAAAGCTTTAATGGGAATTATCTCCTAACCATTTGTTAAAATTGCTGATAAATAATATGAGTTTAAACCTAAGATATATTTTGGTCATCATCCATAAAGAAGAGTTTTTTATACATATGATACTTAATCATAGATTCCCTTTGAACTTTTAAAACCATCATATAATCCTTCAAATATTGTATTGTGTACACAAAATAAAAGGATAGATGAAACAAAATTAGAAAAAATAAAATCACTTGGTTGTTCTCTACTTTAAATGGGAGGATCAGGTAAAAAGAGTCTTACAATATTGGAATCTAAGGCAGATTTATATCTATATCTTGGTATTAGGATGAGTAAATGGGATATATGTGCACCTGATGCCTTATTTTAAGCATTTGGAGTATTAAATTATTATTGATTGATTTAGGGTCGTTTTGTAGGATTAGAAGGATAAATTTATGAATACAATTCTGAAGATAAGATATATGATAATCCATATGGTCATTTAGCAAGCATTCATAATGAATTAGTGGATAAATTCCTACCAAAAACCACTGGAATGTTATGAAAGTATTAAATATCAATAATAAATACATATATTTGATTTATAATATAAATAAGGATTTATAAATGATATTAATCTTAGTTATAATCTATAAATTCATTTTGATATTCTTATAAATAAGATTATTTCATATTTAACAATATATTTAGAAGAGAATATAATTTTTTAAATAGAGAAATAAATGAATATAATATAAAAATTAATTTATAACATATTTAATTTCAAATTTTATATTTATATAACAAACATCCATCTATGAGTGATTATTAGATAAAATATTAAGAAATCAAAGGAAGTTTAACTATTCTTATGTAATAAAATAATGCTCTTAAATAATAACTTAAAGAAGCATGTGAAGAATTATAAGAAAAATAAATGTTAAAAGATGAATGGGCAGAAGAAGTGTAGAGAGTATAAGAAACAATAAATTAATTATAAAATGATAATTATAGTAATTATTAAATTATATATTAGATTTATAATAGGATAATGAATAATTGCAAAGAAACTGTACAGAATCTAAATACTTAATTGAATAATAAATTGAATAAATTACTATTTTAAAGGATTAGAATGAAATCTTAGCTAATTAATTAGATTAATGTAGATCATAGAATTTATAAAAGGAATTATATATAAAATAATAGAGAGATGATAACATTAAATAAATTGAATAATTGCAATAATAATAATTTGAAGAAATTAAAAAATTATAGGGTATTATAGATAATCAAAGCGGTCTAATATAATCTTATGAAAAATTGAATGAGATTGAGAAATAAGATACTTAACATATAAAATAACAACACTATATTTAATTTGAAGATTAACTTATTGAATTGAAAAATAGAAATATAATTCTTTAGAGTAAAATAAATGAAGAAAAATAGAGATATGATTTATTATATGAATAACATAAAGATGAAGTTTAAAAATTATAAAGTGTAATTAAAGAATAAAAGGAATTATTGTGTCAATATGAAAGAATTATAGAAAGAGATAAAAGCTAGCATAATACTCCTATTCATCTTTAATATGAAATAACACAACCTTAATAAATGAAACAAATAATATAATCTATTCCATAATAAACCTTATATTCATAGCCTAATCTTAATTAAAATATCTATTAATAAACTCTAGTATCACCTGTACTCTAAGATAAATGTAATCAACCATCACCAACCTATTTACATACATAACAAAGTTATGCTCAACCTATAATGTAAAGACCACCAAAAACATTTTTTACTAATAATAAAATAAATCATCAATTATAATAATAGATATCAAGAGATAAATAAAATTCAAAGGAATATCACTAAAAACGTAGTTTTAATTTTGATGATGATGAGGAAGAAGATAATAAGAATGTAGAGAAAGAGTTTTAAGAAGAATTCTTAAATAAATTTTAGAATGTAATAGGAAGAATGGAGAATAAATTATATTAAATGTAAAATGAACTCAATTTTTCAGGGATTTCAGATAAACCAAAAAAATTAAAATGATTAAATTATAAATTAATATAATTATTAATATCATGATTTCAAACTACCAGAACTTTGATAAAAATCATAAATTAAAGAAATGTTATCAACAAAATATTTAATATATGGTTTGTACAATTCTCCATAAATTTTAACTACCATTTCCCAACCATGTTCTACTAAAATACAAGCTGCTACACTCTCCCATAGATCACTCATTATTTTTGGAATTTATAATGAATATTAATTGATTTTTCTAAAATCATTAAATTGATCTTCTCTTAATAATGTTAATGCTTTTTTTAAATCATTTTAAGTTTCTCTTGAAAGATTTCTTGCATATTAATGAAAATTATGGTACATAGCCATTGTACCCATAAATCCTCTATCAAGTAATGATATTTTAGCTGTATGTAACATTCCTGGACAAAGTAACAATTTCTAAGTTATTTTACCTTCACGACATAATTATTATTATCTTGAATTATAGTATACTTTTTCACATTCTTTATGAACATTCACAATTACTAATAATTCAAGTATTGCATCACCAAAAAATTCTAATCTTTCAAATTAATCAACAGTCATAGCTTCAGCAATATTATTTAATTAACATCCTAAATAATCTTCAAATTCTTTAAAAGGTTAATTAAATTTTAAGATTTCTGTAAATGGTCTTTTTTATATTTATTTTTTTAAAGGATAATCATTATCATTATCTGTATCTTAAGAATCATTTGAGAAATCAATCAAAGAATTACCTTTATAAAATTATTGAACCTTCCCCTTAAATTCAAATTTTGTTAATTTAAAAAAATCCATCAAATCTTTAAATTCATAATTTTTAATATAACAAGCTCCACATAATGCTTCATAAATATCTGCTTATTATTTTTGAGATAATTTTGGATCCTCTTATTCATTAATAATCATCATCATATGATTTAAAAATTTCTTACAATTTATTTTAAAATTCATAGTATTCAATTTAAGTTTTCCATAGATTCCACTTAAATGTTTATTTGTTATTAAACGAACTCTTGCTGAAGATAAACTATTTTCTGTTTTATAAGTATTATCTTCAAATAACATTGCAGATGTTAAATACTTAATTACAACATCACCTAACATTTCTAAATTTTGATAATTTCTTTGTGGATTAAATGAAGGACAAGAAATAGCTTCTTCAATTCTATCTATATTGGCCAATCTATCAATTTAATAAGTAGCATTCTAAGCATTTGCTATAAATAATAATTGACAAATCAAATTTGAAAATGTTCTACTAACTAAATCCATAAATTTAATTGATAGGGGATATTTAAATAATGAACTTTATCCAGAGAAAAAAATCTATTAATTATTAGAAGATAATAGAGTGCATTTATTTCCATCTTCACAATTTTAACAAACTAAACTTATATTAGTATAATATATTACAAATCTTTACAAAATCAGCATTTTGATGAATCTAATTAAAACCCTTTATTTGTTACAATATATAGAATCTATTATCCTAAGTATTGTAACTAAAGTTCTTTCTAATTAATTGAATAAAATAAGCAGAAGGTTGTTAATTTTTGCCTGACAAGAAATCCAATAGTGTACCTTTTATATTATCTAATAGAAAAATCTATTGAATTTCATTAATGTCTGAATAGATATGATTGTCAATTAAATAATAGAAATAATCAATTAATTAAGTAGTTTTATCAAATTAAAATTGAATATTACAAACTCTATAAGGATTTGTAGTGTAAACAAGAATATCATATTTAGGTTATGGTTATATACATTCATTTTTTAATGCTAATTTGCTTTCCAAAAATTCATAGATTTAATCAAAGTTTATACTATAAACTCCAGGAACCACTAAGATATTAATTTATGGTAAAGGATTTGAAGTTATAAATGTCTAAAAGTTTCGAGCATTGGTAGGTTAAGATTATGTTTTATTTGTCAAATATAAATCACCAAATAACAAAATGTTGAAGCTTACAATTGATTTAAATTAATCTATAGATATCATTAATTTCTAAGAAACTCTATATCGAGGACGAATGGTTGAACTAAATACAATGAAACCTTTAATGATAGTAATAAAAATATACTTTATTGACTATATTCAATTGGACTAGGAGATAGAAGGATTAACATTTAATTATCAATCTCAAAGTAATTGAGATAGATTAGTACATTTTAATTATCCTCAAAGGTTGTATAGTGAGATGATATTTAAGGTGGCATTTATCCAAAAAATTAAACAGAAGGTATATCTGCCATATATTTATATATATATATAAATAATTAAATGAAATTTAGAAGATAAATATAATCATCTCAGTTTATTTTTCAAAAAGAATTATTATACTAAATAGATATCTTCTCTACTTAAATTATTATTATGTCCACATGAAACTGAAATCAATTCTCCTAACATATTTTTTTTACTTAAATCTGAATCATTAGTATAACCTGTCATTTCAAGAGAGTAATCATTATTTTATTTTATTTATTAGAATTTATCAATAATATTTCTACTTATATCTCTAATAATTTTAACATGAGTTCTAATCTAAACAATAACAATTTTTTAATTACATTTCCCCAATTTATATAATAATTTGAATGTTCTAAAAATGCTTAACAACCAACTTCGAAATTCCGAAAGCATTTTTCAAATTCACTATCATCTTATTAATCAAATGCAAAACAACTGCCAAAAAATAATGCTATTTTCTCTGGATTAGCTTATCTATGCATTACATCTAATAAACTATTGCCACAATAATGAATTAATGAAAATAGAGAATATATTTATTAAAGTATAGGTTTAGCTGCATCTAATTCATCATCATTATTCTATAATTCAATATATTTTTTATTGTTTTCAGATTCTGATTTATTTTCAGCTTAATTAATTTTAATTGCCAAATTGATAATGTATTATAATGATGTACATAATTATAAAACATGTTTTTTTGGTAATATTTATGTATAAAAGTATTTCAAATATTCTAAAATTATAATATTCTTATACATTTAGATTCTTAATTAAAATATGAATGTTTGAAAGAATATTTGATTGTTGAATCAGCAAAATGACAACGTACTATTGCAGTTTATAACTAAGATTCATAAGGTAATATTTCATCTTTTGGATCTTAAATAATTAATTTAGGTCCTACATAATTGTAATAAGAGAGATAATTAGGTTTATCCCAACTTACAATACAATTATAAATGAATCTAACAATCGAAGAGGAGAACCTATCACTCTTGATTTATTTTATACATTTTTGCTGCTACTTGTCCTAAAGAGGAAAAGCTTCTATCGACAATTAAAAATGAGAGTTTCATTTGATAGGCAACTTCTGATGCTACCATTCCTCCCAAAGATTAACCATGTACACCCAATGTTTTTATGTTATATTTATTCTTAAAATATTCAGCTACAAAACGACCATCCTCAATACAATTTTCTACTGAAATATTACCAGTGCTTTCTCCAAAACCTCTATAGTTCCATAATATGATATTAAATTTTAATTAGGTATAGAATCTAAACCAATCACACTATAATATATATCTATATTTATTACATCAAAGAACATATATTCATAGTATCCAGCATTAGGATTACAAAATAGCACAGTTGATCCATTTTCATTATTCTTAATAAACAAACAATCAATAGTTTCTTTTTAAGATGTCTTTAGATTATGTCTTTCGATATTACTATATTAAATTAAAATTTCAATTCTTCTTTATTATAAAGTACAGAGAAATTCTTGTGATATGAATTTTTGAAAAATATTCTTTTAAGACATTTGATATGAATGATGTTCAAGGAATATTTATAATTATTTGCAATAAGATGTAATTCTTTATTTTTTTTCAGTTGATATTTTATCAGGTAATTCATTCTTAGGAATTTGAATTAATTCTTCATTCAAAAGCTTTAATTAGGCATGATACTTATTTTGCTAATCATTCTTCTATTTCATTTCTGTTAAAGTCCTACATTGAATATTCAAAAAATTCATAGCATTTTCAATGATTTAATAAGTATACTTATTAGTATTCATTGAATTGATGATTATTGTTAAATTCTATAAGGTTCTACATACTAAATAATCACTTAGACTCAACAAAGTAAATTTGTAATAAAGTGATTTTACAGATCCTGGAAATGTAATTAATGTGCATATCAAGTGACCTAAATAGTATAAACAAAATAAAGTAATGCCTATAGAGATCACTACACTCTCACTAATGATATAACATATTAGATAGATCAAAAGAGAAAGAACAGATAAAGTGATCGTGGCTATTACAAGAATGTTCATTAATTATATTTGTGTATGCTACAATAATCAATTTCTAAAAAATAAGTATAGGTTGAACACTTCAAAGACAATATACATAACTACTCCAACATAAGTAACCACTCTATTACATGTAACTTTTATGAAAAAAGGACATACTATTAATATTTGTATACTTAATACTTCTAGCAATGAAAGCAACATTACTTAAAGCCCTTAAATAAAATATTATAAATCTTGCATTTACTATTACCTTATTCAATATATAATACTTTATAAAGGTCTTTCATTCTTATTTTGAATCATTTACTTTTTATTTCATTAGACAACTATTCAAATCAATTTTGAAAAACTATCAAACATCTATTATTTAATTTCACACTAAAACAAGATTTATTTATCAATTTTACTAAAATATTTTATAGTTCCTTATTTTACAATTTTTGAGTATCCAATCAAATATAAATATAGAATTACTTTTCATAAATATATATTTCCCTAGATCTTTATTATTAATTTAAGAAAATTAAAAAAAATCTATACTATATTAAAGAACATCAAAAATATAACTAATAAATGAAGTAGAAAGTAAAAAGTAAAAAACATGATATATATATCATTAGTTTTAACTTTTACTTAATACTATACTTTTCACTTATTAATCTACATATTAAATTACTGCAGAAAATCATAAAAAATAAGATGTGTAAAAATCATAAAAACTATGATAATTGTTCTTTTTTCAATGGCTTGACTAACAAATCATCCATACCAGCACTAATACATGCTGCCTTTGTCTTAGGATCACCATCTTATAATCAAATTATTATTATATATACCTCCACTTAGACCAAGTATCTTGCATCTAGGTAATCCTTTTGATTTTTCATGAGCTCTAATTTATTTTGCAGACTAATAATTTATTTACACTTTTACATCATATCCATCCATAATTGGCATATGAATATCCATTAATACGTGAACAAAATTAGGTGATTTTTGATATGCTTCCAAAGCTTCCTTTCCATTAGACACCACTATACATTCTACTTTCATAGCACCATACAACATCTTTAATAAATTTTGAGCGAAGGGTTCATCATCAGCCACCAACACTTTCTTTCCTTCCATAATATAATAAATTTATTAATCTTATTTTTATATGTCTAACATTCATCCCTAAAAAATTTATTGAGGAATTTCATTCATTTCTGTTAAGACTAAAAATTTAATTAGAATTGCATATCTATATACTCATTTTAATTACTATCTTTTTATACTAATTAATTCTCTAATAAGAAGATTTTATTGTTTACATCAATTAATTATTAAATTGTATTATGATATTACATATATAAAGTAGTTAATAAATTTACAATAAACTAAATACAGAATCAATATATAAGAGCAAAATTCATTAAAATTTAAATACTAATTAAACTATTCATTTATTATTAATTTAAAATATTTGTATAAAATTAATTTAGTTTCTCTATTTTATCAACAGGATTCTAATAATATTTTAAAAAATTCTTTATTTTATTAATGTAAAAATAAATCTAACTTATATATAATTTATGCTCTTTTATTATTAGGTTGATTAATTTTTGTTTTTTTTGTCCATAATTAATAATTATAAATGGAAAGAGCTGCAAATCTAATATTAACAGCAGGTTCCTTACTTGTTGGTGGTGGAATACTATTTAAGTCATTCTTTTATACAGTAGATGGTGGCTAAAGAGGATTAATATTTGATCGTTTCTAAGGAGTTAAGGAAACAGTCTATGGTGAAGGAATGCATTTTTTCATTCCTGTTATTTAAGTATAGATGTTATAATATATTAGTCTCCAATTGTTGCGGAGGTTAGATTATAGCCTAAAACAGTAGCATCTCATACTGGTACAAAAGACTTGTAAACTGTAGATATTGCAATTAGAATGCTACATAAACCTATTGAATCATATTTACCTGAAATTTATAAGTAAAGTTTCTATTTAATAAATAAGAACTATTGGTTTGAATTATGAAGAAAAGATTCTTCCATCTATTGCAAATGAAGTCTTAAAAGCAGTTGTTGCTTAATATGATGCAGATCAATTAATAAAAATGAGAGAGAAGATTTCATAAGAAATTAAGGAAGGTTTGATTGAAAGAGCCAAGGAATTTAAGATAGTTTTAGATGATGTTTCTATTACTCATTTAGGATTTATGAAAGAATATGCTTAAGCTATTGAAGCAAAATAAGTTGCATAATAATTGGCTGAAAGATAGAAATTCATAGTGTTAAGAGATGAAGAAGAAAAGAATGCAAAAGTTATATTATCTGAAGGAGAATCTGAAGCAGCTAGATTGATTAATGATGCAGTTAAATAATATGGAACAGGTAGAAATGTTTATTAGATCAATAGCTTAAATTGAGATTAAGAAATTAGAGACAGCTAAACATATTGCAGAATAATTAGCCAAGAGTCCAAATATAACATGGATACCAACTGGAAATGGGGTTTCAAATTTATTGAATTTGAAGACTTTTTGATATGATCATTATTATTTTAAAGGTATTTCTAAATTTTCACTAAAATGATTATTTTCTAATCATCTTAATTAGATAGTATATAAATTTCTATATCTAAAAATAGATTTGATTATATTATGTTATTTAAATATAATTCTCACATATAATGTTTTAGATAATCTATATAATAATACTAATATCTTTATATAAAAATTCATATAATACCTTAATATTGGAAGATTTGTAATATTTTCTACATAATTAGGATTAATAAATTATTGATATGATAATTAATTTTGAATGTGAAAAACATCTAAAATATAACAAATAATATTCATTTAGTTTCTAACAAATGTATACTATAAAACAACTATTTAGACCTCAGGTAACTATAACTATTATCAAATATAATTCTGTATAGTCCTGGATTAGATATTAC